GTACAGTACTAGGAAAGTAATTTGTTCGCCGAACGAGCACAAGCCACCCCACCAACATTCACACCCTTACTTCAACCACCTCTTGCACCATCAATAGTAGACCAAATATAATAATTTGTAGCTAGTTTTATTCGCAAAAAGCTAATATTTTGTCTGGTAGCCATGCGCTTGTTCCACTGCCTGAAGGCGGTGTGGCATGCTATGAATAAGATTGCGCACAAGCGTGTCAGGTATAGCAAGCCACCCCTCTTTCAATGCCTCACAAAACTTGTCCCAGTCCTCCTGAGAATTACCAATATGATCAAGCTCAGGGTGGGTAAGATGAACAATCCTTTTCAAGGCCCACCACATGTGCTCAATAGGGTTGAGGTCGGGTGAGTATGCTGGGTGTTTGACAGTCCATATCCCATGGCTCTCTAGATACTCTGAGGTTGCCTTTGATGTATGGATTCGAGCATTGTCTTGTAGAAATCGATCTCCTGGCTGGTAGTAAGGGAGAAGGCCTTGGTCAAGTACTTTGATATAGGACTGGCTTGTATACCCCTGACCCTTTGAAGTGTAGTCCTTCTCCATGATCACTAGAGGTGACCGACCAACTCTACCACCAGGTGTGATCCATATTGATGCCCATACCATCTGTTGGCTCCCACGATCAGTAGTCACCTCTGTGACTTTGTTATGGTCGAATTTCTCATCAGGATAGCCAAAGGACCACTCAGTATCCCTTCCAGAGCCACGTTGGACTGAACATTCATCACTGAACCTGACAAGGCACCGTTTCCAGTTGAAGTTTCGACCCTCATGGGCATATCTGAGACGCTGAGCAGCTGTAGCAGCATTGATCTTTGGTCGCCGTCGGGCCCTGAAGTTCTTAAGGCCATATTTGTTGAGTGCTGATCGAATGGTAGCAGCTGAAACTGAGAGTCCAAGGTCATGTAGCATTGCTGAGTATTCGATTTTTGGACATTGGCAAGCAAGCCTGAATAGATATCTTCTCTCTCAACAGGATAGCTTAGGTGGTTGACCAGTCCTGGGTTTAGATAGGTTGCTGCCAGTTGTGTTCCAACGTTGGATAGTCTTCTGGATTGCACGACGTGAACAGCCAAACTCCTCTGCCAGCTCCTTGGTACTGCAGCCAGCTTCATGCTTAGAGATAATAGAATCTCTTTGACGCACTGATAATTCACCTCCTGTGACACGATTTGCTGAAATCTGAGCTCCAAATGAGGTCATGTTGGTTGTGCAGTAAGAGGTTGAAGTTGGGATGATTGATCACGAGTTCAGCGTTGAGGAAAAAGTCCGTGCTGATGCGAACAGACTAATTAACAGACCCTGTACTTTTGGGAGATTTCTGCTGCGAAATTGCGTATCATTTCACGCGTAGGAGGTAACCCGCGTCGAGTAAGCTCATCTATGTATTTGACAAGCTCACGCTCTTGTTGTGTATTGAGGTGTTGTTGTTGCGCATATCCCTCTTTTTATCCCTGCATTTGCCCCTGTGTCGTCGCGATAGTGTTGATCGATTAACACCATATTTTTCTGCACACTTAGTGTAGCTGTATTTCTGAGAAGGGTTGTAAGGACCTAGATCTGCAAGCGCATCATCTAAATCTGTCATGGTGTTGAGCTATCATGTGTTGAAAATGGTGTAAAATGTTTGTTTTGGTGTGGGAATTGTGCACGAGCCGATGTCGTGCACGAGCCGATGTCGTGCACGAGCCGATAAAACACGTTAGGTCGTTCGATCGTTGGAAACACTTCTTTGATCTGAACTTTGATAACGGGCTTTGCTTCTGCTGCGCCGGCGCTCTGTTCTAGAGCCACCTTCTCAGCCTCCTCCTCCGAGCCTTCGCGTAGCAAGTCTGAGAATACCGCAGCGATTGATTCATGCCTCTGGTTCGGATACTCTGGACAGTCCACTCGCGGGACATTCTTCTTCTGTCACGGATTTCGTCACTTCTCTTGAAGCTGTGTAGCCATCTATTGGCGGACGGCCATTGAGATCCTGAGCGAAGACTTGAGTTTGATGACTGGAATTTTCAATAAGGAGGACTTACAAGTCTTTTGTCTTGCGGCCACTTTGAGGCTTATCATCTCCCGGCTCCCGCTTCGTGTTTTCCAACAGAATCCCACATTCTTTTCTGTGGCCCCAAAGCTGACCACTCCAACCTCTGGCAAATAGCATCGGGTGCACGGTATCTGCGAATAATCTGCTGCGTTGCTGTACAGGCCCCCCATCCATTACGTAGGCTTCCTTCGCGAGTTCGACCGCCAGCTTGTTTAGATCGTTGGCAAAGACAGACACTCAGTGGTCGACCTCCTTTGAGAACCTCTCTGCCATGGGATTGAAGAAGCATTATGGCGTGAGGCTTCTGCTACTCTGGAAGGCGAGCCAGAGGCGGCGTATGTAGGTCGTAACAGGTAAGGGGTTCAACCTTCTCCTTCTCGAAGCCGAGCAGGTACTCTCTTCTGGGCCGTCTGCGAAGCTGTGATCTTCCCACACGGCCCTCGGCCCTACTACAATCTGCGATACTGCACGAACTACTTCAAGTGGATTTTACGCTGCGAGGAGGTCTCTTTTCCGCAATTCCCATTGTGCTGTAATCCCGCAAATGTCGCTGTGCAGGTGTTGGGTGCGTCGGTATCAGCCTTCATCACAAATGAACGCGTCAGAGCTACACATCATCGCCTGCCTTCTCTTGAAAGTACAATTCCTCTACATTCCAAATACATATGCGCTACGCTTTCTCCCCCAAATGCCCCACAAACCGCCCATGCACACCCCTCCAATTCTCCTCACACTTCCCCTTCACTGTCCCCACTAACATGCGATTCGCTTTGATCTCCACATCCTCAACCAAACTCCACTCCCCCTCGCCATTAACCACAAGCGCATCCTCCTCCTTGCCCAAGCTCTCCCTCTTGACGACCCTCCACGTCGTCCTCTGCACCAAGCCCAGCGGCGCCCTTATAATCCACTCAATGCCGTCCTCGGTGTTGGTGATGTCCGCTTCGAAGGTTACGGTTGTATCCCACAGACCGGCCGGGAGCGTGTGCATGCTGTCTGTTACTTTGTAGCGTTTTGTTGAGGGCGCTGAGGAGGGAGAGGGCAGGGTTGAGTAGTGCGCGAGTTCGGGGTCGAGGCGGATTAAGAGGTCGTGGTTGTGGAGGCACTCGAGGGCGCGCGCGAAGGTTGTGGATGGTGGGAGGTGGGTAACGTGGTGGAGGGTTGCGGCTGAGTTGAAGGCTGGGAATGGTTCGGATTAGGCATGACGTTTGGACTCTGGAGGTGCTTACAGAACATGTTTGCGGCGCGTGCAGACCTTCTTTGGATGCGCCGATCGTGGCCTGTCTCTGTACGACTGTAATGGATCGAGCTGTGAATGATGACTTTACGCTTCAAAGACGCGTATTTCGATTAACCCAAGAATGAACAGAGGAAAGGAGGGTAACAGTCATGTAGGACGCGGTTGAGATCTGGCAAAGAGTAAGTGAGGTTGATGTTGGTAATGTAGCACTGCGGTTTCATCATAGATCGACATGTTTGGACTCTGGTAGCCTCCGCTTCAGGTCTAGCATCAAGCTCCTTTTGACGCACGTGAACCCGAACACTGCGAGATCATCTAAACGTTGATTCTTTATAGGCGTAGTTGTGCCCTCAGTAGACGTTGTTGATTCTGTGGTTGATCGAATGCGGAGGTTCGGAGGTGTGTAGGCAATGGAGCTATGATGGTGGGGGTCTGGGGTAGCTCAATGATAAGGCCACCACCACCCCCAGCAGCTCGACAGCTTCGTTGTGCTCCTGTACCTTAACGTTGAATCAAAGATGGCTTCACTTTTCAACCAAAAGACCCCACCAGGTCTGTTCATCGCGCAAGCACTCGGTATCACAGCAAGCGGGTATCTTCTTGGTCAGTACCATATTAGAGCTATGACCATTCTCGAGCGCATACATGGCTGATGGCGTAAATGTAGGGCAGGATGCAGGTCTCTCACTCAACGCTGTGCCCGCCGTGATGCAAGCACCAGCTCCCCTTGCTGCTAAGCAATGGTTCACCGTCCTTACCAACAGCGGTTTCTACGGCAAGCCGCTCGCGATCTTCAGCGGTCTCGCAACCGCATATGTCGCCTATCACCGTTAGTTTCTGTCTAATCCATCGTCGAAATGCCAAACGGCTGACGCCTGACAGAGGACCCCTCATCCCTGCCCTTCAAGCTCAACGTTGCAGCCGCCATCCTCATTCCCAGCATAGTCCCCTTTACCTTTGCGTTTATTGTACCTTTAAACAACAAGCTGGAGGCTAGGATGAGGCAGCTCGAGTCAACGTCGCTGGAGGACAAGGCCGTTGAGGCTGGTGTTGCTGAGGTCGAGACAACGCATGCGTTGATTGACAAGTGGGGAGTGCTGAACCTAGCGCGGGCGGGTCTTATCGCGGCAGGCGTCTTGTGTACGGTTGTGGCGGCACTTGACAAGAGGGAGGTCGTTGGGTTTGGCGGTGTTGCGCTCAGGAGCGGTGCGAACCGACTTGGATGAGGAAGAATTACACATAGTTAGTCAACCGTGAGGTGTTGCGCTGCATGCCTGCAACGACTCTAGCCAGTCCATAATGGAGGTTCGGCACGATGCAGAGGAGATATGAGTTGTGCACTGACACGACTGTTGAATGTCGATACTCATGAGCGAAGTAGTCTTCGAAGCTTTCGCGTCGAAGTGGGGAACCTGTAGTCATATATCTCGGCGCTGTGTTTTCGACCCTGCATGGCCAGAAAGTACAAGCAGAGTGTAGATACGAGGATATTGCAGGATAAAAAGCCTGCAATGGAAGGCTCTGCATCACTCCAGGGGAGCTCCTGTCCGCGTGCTCACCTCAGAGTCGTGATATGCTGCTCTTATCGCACTACTGGTCACGCATGCGCAGGTCTCAGACATGGGGCCAATCAAGGCTTCTGTTAATGGTGAGCTGTTCATGCAAAGGCCTCAGGCTGACATCTGACCCCATGCTGCACAAGAGCGCAAAGCTCGGCTCTCTCAAGCAGATCTTCGTGAAAGGTACAAGAGATCAGCAACACCACAGTCGGCAGACTGCAAGGGTCCTGCACCGGGCGCCGTGTCCAGCGGTTCAAAGACTCGGGACTGACCATGGTCCAGATTGGTGGGATTGTGTACGAATACGACTAGTACGTGTTTGCCCTGCATATGGCGGCATCGCGAGCCGCGAAGGAGGAGAACCGACCGAGAGTTCATCCTGCAGTCTCGAAGACTTCAGCGCTTTGGATGCTACAGAAGTAGAGCATTGCTGTGAAACCCTTGTAGTCTGAGCGGCTGTTATCGCCTCACGCGACAGTTGTTTGACGCAGAGATGGTCGCTTGACTGGCGCCTTCCAGAAGTTGGTCCCGGTGATCCAGCAGGTGGCGCACGTGAACAAGTGGGTCGCGAGTTCCTAATCGATAGCCAACCGATAGCGACGATAACAACGGCTGCTGTGGAAGGCAAGCCATGGATGCACAAGATCTCTCGAGCTTCAACACTAAGCTACTGTTATTTCTTCTCCTTAAATGCGAGAAAACACACTACTATAGTGTCTGCATGTTCAAGTCTCGCCTCCGCGGCTGAGGCTCGTTGACCCACGCCTCGTCTCCTAGCGCTCACATCGTCGCGTACACGGGCCTCCGCTCCCCGCTTTCTAGAACTGGGGCTGTATCTACCAAAAACCGCGCATGCCCAACCACCGGATTGGCCGTGTTCTCTATTTTCACTCTCGTTTGGTTTGCAGCAGTGACAGAGCCTAGCTTTTGGGCCTGTCGTCCTGGAAGTTTTGAGTCGTTGTCCTTCCTCCATTACATCAAGACATTACTAGGACTCTTTGTCCCCGCACGAGTCCGCTCACTATCGCCGAGGCCGTATATCTTGCGATAACACAGCAAAAATGGAGCCAACATCCCTTGACGCCGTGGTCCTCGAGTATCCCGAAGACATGGACTCGCCAACGCCTCGCGCTCCGGCCATAGACGCGCTCCCAATCGACCGACCGAAGCTCAAGGGCAGACAACGTCTGCTCAGCGGACTGCAGCGGATAGGCTCCTCGCCCAGTCTGAGCCTGGCAACCATGGGGAGGACGCCATCACACAGTCTGAGGAGCCAGCCAAAGGCTTCCATGTCTTGTGTGTCGCTGGCAGGGACAGGCTCGCCATATGGAAACTCGTTCGGCAGCTCATACTCGTCTGAGCTGTCCACTGGGTTCTCAACAGCACCCACATCTGTCGCAAATAGCCCCCCCGGCAGCCCCCTCTGTGACGAGAATTACCGTCTGCGAATGAGGACGCCTGATTTCGCGTCTTCAGTACCCCTTCCCTCGAGCCGGAGGCCACACTCAAGAGCTGGCTTAGACACCGAGGGCGATTACTTCTCGCAGCCTATCCGAAAGACGGTCCAGAAGAAGCCGGTCTTCAATTTCTGGGGAGACATGCCGGCCGAAATCCGCATCCAGATCCTCCAATACCTCACACCGAAGCAGATCGTGCGATGCTCGCGCGTGTCCAAGTCATGGCATGCCATGTGCTTTGATGGTCAGTTGTGGAGCGACTTGGACACGAGCAAGTTCTATCGCAACATCTCGGCGGACGCTTTGATCAACATCATCAAGTCAGCCGGGCCATTCGTAAAAGATCTCAACCTTCGAGGCTGCGTTCAGTTACGCGAGCGATGGAACAAGAACGGCTTCCTAGAAGCCTGTCAGAACCTTGAGAACTTCTCGCTCGAGGGATGTCGAATCGATCGATCGTCGATCCACACCTTCCTTCTTTCCAACACCCGTCTTGTCCACGTCAACCTCTCTGGACTGGCTGGCGCCACGAACGCTGCGATGAAGATCATCGCAACAAATTGCCCGAGAGTAGAGGTTCTCAACATCTCCTGGTGCAATAACATTGATCACCGCGGACTTCTCAAGGTCGTTCAAGGATGCCCCAAGCTACGAGATCTGCGAGTGGGCGAAGTGCGAGGCTGGGACGACATCGAGCTGATGACTGAGCTTTTCCAGCGTAACACCCTTGAGAGGCTGGTTCTGATGAACTGTGACAGCCTGAACGATGAGTCGCTCGCTGCTCTTATTGAAGGTGTCGATCAGGAGATCGATGTGCTCACCGACCGACCGATTGTTCCGCCTCGCAAGCTGAAGCATCTAGATCTTACTCGCTGCCGCACCATCACGGACGTTGGCGCGAAGACTTTGGTTGGCAACGTCCCATTCCTGGAAGGCCTTCAGCTTTCGAAGTGTGGAGGTCTGACGGACGAGACGTTGATTTCCCTACTTCCCACACTACCAGTCCTAACGCACTTCGACATCGAGGAGCTCGACGTGCTCTCAAACGAGGTCCTCAAGACTCTCGCCGAAGCTCCATGCGCCGCACACCTTAAGCACCTTTGCATCTCCTACTGCGAAAACCTCGGCGACACCGGCATGCTGCCTGTCCTCAAATCCTGCACCAGTCTAACCTCTCTCGAAATGGACAACACCCGCATTTCCGATCTTGTCCTCGCCGAAGCAGCAGCAAGCATGCGCCACCGCAACCGTCTCGCCCGCGCTCTGTCCGGGTCCGAACGTCCGCAGATCGGTCTCCGCATTGTCGCGTACGATTGTGCAAACGTTACATGGACAGGCGTCCGCGAAGTGCTGTCTCGAAATGCAGAAATCTCGCGGCCCTCGCCTACAGCTGCCTCTCAGACGGCAACTTACCCCCGCGAAGTCATTGGCTTGAAGTGTTTCTACAGCTGGCAGCCCACCATTGAAGAGCACACAAAGCGCGTTCTGAGAGGTGATTTCGCTGCAGCTGCACGGCTGGAGCGCAAGTGGGCAGACTGGATGATGATGAATGAGGAGGCGGGAGCTGGCGGTGCTGGCGCTCGTCGTCGTCGCAGGAGGGCGCGAGAGGCGCAGATGATGCATGCTGATGAGGAAGAGGGTGGTGCCGGCACTACTGGTGGTGTTGGGCGCAGGCGACGCGCAAGAAGTGGCCCTGGCGGCTGCCTTGTTATGTGAGTGTGATGGTTGAGCGAATATTCTCTTATTTGGCGGAGCTGTATATTTTTTTTGAACACTTACATGCACCATATAGAGTACATTCGGGCGTTCTGGGCTTTCTCCTACATTCAGAGCACGGGACTAGCGTTCGCATCCTGGAGGCCGACGTGCGACGGCCGTACATCTATCACCATAGCATACACACATGACATATGAATCACATCAGGTCGAGCTTCTACGCTCCCAATCCATGTTTGTACATCCTCACAATCGAGCGAAGGGCAACGATGACGATGTAGATCTCCTATTCAGCAACGATATACGAACAATACAGGGTATCTCAAACAATATCCAACACTATCGTGCCCAGAACTCATGTCCGCCAACGCCAACGCCAACGCCAACGCCAACGCCAACACCATACCCAGATCCCAATCGATCAAAACCCACAACTCAGCTCATCCTCACTAACATCATCGTCCGCTCCATCCATCCCAAAGTCATACGACACCCTCCTTACGTCCCTCAGCCCACCTTCTCGTGACGACCGCGACCGCTGCGTCTTCAGTCTGTGCCGCAGCGCTTTGATTTCGATCGTGCTGCGCCTCCATCTCCTCTCGCCCTCCTTGCGCTTGTCTGTCGGGAGCTCGGGGTAGAAAGCTACGGGGGTGTCCGGCGGCGTCAAATGCGTGCGCTTCGCTGGTACAAGAACGAACGGACTCGATGCGCGCGTGCGTTTTCCCAGACTGCTAGTCGATCGTCGAGGGGCGTATTTGATAGGACTGGAGTGCAGCATCGGAGAGGAGGGCAGGATTGGTTCATCGTCGCGCTCGTGCTCGGAGTCTTGCACGAACTCTGCGCGCTCTTCATCTTCAGATTGGACTGGTGTTGGCAGCAGCTCCAACGCGCGGACTGGCTTTTGACTAGGGCGATTGTTGGGTTTGGCACGCGCAACAAAGGGGGTGCAAGCTACCCACTCGCCAATACCATCTTCCCATCTAAATCCGCCCCCCGCAGCGGTGGAGGGTGTATCGGTCTTGCGGGGAGTGGGCATGATGACCAGGCGGCCTGAGGTGCGCATTTGTTTCTCGACTTCGTTTGCGTATCTGAGGTGCTGGGCCTCGTCGGTGTCGTTGGCGAATTCGGTGGCGGACTCTAGGCCTATGCGTTTCAGTGTCCATAGCTTGTGGGGGAGCCGGTGGCCGGAGAGGCGAGTCATTGCTTGGACGAGGCGCTGGAGCTGGTCGAAGCCGGAGTCGCGATAGATGCGACCGGTGCCGCGTGCTGTGGCTGAGAGAAGGATGGGGAGTGTGGCGAGGACAGTTGAGGAGTTGACGCCGTTTGCGGAGTACTGACACATGATGTTGCTCAGATTGCGAATCAGTGTAGAGGTGGACAGGTTGATCATGCTATCATCGCTGTGGAGCGCTTCGAGGCGTACCAGGAAGGGACCAAAAATGGTCCAACAAGCGCGTTGCGCAAAGATCTGCAGGTCGTCTGAACCTGCCTCCAGTAGTCTTAGCTCGGCGTCGATGTCTGATCGAGATGCAAGGGCAATAGCGATGGCATCCAATGTCCAGGTGACTCTTCGTGCAATGGCCTTCCCAGCATCTTCCTCGCGGCTGCTGTTAACAAGAGCTATGCTGCACAAGACCGTGAGAAGACTCGAGAAGGTTGTGTTCAAAGCCTGGCGCAAGTCCTCTCTTGAAGATGGCACAAAGCGCCTCGCAACCGACCCGGTGACTTCGTCTGCCAGGAGACTCTCGTCAGGAAGTCCCATGCCGGCAAGCATACAGGTCTCGAGGAAGCGAGAACAAGATGCCAACGCGCGCTGGTCACCCTCCGTGATGGTGCGCACTAACCGATCCCACACAGGGCGCATATGTGTCGTCGCTAGCCACTCCAGGGGCAGAAGCTCATGCGCAACCATGTGCTCGAGGAGATCATAGAGGAAACGGTATCGACCGGTGCGGTCAACAAACAGTTTAGCAGTCGACATGTATGCCGATTTCTCGCCAAAGAGGTCGGCTCTGATGTTGAGGGGAGTGGACAGTGGCTCGAGTGAGGGCAGAGCGGCCACAAGGATCTCTTCAGCTTCATCGTATGCGCCAACATCCAGACAATGGCTGTGGAAGTAGGCCAAAGTATCCATAGTAGTGATGCGATCTGCGACAGCGCTGCACACCAGCGATGTGGCATGTGCCCGTACCACGTGCTTGAAGGGACGCCAGCCTTGCCCACGCCGCTGTTCGAACCGCGTCTCAAGGTGTTCGTACACTTCGCTCGCAATGTCTCGATCGTCCTCTTCCTCTTCTCCTAATTGGTCCAGTCGCGCAAAGTGTTCTTCAAGCTCAATGTATGCCGGGAGCTTCTTCAGACACGCGCTCATTAGTGAACTCGTGCCTCTCCTGCTCTTCCTCTCCTCTGTTGCGTGCAGAATGTTGGCGTAGGCCTCTAGCACCCCCAGCACGAGCTTCTTCACATCTGCAGGCACTTCTGGCCCAAGGCTCTCGGCCCGATCGATGCTTGCCACGAGGGGCCCGCGGTTCTTCGTATATTTCCGCAATGGCGAGCCTTGCGTAAGTGGACTGTCCATTATCTGGCCCCCCATGCGAGCAATGAGAGGCGTGAACGCAATCTCGCCCGGCCGAGCAACATGTTCAACATCTGCGCTGCTCAGCTTCGGGCCTGTCAGCCTCCTCGCCTTACGTCCTCTATAAGTCTTCTTGATTCTCTTGGCGCCCGGCCTCCAGTCTGGGTCGCGTGCCTTCTCGAATCCTCGGGGCTTGTGCGCCTGTCGTGTAAAGTTGGTCGTCTTCTTCGGGGTGGCTTTGGTGGCAAAGGCAGAAGAAGTCGTACGTGGTTCTGGGTGGGCGCTTCGTGGCAATTCAAGCTCCTTTCGCAGTTTCGCGAGTTTAGACAACAGCGGTCGTAGTAGGCGGTTGCATCGCGAGATGTTCCAGGGCAGCTCCTCGTCATTGGCCATGATGATGCGTGTATATATATTCGCTAAGACATGCAGCTATACATGTGGTGGTAATCGCTATTGTGGAATGATGTGATGCCGCCAGGGCTCGTTGTTGTGGTGTTCAATTGATTGTTTGTTGTTACGACCAGCTCGGCGCAACCCTCGGCCGGACCCACGCGCTAAGTTCACGTTCATCGCTCACCATGCACACGACTGGAAGCCGTCTCTTCTGTAACATGTACCATCTTGGCTCGTGCAATGCAGCTTTGGGACGCTATCTAGCTCTATGACCACAAGTCGAGGTCGCAGTGTGCATGCGCGTCGCCAACTAACATCGTCTGTTCTTCCGATAACTGTCTCGGCTGGCTGCCTTGGTTTCCTCCAGTATGGCCTTTCGTCCCTTGCAGGTGTCGGAGCCGGTGAAGTAGACCTCCTGCCATGTCGCTCGTGGTGCGTTCCTAGGATGACGTACTCCGAGGTCCCTCTTCTATCTCCCTCTTCCTTGGAGCCTGAGCGCCGCTAACACTCCGCTTCCACGTCGACGAAATCACACCCATCAATCCTGTGCCCGTAATGCCCAACCCCTTCCTCCTCTCCAGCTGTGGCGTGGTGATACCGTCTCGAATCGATCTCACTGGGCTCGGGGTTCGCACTGTCCACTCTTCGACGGGATATGCGGGGTGTGGGCGATAGGCTGTGGACGAAGAGAAGTCGTTCTTCCTTGGGAGAGGAAGAGGTCGTGATGCTGGTTCAGGAGCGGCAAGCTTGATGGCAGGTGGCATGGAAAGGCGGTAGGTATCCATGCGACCGCGGTGGCGCAGTGACTGCGGGCTTCCTGTCGCGACTTCAGAAGCTGGGGCGCCACGCGGGATGTAGCTACCGGAAGCGATGCTGTCTCTGCGCGGTGACGAGCAATCGGGATGGGAGGTGCGAAGGGTTGACGTAGAGAAGCGTTTGCTGGTATCCTCCGCGTTTTGCCTGGATCCCTCCGTACTCCAGTCGTGGACTGAGATGCCATCGCCGTCGGCCTGGAACACGTCCTCCGGGTCTTCATAGACAACTTGGACCGGCTTCGCATCGTCTCTGCTGCTCTGGCCGTGTGCGCTGTCCTCGCCAGGCTCGATAACTGACATGTCATTTTCCTCGCTCTCCGTATAGTACTCATTGTCCAGCAAACCCAGGTCGCGCAACTGCTCCCAGGTGCGGTAGTAGTAGCGGAACGTGGCGAAGGGCTGATCGACCGGGTCAATGAGTGCGAACTTGTAGAAACGCTTGGGTTGCTCAGGACCCGCGCGTCCAGCGTTGACGAGGCTGGTGGATCAGCATCCCTCTTCCACTAGCTTTGTTTGTTGCAGACTCACCTGATGCCGCCCTCTTTCTTTGCAAGCTTTGTTTCTTCGAACACTCCCACCTCCCTCTCAGCCCTCTTCCTCCCATTCGCGCGATGCACCCGAATCTCCACACACCCATCCTTCATCCGTCCCTTCCTATCCGGCGCGCTGAAACAAAGCACCCTCTTCTCGACCCTTCTCTTCTCACCAACCCCGCCATGACCCCCTTCGCTCTGAAATAGCCCAAACATAGTCTGTCCCATCCAGCCATCCTCTTTCCCAGTACTCCAGCTCACCACCCTCTCCCCATCGATGTACAGCTTGAAAAGGAAATAGTGCCCTTCCGGCACAGGCGGTGAGACCGAGTATGCGATCCAGAACTGGCTGCCGGGCAGCACGGGGACATGGATGGAGCATGTTGATGTGGTGTCGTCGATGAGCGGCGGGATGCTGGGAGCGAGATTGAGGGAAGAGTCGAGAGATGGTGAGGAAGGCGGCGGGAAGTATTCGGGGAGAGTCTCGATGTCGAATTGCGAGTGGAGCGCAATATTGATGCTGCGATACGTCGGCATTGTGGTTAAGCAGGGTGGAGTTGGCGGCGAGGTGAAAGTGTGTAGGCGATCTGGTGTTGGGAGCGCCTTCTCTACTGTACACGGTTTAGCTGTGCGCGACGCTCTTTCATATTCACCTAGCTCACCTTCTTGTCAATGGCACCTCAAAACACTGCCACTAGAGGATACTGGTGCCGAAACATGCCTGCGCTATGGACTGTTGTTTTTAGTCAATGGATCTTCTTCAACGTTACACATGGCCCGAGGCTCGATTCATGTTTTCCTGACCGGGGATCGAACGTGGAATCTGGGTCGTTGGTTGTCCTAGATGAGAGCTTCAGTCATGATGCTACTCCCATGTGTCGACTTGGTATAGATTACACAGAAATGGTAGGTTCTTAAATAGTATGTGTTACACGTTTTCCAAGCGTTGTGAATCTTTCAGGAAATTCGCAACTCCTCCAACACAACGCCTATCTATCTCAGGACTTCAATGCGCTTAGGTTTTAGGCTCAATTATCAAGGAATAACACCAGATACGATGAACAGCGCGTTGTGAAGGTGTCTGTGTATCAGGTGTCTTTGATTCGATGCACAGCAATGTTAGGGTAACGTCCTTTGCAACAACAACGCAAACTCTATTTCTTAACACATCGTGTTCGCGATGGCTTGATGCGAAGCGATATTCGTCGTAGTCTCCGAAATACTTACAGGTTGCTGTTAGTGCTGCAGACATGCCATAGGTGCCTCACAAAATTTGCGGAAACGGACAATCGTTTGATTCACCTATGAGAGTAAAGCGGGTCGCGCTTTCCCCGATTTTAACATTGGACAATCATCCAAAAAAAATTACAGATGCTGCAAACAGCACTCAAAATGTGATTGGCAAAATATACTACTGCAAGAGCAAAAGAATGACCTAACCAGGGGTCGAACCTGGAATCTCTTGATATCGGACTGAGTCGTAGTCAAGCGCCTTGCCATTGGGCCATTAGGCCAGATGTTGATCTGTTTGATGAATGAATTTGTGTCTATACTAATTATATTCATGAAATAATAACAAGATGATCAACACCTCGTTGCAGGTGTTGTAAATTTCAATCACCCTTCTGGTGGGGCAGCCTTGAAATTTCCAGGCTCATCCCCTGGTCATCCTGACATGGCGGGGTACCGCCGGTGACCATCAGCGCACCTCCGGTGAACCTCACGCAGCCATGTCGTAGGCACTAACACGTACAACGTTCGAAAATGACTCCCACAATACCTTATAGCCATCAGCTCTCCCGTCTCGTACAATTCGACAGCTCTATAACCTGAAGCGCATGTGTATACACCTACCCTCTGGAACTTCTCAATCTCCCACCCCCACCATGCCTCGCTCCGCCGAACCACCACGCTCCTCCTTCCCACCCCTCATCGCACAGTTCTCCGACGAAGACCTAGTTGTCGGCGGCGGCGTCGCCATCTTCCACATCGCGTCGCAACGCGTCGTGATATGTAGTGCGCCCGACCGGCGCGGGGAGAAGTACTACTTCCTGCCTAAAGGGCGGCGTGATGCAGGGGAAGATAGCCGCACGGGCGCTGAGAGAGAGGGGTATGAGGAGGTGAGCCTTGCATTATGATGAGTAGGGTGAGAGGGTGCTGCTGACGTATTGTTCGTGGATAGTCAGGATATCGCAACCGCCTTCTTCCCCTCCCCACAAAGCACCGCCAGCCGCAAGCACACCCGCGCGTCGACTCCCCTCCACTCACTGCGGAACCGGTTTGGATGCAGATGATGCCGCTCGGGTATGGGTCGAAGCAGTACGTTCTATACTGGTATATTGCAGAAACTCTGCCTCCCGGTCTTGAAGTTGAGTTGGAAACCGAGGTTGGCGCGGCATACAAGCCGCCACCAGCATACCCGCATAGTTTGACGTTGAGGGATAGAGTGAAGATGGAGCCGGAGGGGTACGAGCCGCTACATCATGAGGGCACGGGAGTTGACGAGGAGGAGGCGACGTATGAGAGTCATCTTGTGAGTGTTGAGGAGGCGATCAAGAAGTTAGGGCGGACTGGAGTCATGGCTGATGTGGTGTTGAAGGGGTGGAAGGAGATTCAGCATCGGTTCGCGATGGAAGAAGCTCATGAAGCGGCGACGGAGAGTCATGAGGCCATACACTGATGCGTAGTGTTTCAGAACAAAGTCTGGAGTGACCAGTCAAGTCATGTCATAGTCGTTGATTTCCTCGGGATAGAGATACCCATATATACAGTACAATAGAAGAACCGTGGTGGCAACATGATAGCATTCATGAGCCACTTCTACCTAAGCGTCCTTTCTCTACACAGCCGGCTGGCAAGTCAAGGAAAAATGTTAAGGAGAGTGTATAGTAAGAAGACGGTCAAAGCCGGACGAACGTAATGAAATGTGTACAATGAATCAGCAAAGGTTATATTGCAGAAAATCTTGGCTTGTGGTAGGTGACAAGTAGATGGTGAATATTGTCGTGACATGAGGGTATACCGAGTAGAAGGACAGCGCAGATGAATGACGGATGGAAGGATGTTGACGTTCACCACGAGAAAGACTCCTCGCGGAAGTCAACGTTCCACTGCAGCTCGCGGTTGCGAACAGCACGGCGAAGCTCATCAGCCAGGCCACCAGTACCGCAAGTGCTGACGCAAGCAGCACCGATGCCCTCCTGCATCTCCTGGTCGACAAGGCTCTGGACGTTGGGCCTACCAGGGAACATTTGAACGCTCGATGATGGGGAGTGAATCTCCTTTGTGCTGCGGGGGCGAGTGACAAAGAGGAGAATCTTCAAGATCTCGCGACGACGCGGCATGGAGAGAATCTGTGTCATCCAGGTTCGGATCCACTCAAGGTGCTCAGGAGACTGGATGATCCAGACAAGGGTGAGACGGCGTGTGGCGACGGTGCCGTTGGCGTAGCCAGCAACGATGTCACGAACATGAGGCACCTGGTGAGTGATACCGATACCAGCCGCCCACAGCATAACTGTACCATATGAGCTAAGATCCTCACCACCGTAAGGACCCTCGGCGTAGCAAGTGGTAGAGAAACGTCCAGAGGCAGACAGATCAGCCTTGCGGAAGAGCTTGTCGGTGAAGCCAGTTCGTCGGCGAACGATGAAGGACATGCTGGTCTTGGACTTCTGGAGGGCGAGATCGTTGTTGGTCATCGGGAGACTCTTCTCGTCGATGTGGTGGGGATCCTCCTCTTCCTCGCTCCAAGCGATGGAGAAGGGGTGGTTTGTCCAGAGACCGATCGAGGGCATGTAGAGATATGCGTGCTGACCGGGGCGGAAGCTCCAAGGGCGAGCCATCTTGACAGTGATACGGAGAGCGTCACCAGGAAGCACCTCAACATCGGCCGAGGTACCACCATTGCCAACATTGTTGATGACAAGACGGGCGAAGCGCATGAAACGCTCAGCAGCCCAGATAGCGACAACACCGTACAGCATGAGCTGCTGGGGGCGCTCCTTCAAGTGGACCCATACAGCGCCGAGAGCGAGCGCAGCACCAACGATGTGGCCGTGCAAGAAGACTTCGTAGAACGAGTGGCGGACGGGCGACGGGGATTGAAGAAGGAGGAAGGTGAATGCAACGGTGCCCTACGATGTGTCAGTGCTTATTCGGATTTAGTGTGTATGTGAACGTACGATGAATCCAGTCATGATGAATTCACTACCAGTGATCGATGCCTGAACAGCAGACCAGCCCTCTATGTAAAAGTTAGCGCAAGCATCCGTAGGATTTGTAGGCATCTTCACTTACTGGACTGAACCTTGTTGGCGATCCAGCAGATGGTGTGAGCAAGTGCCTCGAGGATCACAATCCGTCCAAACCAGCGGTGGATCAAGTTCATGGTGTCGAAGGAGATGCCAGTGAGCTTAATGATGGGGTTGTTGCGGCCGGCCAGGAGGAAGAGGGGGATCATGTTGATGACCGACATGATACCGGAACGACTGAGGAGCTCGCCAGCACCGGCCGAAAAGCTGCTGTAGTCGATCTTCCAGACGCAGAATCCGATGTTGACAGCGAAGTAGCCGACAAGGAAGAAACTCTGGAGACGGCTAGGAAGGGTGCCCATACCATGGGCAGAGGACAGCTTGAACTCGCGGTGGTGACGAGTGTGCCAGAGGGGTGCGTCAAGGCACGACTTCTTGAAGCGAGCATACAGGTGGTTGGGGATGGCGAAGTAGCGTTGGGTTTCGTTGTTCAGGCATGATACTGTGCGGACATATCGAACAAAGTAGAGGATGACCTGGTACAGACTGAAGACAACAACGAAGCACCACCAGATGCGGCCAAGGTAGTTCTGAACATCAATGTTCTCAAGTCCAGCGGTGTTGTCTTCCTCTCCATGTCCCGCACGCTTGACAACGTTTCCAAGTGTTTCTGAGAAAGTCATTTTTGTGGTTTGATGGACCGGTCCAGATGGGGTAGATCTTTAGACGTCGTTGGAGGCAGGTAGCGAGTGTTATCTGTCTTGGCCAGCAAATGACAGAAATGCGTAAGAGGCGAATGCCGTGAATCCAAAGGGGAATGAGTGAATGATCAAGTCGTATCTTAAATCGAGTGTGAGTGCGCCGAGCTAGCTTCTCTCAGGCACGTCCGTAAAGCCTAAGTTGGGTGGTGACACAGAGGCTTGTCTGGACGCTCACTTGACGTCTGGGGAACTGTTCACAGCGCCGGCGGCGGTCGAGGTGGATAGGGCAGCCCGGTGAGTGAAGCAAGGGCAAATCCAGAAAACCCAGGTGACGTGATCACAGATGAGAGTCGAGTCGATGCGATCGGCCTCAATAAATCGTCCACCAGGGGAAAGTCTTGGAAGAGCCGGCAGGGAAGCGAGAGACTGCACGGCAGGACTGAAGCGAAGTAAAGAACGGCTTGGACGAACGAAGTTGGGGAAGAAGAAGAGGAGATCCCTTGTAGGCGTGGGCCGTGGGTGGGTAGGATGGAATGAGACTTTGATTATCAGAGGGCATTTGCAGGCTACGATTGGAAGGTGGGCTAGCGCTGCAGGGACCGGGGTAGTGCTCCAGGAGGCTTGGGTTCGTTGGCTCCTATTCGGCGGCTGGGCAGGACCGCGGACGCTGAAACCGCGCCTCCACAAGCCACTCGCGAAAATGATCGTTTCAAATGATCCTTCGTTCCGAAGTATTTAGTTCTCCGAGTTCATAATGGAAGAGAGCTGCGTCATCAACGGTGAGCGGTTCACACACAGCTGGTTCGCTGCCAGACAAGCAGTTCGAGACAGGGACGCGTGGGCGCAGCCGGCCCCTCACGTGCCAAATGTCTCGAACACCTTGGCAACCCTCAATCTCATTCCTGCCACCGGCCTCGATTCACAGCGGCGTTTTAGCCATTTGCGGCTGCATCACTCTACAGATTACAAGGTACTCCGCAGGAAGAAGCCGTTGTGTTACAGCAGATGGTACCCAGTACACGGTATCTTGTTGGTGTTAATGTCAATACGAACTCTTCCAAACCGGCAGATACGTCGTCAATGTGAGTTCCGTCTCGACAAAAATTCCGGACTCTAGAGGTGTTGACGATTCGTTCTTGTTGTTTAAACGTTCGTTGGCCGCGTCATCAGGTCTACCACGCCTCCTCGCGCAGGAGACGAAGCCACGCAACTTTGGTTCAAGGCCGTCTTGCATTTTTCTGCGACTGGCACTGGACGTCTCATCTTGGTTTTCCAGCACTCTACTATCGGAAGCATGCCAACCCACCGTCATCACGACCTGAGATTGGGTCATCCTGTCTTACCGGCAATGACATCCTGCAGAGACGGCCTTTCGTGAACCATCACCTTAGTACAAGCCAGGACTTCGCTGCAGGACCTGTTGTCACGAGCAACTGTCTGTTGCAGCTTCCATTTGTTGTAGGAAACCGGTGGAGAGGCGCCGTTTGGGTACGGCATGCATATGCCTGGCTGTCAAGCAACACAAAGGTGCTGACCCTCCGAGACAAGCTCTTCTCATTCGATCTGATTGAGCGATTGTACCACGCGGGCGGCTTCAGACCATCGCGATACCTGGCGTTGTTGTGTAACACGCATATCTGCAGTCCTCTACTCGATGCTCGCTAAAGTTGGTAGCTTTCATGCCTCTACTATCGAGGCATAGCCTCCGCTTTGACAGCTAGATAACGGCTACACTTGCAGAGACGAACAACGTGTAGCTATTGGTGAGCTCGCTGTCACCGCAACTGCAAGCGGCTCTTGTGTTTTGTAGAACCCTCTGTACCAAGCCCTGGAGGGCTCCAACGACTCGGTTGCGCCTGCGCACGCAACATGCAAAGCGAGAACCAAAAGCAATCTTGCAATCTATCCAGCCTCCACGCACCCAAAATCGTCGTTTGGGCTGCATCAACCTCATAGATAGCACTCACGAGACGTCAACCACCTCAATATCCAGATGTGCCACCGCATCACTTTCTTCGCTTCAACCTGCGTCCACGTCATCCTTGTTTCGCCGCTTGTCATGTCAACTGCCTTGCCGCTGACAGATTGACGGCTGTTTCACACAAATGACGAACATCCGGTTCCGCTATGGTCCATGCAAGGGCTTTGCCGGGGCCAAGCCCCACGATCTCGAAACTTGCTCAGCGGCGAGGGCGCTCGGTGTTTCGAAGGTCTCGATCGCCGTTCAGGCAAGACGCGCCTGAAGACGCTGGTGCAGGAACGCCAGGCGAAGCAATGCATAGGCGGAGACTTGTCAGCTGCCGAAGCGCGCGGTGGAGACGGTGTTGCGTTCTTCATGCGCGAACCTGATCAAACTCTTCAGACTCTTTAGACACCACTGCAGCTTAGTTGATAGTCATGCACTCAACTGCACCGTTATCTCAAGCATAGATAGATGTGCGCCTTTGCTTTCGGAGAAGAGCAATCTCGATCCATGCGGTTGTCATGTTGTGACTCGCAGCTCAAATTTGTTTGTTCGTTTTCGCTGCACTTCACCATTTCGCTTCGCCGGCCAATCCATCAGAAGCGTGGCGCATGCACGTCAGATGTCAACGATCCCCGTCTGTTCCTGCGTCCTTTGCCGATCCACCGACCAACGCCGCAGATCAACATGACCGCGGACCGGGCGATGGGACGGTGCCTAACAAGAGGATTGTTGCTTAGCCAAACGCACCTACAAAGGGTTCTATATGTTCTTGTTGAGGCTGATTAGATGGTAGATGAAGTTGAGCGGCGCTGCAACTGGGGAAATTAAGGAGTCATGGATGCATGCTTGGAGACAGAACTCGATTCAGCCACGACAACGACGGCATCCTGGCGCGTACCCGCAGTCCAACGACAAGACCACGTACCATAGTCTACAACACCTAAGTGCGCCTGAGATGTTCGGAAACGGAGACGAATAGATGACCTACGGAAACAGAAACGGGTAGGTGATGCCTGCAGCAGCGGTGTTATCTTTCGCATCCGCAGTCGTGGATACAAGTGTGCAAGTGCCAGCACCTGAGAGGCAGTCAAAGTGAATTGTCGACGTCTTGACGATGAACAGGCTGGCAGAGGACTACCGAGTGTTGTGTCTACGGTGAGCAAGTATTTGAGATTTGCTGAAGGCCCTCAAACTCCATTGAAGATGTTCAAGGATTGGCAGTTGCTTCTTGCAGCGCGACAGGTAGGCATCTTGCTGTCTTGCAAGCAGTCTCGTGAGACCAGACACATCAACCGTTTGGAGCTTCATGCAATAATGATGTCCCGTTTATGTTCCAGCGCAAATATTGGAGGGTGCATACCTTTGTCTCTCGATGATCGGAAGAACTTCTTTGGCTAACGTTGCGGTTGCGCACGGTATAAGTTGCAATTCGATAACCCCAGAGGATGAGGCCGACTCTTTCGTAATGCGAACGTCTCGGTTTGAGGAGCATGATACTCACGTCGCCATGCTGGTAGGTCGTGATGGCAGCATCAACGATGTCGCTTCTATCTTCATCCACCTATAGTGTTTGATTCCAGAAGATCGGCAGGATGACCTCGGAAAAATCTTGAGGTTGCAAAACGACATCCAATGCCTTGTCCCGTTGCTCGAGTTTGGTTGGTATTATATGGACTCCAATCAGGGCAAGGCGGGCGGGCGCACCTGTGTTGCCTGAATCGCGTTGTATCTGTCCGGTTCTGACGTAGTCTCCAATGGCGTAGAGGCCACCTGGGCAGACAATCGCCACTTTGTACTCAGAGGGCACCATCAGTACAGTGTTCGTACAGTACGTGTTACCAGCATGTTTTACTGGGTCATCCCAAGCAAGCGGGGACCAACTCTGGAAGTCAATTCGACGACGACACGGTAGTCCATGGTACCAGTGAATCGAGAACTCGTAACAATGGGGAAAGCCACGCGAGAACGGACTTTCAGCATCTACAAGAGCCACAAGGGTACCCCAGATGTGAGATACAGGGGGCTTTTCATTGCGTGAAAATAGTTCAAGATCCCAAGAATGGCGTTCAAGGCATCCAAATCGTAGGAAAGGGTTCGAGTAGAGTATGTTTCGATACAGTATCGGGTTTCTGATCGCATCCTGTACTGAGCTGCAATTATTACCGGGTTGCCAAACACTGGTCGAGAATTTGAACAAGATTCAGACGCGAACCGCCTGTTGTGTATCCGACAACCCCAAGGAAGGTAAGGTCGGTTGCCAACGCATCCTCAAAAACGTAGAAAGTCAAGCAGTCACTGAAGAATAAGCACCTTCGTGACACAAAACTCTTGTAGAATGTACAAGCTGCTGAAGCCCATGCGGATGCTGCGACTGAGTTCTTGACACAGATAGTGCCATCTACCAGTATCAACGCCACTGACTATACTTGCTGGTAACCCAAAGGTGAGGAGTTTCTTAGTAGGCTCACGCCAGGCAACTCCACATCTGAATTATTGCCAGCCGCAGCAATGATAGTGACTTGTGCTGAAGCATAAATGTCTCGCGTCATTTGGATCTGCTGATGCTTGACTGTAACATCAGTTTGGTCGATGCAGTAGCGGTTAATCCATAAGTAGCGGTGATTGACCACTTTCGTGACAGTGAGTGCGTCGTTGATCATCTGCGGTAATTGTCGAGGCAGCTTTGGTAGAGTTGCAAGTCCGTCTTCTCGAGTTTTCGTGTCCCAGACGTATGACAAAGCTACATAAGCACTGTCATGTGGTGCTTGTGTAGGCTGCAGCGAACCAGCTCAACCAAGAATGTGCATACCACATGGTAGGCGGCCGTATGAATGGACAGGGTTACCATAGTTCTCTGACTAGTTATCAGCCCGTAAGATTCGAACTTGTTCGTATTGACTACTATGGCGGCGTGAAGCCATTGGTAGATTACGATGGATTACTGCGCTGAGTTGCTATCTAGCTAGGAGAAAACAATATTTACCTGTACCGAAACGTGCTAGCCCAGAATAGTCTGAGTAGCAGCAATCAGGCCTCGTACGGACCGACTGATACCGCAGTAATTACTTCCCAGAAGTTAGGCATCTTCAAAATTTGACCAATGACAAAATGGAAGACACGCAAACGAGGTCATTGGAGGATGAGCACAGGTTGCGAAGACGCACCTTCCCTTCTCCAGCTTAAAGCAACCAGAATGGGAAACACCGGAGGCTCTCCCCACCAGTGACGTGCAAGACTTTTGGCGCATCACAAAACATCTTCTCACTGTTACTACCAAACTTCGCTTGCGATTTACTGCTGGCAAACCTCCCAATCGCAATCGCATAGCTATAATTAACACAATGGTCTCTACGCGCCAACATCCTCGCGGCGATTTTCCCGCATTTGAGCCCTCACCTACTAAGAGGCCCTCGCGCACATCGACCGCATCTCCTGCGCCCACAAGTCCTACGACCGCTACACGTGCTGCTGCCTTGAACGTCTCGCCTTCTGCAAAGGCGGTCGCTAGGCACGCAGTCTTGAAGGCTTCCGATGCAAAAGACGCGGTTGCGCCTCCTTCACCCTCCAAGATTGGCGAATCAGGATGGTGCCACACCGCATCGAACCTCACGATCCTTTGGCTCACGGTCTCACTGCCCCTTGTGCTATGGGACACACTATATATCCTGCTACGTCCTCACACCATGGCCGGAGGCTTCCTTCAATGGCCTATCTGGAAGCCGTACGAGATCTACGCCTCGATCGACCACGTATACGGCTGGCCCGGATGGGAGAACAATAATGGTTTTGGCGGCGCGCAGGGTGCGCTCAATGCTGTCGAGACGATTCTATACGGTCTGTATGTCATGATCATCTACAATCATAGCGTCCCTGCGGCGACTGGAACTGGCCTCGATGTTAGTGGTGATGGACTGGGCGCATGGCTGTCTGGTGGTCGCAAAGTGCGCGGCAAGAACGGAAATCGTGCGCTACTCATTGGCTTCACGGCTGCTGTTATGACGGTCAGCAAGACAGTGCTTTACTGTGAGTGAATTGCCCTTGCACTGTGGAAGTTGAAGCCAATCCAACCAACGCGGTTAGATTTCAACGAATACTTCTCGAACTTCAAGAGCGTCGGCCACAACGACTGGTTTACCGTTTTCCTATTTTATGGTGTCATGAAGTAAGTTCAAATTCCTATTCGAAACTTCAATACTCCTTACTAACAGACAATAGCGGCCTTTGGGTCATTTTCCCAACATACATGACCATTGTGTTTGGATCCGACATCATCCAGGCGCTCGACATTGCCGCCGAAACGACAACTAAGAAGGAGGAGTAGCTTAGTAACGCTGAAAATGAACAGTAGTTCAACATTAGTCTCCCGAAAACCTCCTGCACAAGGTTTGCTGCAAAGGCCCATCGACATACAACGAATCTCATCGGATACGAGTATCTCCAACAAGATCCAAGCACGCTAATGAGCTACCCTCTACTGGCTGCAGAAACAGCACCAGCTGCACCATCAGCTCTGTAGCCCCTCGACTCTCTCATATACTGGCCCGGAAGGCTTTGTAGGAGTACGTGTCAGCAATGTTCCGATAATTGGACATGTCAGAGGTACTCACCAGTTTAAGGATACCAATTGCTTCTTGCTGCAGTGGCATCGTGGATCCAGAGTGGACTCAACCATTTGGAGGAAGCGTCGCTGAAATGCGCTGAAAGTTGGCCGCGTTGTCATGCACGCATCGGTGCTTGTTGGCTACAAGGGGTCGCGGCATCCATTTTGTGTCGAGAAGGACTGAAGTGTGGGGCTCAAGGGGCCTTGAGTTGATCACTAGGAGGGAAGAGTGACCCTTTGGTTACAAGAAAGTTCACGCGCACAGTGAATGATGAGCGCGATGGGAGAAAAACCTTCATCTTGAGTCTATAATGGTCATTATACAGGTATAATACGAACTCGGCCTTCCCTCCCGAAGTCTCCGTCCATCATTATACACAGTTAGGCCTACAAACAAGTCCCAGTCATGCGCCCCGCACCTACAAGCGATCCAGACTCCATGTCCACGACCCACAAGCACCTCCTACATCACTACACACTTCATTCCACAAACCCTCTTCCCAATTCCATCACCATCCTTCGACCCCTCACTCACCCTCCTCCGTCTCTGCTCAAGATCTTGCATACTCGTCGCCGTCGCAAACGGCCCCTCATCCTCCTCGACGATCGGCTTCTTCCTCTCCATCTCATCCCTGCCCGGCGTGGAAAAGATACTATGCTTGCTCGCCACAGAAGCACCCGATGCCTCACTGCGCCTTGATACGCTGATATGGCGCGCCGGCTCCTTCTGTGCCTGCCTCTGCGCTGCAAAAAAAGGAGATAGAGTCTGAGACGGATTGTCGGGTTGCACCATGGCTTGTACAATGTGCGGCGCTGGCGGACCCACGACTCTCTTTACTGGCTCTGGAACCTCGACTTGCGAGCGATTGATCTCGCCTGGCTTGGACCTGGCACCTTGCTGCTGCTGCATCATCTTCCGCATATAATCCGCAATCCTCGGATGCGTATCATGCCCTGCCACAGGCTCGCCCTCACTGTTCGACTCCGCGAACGGCCTGCGGACTTGCAGTGGAGCATACGCTTCTCTTTGCTGCTCGTGCGGAATTGGAGAGGGCGTGTCGGGTGCTTCCCACTTCTCGGAGCTTACGGCAGAGCACGCAGATGATGACGATTCTTGGTGCACGGGTAGTGTTGGTGTGCGAACTAGCTGTTTGCGCGGAGATGCAGATCTGCTTTTCTGCGGCGAGCAAGATCGACTCTTGCGTGGTGAGGAACGACCAGATGGTGTGCCGCCGCGGCGCAGCGCTACTACTGGGGCGGTGGGCTCGATGCTGGAATGGTGCATGCCGTGCTCGTCGTGTTCGGTCTTACCGTCTTGACCTGGGTTGAACAGCGAAAAAGGCTCGAAGGAGGTTCCGGGTGCCGGTGTGCCACCATGTGCAAAGCCCAGGGCGAGCGCGTCGCTGAGGCTATCTGGTGACGGCTCGACCTGGCGGATTGTCGAGCGCGTGCTATACGCTGTGCCTGGACGCTCTGGAGATGCGGGCGCGGTGCGCGGGCGAATATGTGTCGCTCGCATATTATTCTCGTCGCTTGCAGGTACTGATGGCTCAGGTGCTGGTGGTGAAGAGGGTGGTGAAGGAGCCGGTGACGCTGGTGGTTCCTTAGGTGGAGAACTCGCAGGGTACGGCGGCAGAGGTGACAATGTGGGCGAAGAAAAGTTCTGGCGCATGGCCAAGCGAAGATGCAGGCGCTGGTGTAATGGTGAGTGGCTCATTTGCTTCCTTTCACCTTATCGATTTGCTATGCTCGTTTGTTGTGCAGTGTTTGGTCGATTCGAGAAGCTTCACTACGTACAGAAGATGAGCGTACTCCCTTGCTTTGCATCAAAAGCAAGCTCAGCTGTGTATTGCACTGCATACTCGACATTGCCGCAAACATGGTGGGGTTGAGACGTGTTTCTCGAGTTTACAGATACGATATTTCGAGGTTACACCGTTACGTCATGTTGTGCATGTGGTGGCATCTGTCGTGAGACTGTGCTATCTTCAACCCTGCATTAAGAGACCAAGTCGATACAGTGAACCCAAGGTATAACAACCATCTATCACTCCGTCCGTCGAGTCACGTTACAGATGACTTCCGGACCCTCGAATGACTTCTCGTGAACAAAAGTCAACAAGCACGAGGCTGAGAAATGTGATTAGTCTGTATTCGCACGAGCACTTCAAAACCTGTGTCAGTATTGCAGCACAAGCCCAATTTAAAGTTTCGCATGATGAGTCCAGCACAACAATGCTACAGGTCTTCTCCAAATCATCTGTCATGATCCATTGATGAGAACCAAATAGCCGGATTCAGATAGGCCAAATTTTGACGCTCTCGGTCTGCGGAAAGACCGCTTGCTACTGTGCCTCCTCGCATCACAGTCCAAACAAGCAGATCACGGCCCTGGAGATGCTTGCAGCTTGCTCCCGGAGAACTGCTTCGCTTCAACTGCTTTGCCTTTCCGCTTTCCTGGCTAGTCATGTTGCGTTTTTGTTTGGGTGTGGCGATACTCAGCTGTTCACACCGATCAGTACCCAAGCCAAGATGCCCCGATGCAAATTGCTTCTGCATGCTGACACGGAAGCAATGCGTGCGAAGCCTTGTGCTGGTGGCGCTTATCAGTCCTCCCGCTAGCTTTGAACTCATCAGATCCCCCTTGCACATGGCTGCGTGAGTATTCATTTTTCAGTCCTGAGGTAAGACCGTTCGAACACAGTATGCCCAGCGCAACGGAATCAGCCTCGCCGGAGTACCACACTGGGAGGTCGAGCCTCTGAACCGTTGCATCTTCGGCATACTCGCGTGTGTTATCATGATGCTGCTTTGTGTTTGGACCGCCGTACATCTAAACATCAGCGAATATGGAAAGTGGAAGGAGCAGATGGCAAGGAAGTTTGGTTGGCTTGTCGCAGCTCTTTTAGCACCTGAAATTGTACGTAGCCCTTTCATCGGTCGCGACTAACGGCGTGCTTATATAAGTAGTGACTGCGTATTGATTGATTGGTTTAACGTCCTATCTGAGTCTAAGTGTTGCAGTAAATGCAATAAGTGAAGGTGTAACCGCGCAGGGCAGTAAGTCAGGGGTAACCGCACGAAGCAGTAAAATCGGTATATATTGTTGTTGTTCTTGTTCAATGTTCTGTCTCTCTCCCCGGGCCATTAGGGTCTGTTTACATGACGTATCTGTCGTTCAGACAGGTAGAAAGGGCTTGTTAGAAAGGGCAAGAGCACTGCGCCAACACACGTGGCACACATGACCTCTATACTCCATTAACCGTCACACTAAGACTATGGAAGACGATTGGATAGTGACTGCGTATTGCCAACATGTAGAAGCCGAAGCGTTAGGAAGATCCATGCGTCAGGTCTTGGGCCAGCCAGAGCCGCCTGGTTTTTACCCCAGGTTCTCCAGTCAGCTGCAACGACTGCGGCTGAAAGCTAAGAACTCGAACGGAGGGATGCCTTTGGAGATAGTTTTGCGCTTCTTGAATTCGATTTATCATGCTCGTGCGCCAGCCACAAGACAAGGCCGATGTCAAGGACACATACCTATTCGTCATACACAGCGATGGGAGGCTTTTTCGTCGACACTCGCGACTTGGATACAACGTACCTGCCCGGTGACCGACAGAAAATGGCGCTCACAGTCGCAAGGGTCAAGTTTGTCGCTAAGCATGACTCTTCCCTACTGCCTGATTTATCTGAAACTAAGATTCAGGATAAGAGTAAAGCTAACACTTTCACGAACATGCTTACCTGTGGACAGGCGGTATGGTTAGTTATACAGTGTGTGACGAGATGGTCTCAAGGGTTCTCTATATCACTGTTGGAAATCAATACGGCTGTTCATTCGCTCTGTACCTTGATAATCTACTTCCTTTTCTGGTGGAAGAAGCCTCTGGATGCCGACGAGGCAACAACCTGCCAAGGCCAGGAGATACATACCCTAGGTCCCCTCAAGGCTGCCCGGTATTTGTTCTGTCTGCGCACACCCTTGCGCTGACACCTGGGATGGAGGCGCAAGAAAATCTAGTTGGTGACCGAACAGCAAGTGGCTCCTCGATCTCTACCACGGGAAGAGCCACCAGGGAACGCTTGAAAGAGATCGAAAGGTCGGCGTTGCAAATTCACGGCTTCGGCATTCATCTCAACAACAACAGTGTTCTTGACGATCCGCAACCTTCACGTCGCCGAACGCTCCTTGACACACCAAAAGCACTGTCAGGACCCGAGATTCGATGTCTTGAGCTTGCGTCCTACGCTATCGATGCATGTGGTCTAAAACCAGCCGAACCTGGAGGTAAAATTTTACGTGACATGTAATCACGATCTGCTTAAGCCGTGCATCAGGAGTCGGCCACAAAACCATCAGTTGAAACGTCCCAGAGACGAGCAAGCTGCCAGCCAGGAACCATTGTTCTTCTTCCACGCATTTTGTTTGGCGAACTGTTTCTTCGGCGGGATACATCTGCTCGTGTGGAATCGTCTCTTTCGGAAACCGATCGATGCATTGCTTTGGAAGATCTTCTGTGTACTCATCCTTTCTTCCGAAGAGGTTTTGATTCCTATAACCTGGCATACGACAGAGTTCGAGTGGAAGTCTTCCAACAACGACAAGACAACAATGCGTTGATTGTACCGTTGCCTCACTGGTTATGCACTGCAGTTGGGGTTATTGCAATTTTTCTACATTGTTCTTGCCAGGCTTTCATAATCGTGGAGTGTCTTCTGGATGCTCTTCATCTGCCTAATTCTGCCTTTGTGGTCCCCAGATGGTCACAGTGCTTTTCTCATATTTCATGAGAGCTCTCGTCATCTGAAGGTATAGTAACGCGGAGAAAAGACGTACACGTGTACGCGGCGACGCATAGGCTGTGCTTCTCCAAAGCTGCACACCACATATCAAGGCATGAAAAAATTCGCCGTAGCCAACTGTAAGGGACTTGCTCCCGGGAACGGACAGTATAGGCGCTGCAGTCGAGATAAACCCTATTGTTCGCCAGCGGTCCGTTGCAGTGTTTGCTAGCGGTCCGTTGCAGTATTTGCTAATGGTCCACTGCACTGATTGTCCAGCTCATTCGGTTAGCTGGGGTTTGCTTCCATACCCGTTCACGGCTATTCCCTTCTACTATATAGTCCCGATGGATCCTCGCCATAGCTCTACAGATCAATCAATCATCTCAATCCTTCCACACCTATCAAGCTCGCACTATCTTCTTGCGACTCCAACGGCGGCCCGGCTTACGGCGCCCTCAGACAGGGTGCAAGCGCCTCTGATTTCCCTACAAAATCGACAGTCACGCTAGCTAACATGCACGTGGCGGACCCGAGCATGGACGCCGGTCGCTTTGTTACCAATCGCTTGCGGTCGCAGTCGTCAGCTGTGAAAGGCAGGCGAGTCTGAACGCTTAGGATTGGGAAGGCACAAGTCACTGCAGGCCCAGTGCACCAATCGAGAAGCTGAGAGTCTTGACACCAGCACTGTACTCATCTTTAGACGCCCTGTAAATTACTGTATGAATACAGCTGTACAGCAGAGCATAACGTTGTAGCTTGTTGATCCGACACCATCCATGGCAATGCCAAGTTGTCAAATTCAGTAGAATGGACCACCACGCGAACAGCTGATGCTTACCAAGGACATCTCAGACCATTCTCAAGCATCTTACATACTACGAATTTCATGTGCGCCCGCACAAAGCATGCGTACCGACAGCATAGCCGGGATCTAGAGAACGACTTCCACCGGACATTCTTTGTCCGTCCCAGTCGATTGTTTGCCAGTGACAGATTTTTCAGCCAAAACGATACCTCATGTGGGCGACACCAAATACTCAGGAAACATATAAACTGGATGCGCTTGTCAAGAAGCTGGACATCCGCATCATGGGCATCTGATGGGCTATGTACTTCTTGGTAAATTGACTACCTACTTACCCAGCTTTTGCTTGGGCTCGTCACCAAGATTGACTACTGAAAACAAGCAGAACTACCTCGATCGCAACGCCATCGCACAAGTGCGTCTAAACAACCTCGAAGATGATCTTGGTCTCGAGGGCACCCAATACAATACCTGCATCAGTATCCCTTTCGTCGGGTAAGCGCAATGGCCTTCTAGGTCCAACGCTGGTTCTGACACCATTGCAGATATTTGCTCACCCAGACCCCATCGAACATGCTCATGTCCACCCAAAAGGTCCGCCCTTAAATCTACATGTGTGTCTGTATGATGGCATAGGCCGTCATCTCCGCCTGCACCACCTTGACGCATAACTATACCGGCCTCGTCGTAGTCCGCTTCTTCTTGATATTGACACGAGTTATATCTATACTGCATACTTGTACCCCAAGAGCGATGGCTCTAAGTACTTGACGGCGATGGCCAGCAATACTGCCTTCGCGTTTATGACGATTGCATGCGCTTGGGGACTGAGGATTTGGCTGCAGGTGACCAACAGGAGATTGAGGCGGGAGAAGCCAGAGGAGAGCATCTACTACGCTTATTAGTGGGAAAGTTCGAAAGTCGACGGATATCTGGGAGTGTCGCTTTACGAGGAATCTCGTTTTACTAATCACTAGACGCGTCTTCTACTGAGGCAGCGCATCAAAATCGTAGCACCGATGGCGTACCAGACTTAAAAACCTTGAAGCATTGTAGCATTTAAAGGCCAAGTGAAAATGTAACTCATCATACATCCTACCGAAGCTGCTCGTGAATTGTGACCAGCTCTGAAATCAACCCTTTTGCTCGCGACCACGTTCAGAATATACGAGATCTCAAGTGAATGCATCGACACAAAGGAAATTTTGAAGGCAACGGCGCAGAACTTCCAGTCTCAGAGCTCGATAAGCCTGATTGTGAATAGCTATTTTCACACGAAACTACACGCGAAGCCACTCTGCAGTACACACTCATGTTGCACTCTGCACGTAACCCACCCTCATCTTATCTCGCTTGTCTGTCCGACGCCACTCGTCGCGCGAATCTATGCATGTGAACACTACCTGCCATTGACGAGGCTTCATCGAGGCAAGCCGTAGCCTCTTCCAAATTGGAAGTAAGACGCAGGGGACCAGCGGCTTCCAGTGTTTGCCCGTCCGGCTTGCCGGACCATCATGCCAGTTTCTACTTGATCTGCAACCCCAGGTGTTTGCCTCGGCCGTGTGTGTAACGATCCAAACATGTTGTCGATGTATGATGACGGCCTCCGAGGCTGCAGCGTCTCGTTATGTGCAACCCGAGAAGACATGTGCGGCATTGTTCCATAGTCTTGCCTCGTCAAAGAAGCGTAGTGATCATCTGCGTTCAGGATCGTGATCTCCACTTCATCGTGGGACGTGCTAAGCCGCTGCTGTTGTAGCCGTGGCAGATGCCGTCTAGAATACTCGCGGGGATAGTATGGGACATCATCCGAGAAATAACGTGGTGCATCTCGCAGTTGTACATGTGCTGACGCTGCATCATGCCGTTGTATCTCCTGCAGAAACTCTCTAGCGTAGTCGCGATAGAAGACTAGCAGATCATCAAAGACATCCTGCGATACTTCGACCAAATGTGAAGGAGCTGACGCTACATCGTGTCGATAAATCGGGTTCGTCGACACGCTGGGAGGTATCGGTTGCCGGTGTTCGGGACAATACGGTTGATGATGACCATGTGGCAGGATGTGGCAATCGGCCGTAAAGCAACGTCCTTGCTCTCGAATTGCTAAGCAGAGATCTTGTTAGCGATGACCCAAAATGTTGCGGGCTGACTGACAAAGCTTCGCTCGAAGCTGGAGGAACTTGTAAATTGTGAGCAACACTTACAGATCGTACTCTGCGCACGGCGATCTGGAACGATAGTTCTCTCGCTGTCATTCGTTCCCCTGCGCCTGTTGCGCTCTTGACCTAAGTTCGAAATCAGTCATCGCTGCTTGACAGTATGCGTTCGAACTGTACCTATAAGTTCAGGTGATGGCCTGGCCTGAAGTCCTGCATAATCGAGCAAGACAGTGCGACATATCGGACACTTGTCATGGTTGCCAATGCGGAACTGATTCGTCTTGATGAGACATGGCACACATATGGCGTGGTGACAGTGCGGCAGGATTGCAGGAGCTCGATCGGCGCACTAGGCCTCGTAACAGATGGGACACTCAGCCTCGCACCGTGCCGTGAGGAACCGGGTCATTATGGAGAGTGCGAGCTCCCTCTCGCGTGCGGTGGTTGAAGAGGCCATGATTGCGATATTGTGTGGTAAGTGTAAAGGAGTGTGGGTAAAATGTGCGACTGGGGTAAGATACGGTGGAAGATGTGAGTAGATAGAGTGCACAAAGAGTGAAGTTGGAGATTGGAGCTGACGGATCTGAATAGTCAGTCGCGTGTGGGCGGAAAGAATGATGCACGAAGCACGTGGTAACAAACAACGGGTAAGATGGGGTAAGCATACCTCAGGTTTGGGAAAGCGCTTCTCATAGTCTCGGACTCACTTCGCTGACTACATGCTATAGCGTTTATACGCTCAATCTGTGCCATTACCGAGACGCATTGTGCTCAGACTTTCGCTTCTGACCTGCTGAATGTGATCAATAGCCTCGATCAGGTGCGGCACAAACGCCTTGGGGTTCTCAGTCGCTGGAAAATGGCCCAAACCGGGCATGGCCTTGTGCTTGGCTCCAGGAATCTTGTCCGCAGTTTTTTGCGACATCTCAGGTGTGTTTGACCAATCGTACTCGCCAGTCAGCATGTAGACAGGGCAGCTGTTAGTGTCGATAGACGCAACGCGTGAGCGACCATCCCAGCCTCCGAAGTAGAAGTCCAGATCGCCGTGGAAGATCTGAGAGGATGGTCAGTACCTTATCATGGGGAAAATGTAGTACTAAGTATTTACCCCGTACGCCTGGGCACTGTGAAGGTGCCAGATCAAATCCTTGTTGACCTTCGGTGCGGTCGGAGACATCATCTACCCTCATTAGCGCTGCCATTTTGTCCAGAAAGGCGCCCTTACGCCGTAGATATATTCTGGGTTGAATAGAGACTGGTTCACGTATGGCGCGCGGTCGTACCACTGGCGCTCCATGTTCACGTATTCGGATCTGGGAATTGTTAGCCTGTGAAGGGATCTGAAACTAACTGTACCCACCCCTGCAGAGGAATGGTGCCACCAGCACCGACTTCCTTATGGCGGATGGCGACTGCCAAGCAGACTTGACCAGCCATACCCGCACCACAAATGATAGGTCTTCGCAGTCCAAGCTCCTTGACGAACGCCCCAATGATGCCCACGTAGCTGTCTTCGGTGTTTGTGTGTGCTCCTGGTGGCAGGTTCTTCGAAGGGAAACTTCGGCCATGCCCTGGCAGATCGAAAGCGTACATAGTGCACTTTTTGCGCATCTGCGGGTCGTTCATAACACCGTGGTACTGGCGGCTGTCGCTACCAGCTGTGTGCAGGAAGACAATCTGCTGTTTTCCATCTCCAGAAGTCTCGTAAAAAACCTTCGACCTGCCCCAGACTGGTGCATCGAGGAACACGTAGCGACCGGTAAGGTAGTCGCGCTCCTGCTCGAGTTGCTCTTCCTCCTTCAGCGGGCCACAATGAGCCTCGTGCGCGAGTTCGAGAACGCGCCTCCAGACATGAGTCCAGTGAGCGAAAGCAGACTGGTCACCCAAAACCTCGATGCCCTTTTGTTTGATGTTCATACCAAACATGCCCCAGTAGCTCTGGTAAGGCATGGCGGGAGTCTCCTTGAAGTGCTGCTCCCACTGCTCTGGAAGAGCAGAAAGTGTGAACAGTGCATCCTTCGAGGTGCCTGTGCCTGCTTTGGCGCTGCCGTTGGTGACTTCGATCAGCAGTGTGTTGTCAGAGCCGCTCGATTTGATGCCGAATGTGACAGATTTATCGATCACGTCTGAGGTGGTAAAGGCCTTCAGCTGGGCATCAGACTGAAGCAGCTTGGTAAGCTTATCCTTGCTACCTCCCAACGCCTTGGTGAGGTCATCCCAGCTGGACATGATGGTGCTCAAGAGATCGCGATGCTTGCTTGGTGTTTGTTATTGCAACAGGAAGAACGAGGCAGGGTCAATTGCTGTAGACAGTCGCAATTGAGGTACAAGTGCAAGTGTAATAGATACATTGAGGCAGCTATTGACTATCATATATAAAGCCTACACGCCTACCTAGGAGCAATGAGGTCAGAGTGGGAGGGGTAGCTTCATGAATCGTGCGGGGTTGAATGCACGTGGGTGAGGCGTTCGATGTCGGAGGGCCACCTCTCTACGCGCTTGGATAAAGTCTTTGTGTACAAAATGACAGGCGGCGGCCCAGAACGTGAGCATAACTTGCGACGATCAGGCGGCGGAGGGTGATCAAGCTGCAGACGCGTCGAAAGGATGTTAGACTAACAGCTGAATGCGGTTAGGGCCTGATCCTTCCCCACACTTTGCTTGGGCGACTTCCGGTCGAGATCCCGCATCCGACATCACCCCAGCTCTTACTTCCTGCTGAACGTCTGATCGGAGCTTGGAAGGCGATGTCAATCCGAGACTCTAGTCAAGCAGTCATGATAGAAGACATGGACCATCGAGCGCGGTGTAACGCGTTTGAGGACAACGTTACAGCGTTGAAGAAGTCTCCTAGTCTTACGCTTGTGCATAACGACCAGTTACGGAGGCACCAGAAGGAAGACTTGGTCGCCTTTTACAGAGGAGAGACTCATGATGTTCTTCGGAATCATTCGTACAAGTTCGCCGTTGTATACCGAACTTGTCTTCACCTGCATACGATTCTCAGCATGTTTCTTTCACTTGGTCGCACTGCATCCTCCTCGGGACTTTGTAATCACGGGTACCACGATATGCTCACCAAACGAACACAGCATCTCAACAACCGTTATCTCTGCCTTGCCACATTTCCTCGTCTTTCCACTGTCAGCCTTTCCACTGACTGCGACACAACTACATTTCAACATGATTCTCGAGCATCTCAATCTTATTCTCACGCTCAATGTCCTAGCATTTCTGACTCTACCCACACTTGCATTCATTGACAGCCCCATGGACTGGGTCTTCGTCCCCAACCACACGCGCGGCCTCGTATGCCCATCACTGCGCTACGGCTGTTGTCCAGACCTGAACACATGGCGCCACGGTTCACCTTGCGAACACCCAAAAGCGACAAAGAATCCCGAAAGCTGCTACAAGAGGAAGGAGTGGGCGTGTTGCCAGGTCGACGTGTGTTTTCCGAAGATCAAAAAGGGGTTATGAGATAGTTGAAGCTAACAATGTGATAGGATGACACGTTCTCTTGCACGACAGGCTTTCAGAAAGACAAAAAGGACGGAGCATACGGATGGCGTTCGGGGACGAGTGAGAAGTACTTCGGTATAGGGAAGGGCGCGTTGACGGTTCAGGAGAAGCAGGCACTGGGGCGCAGCAGCTAATGGCCTGACAAGAGGAGAGGGATCTTGCAGATGAAGATGGTGTTCATGACCTCCGGATCATGCTTGTACGATGTGCACCCGGATCCCACTGTCATTTTCGTAGACAGTCGCAATCATACTCACACTGACCCTCTGGTACATGTCAACCTACAGGAACACATAAAACCTCACAATCCATGTTTCCGTTGCTTCCACGAACCACCATCATCCTGCTTACTCTCGCCATGCATCTCCTACCCATCATCCCTCCGCTAGCTCTCTCAACAGTCGCAGCAGCACAAGACTCAATATGTGAAGCAATCTTCCCTGGCCCCCAAGACGCATGCTGTCCCATCTCTAATCTAGTGGGGTCCCGCATCCCCCTGTTACAAGCCGGAGCTCGTAGCCAACATAACAGCTTGAACCACCGCGAAGGATACCACGGGGTGGGCGTGCCGTCTCAAACTGGTGTGCATCTCCTCCTCGTTCAGAGTACACTACAGGAGTTCAGAAACGAAGGCTGACAAGTGATAGGACAGTGGTGAGTCAATGGGAGGTGATCCGCTCTGAAGTTATTATCACAGAATAGAAAGTTCATTGATTGTTTGATATGAGGCAACATGAAGAATGAAGTGGCTCTGATTACTGCAATATCCTTCGTTACTCTGCCACAGTAAGCGCGGCGAACGCGAGCGACGGACATATGCCCAGTGTCTATACTTCCACCCATATCACACAAGTCCTCCCCTGTGCGACTCGTAACTCGTCAAAACGCAGAAAAGTGGTATCCCAGCTCGCGCCCCCAATGCAATATCGATGAACCCATGTGAACATCTGCTTCCGCCACAGCCCTCTTTAGCGTTCAGAATATGTCGTCCTCGCCGGAGTCATAAGCCTGAGGCTGAGGCTGAGACCCCGGAGGCGGAGGCGCCAGAGGGACATGCTGGCGCCAGGCTCGGACGCGCCCCTGCAGGGCAGCAATCTGACTTCTCTTCTAAAAAGTCTCCTCCTCGGCACCCTCGGCACCTTCGGCAGGGATCTCGAAGCCCTCTTCAGTCGAGTAGAGAATGTTCTGGATCTGCTTCAGAAGACCCTCGTCCTTCTCGAGCTCGGGGTCGGCCTCCATGGCCTGCTGAATGAGCAGTTCTATGTCCCTCAGCTTGCTGAAGTAGAAGTCGCGCTCGCGCTCCAGGCCAGACACAGTCTCCTTAAGTTGTGTGTTCTCTTCCCTAAGAGCGGCACTTGCTGCGCCTCCAGAAGCGGCAAGCGGTGTTCGGGTTCGCGGTGCGGCGGTGTTGCTGGCAGCGGGCGCTCTCCTGGCTGCGGCAGGTGTGGCACGGGGTGCTGGTGCGCCACCTCCTACTACTGCTTTCGCGCCGCGGCGGGCGACCGGGTCGTACTCGTGGCCGGGGAAGTGCTGATCCCAGTACTGCTTGACGAACTGAAGGAACTCGAGGTTGTCCTGCATCTTGCACTTGACAAGGGACTCGACGCGGATGGGCTTATCGATCTGGTGCTTGGCGAATGTGTCTGCACATGTCAGTACAAATACGTGGTAGCGAGCAGGGGGAGACGCACTCTGCAGTACTTTGAAGTTCTGCAAGTATGCATATTCTGTGTTGGCGTTGAACTTGACTCTCGACATGGGCACATCGTAAAAGATGCTGTCGAAGACCTGGCATAGTGCGGCGCTGGACTTGCTGTCAGCCTTCTGTATTTGTGTGCCTCGTGGCTGTATTGTCATGCCCCGCTATGCTTCCGGCGCAAAGGTGACGTACCCTGTCCCGCACTGTTCGACCTTCGTGATGTTGAGCTGAAGGAGGTTGTTGAGCCATGCGACTAGTTCTTGCCTGTAGTGAAGTGGCAGTCAGCAAATGTTGGTGGTGAAGGGGCAGCGAATGCCTGCGAATTTATCGTCGCAGCCTGGGGCCTCTCTTACCTTGACTCGCCCATCGTGAATGTGTGAAGAGGTGATTTCAGGTGGAAGTGATCGGAGATGAAAAGCGATGGGTCACCTTGCGGGCAAAATAATAAATGAGAGCAAGGGGTGGGCGTGAAGGGGTGCACGAGTCGGCGTATTGTGTTTGTTGATGGCTTTGGGCTTCGTTGGTCGGAGGGCAACGGCGCATTGAAATTCCCCATGGCTTCCAAAAAGGCTAGACCAAAATGGTTAGCGCCTTTTTCGCGTGCTCCAGCGAAGGTGCTCGATCAAGTGCAGTCATAACCAACATGTGGAATCTATATCCTCGACTTCTGAATTGCATGTTCTGCATGTTCAAAGTGACCTTTGTTGTATTGTTCCCCAATTGTCGATCGTATAGGTCTAGTGACCTCCCATCCACAGTCCACGTTTTCACCTACTGATTCTTCGGCGCATAATGCCCATGCATCCTCGAGTTCACAAGCTGGATGTCATCAGAAGAGTCAGTGTCATCACCCGTTGTGCTCCGTCTCCTGCTCCCACCACGCTCCCTCTGCGCATACTTCGGCGGCGCGTCGGCCAATTTCCTAGCTCTCCTTCTCTCGCCTATAACCATCGCAGCCACCCACGCCAGCCATACGGCCACAGCAATGACAGCATATGCAATGATACCGCCCCTCGAGCTCATGTTCATCGAGTCAGCCCACTGCAGACCAAGGCCCCCATTGATGATACCGAGGGTGACAGCGATACGCCCAACCCAGATGTGCAAGTATGACCAGAGTGTGCGGCTCTGGTACTTCTTGAAGAGTGCGTGGTGCATGAAGCCTAAGATCGGTTGCAGGAAGACAAGGATGAAGACTACGATGCCAATGATGGGGTGGTAGTGGTCGAGCATCTCCATGCCTGATGCAATGTACACACCCAGACCGAACGCAGCGATGTAAACCAGGTACGCGAAGACTTGGAAAGCGGCGTGGAACCACACAACACCTGGGAAGGAGGCAAGACGGATGGCAATGGCGCCTGCTGGGAAGAGGATGACGAAGGCGAGGGATGCGAGAACGCCGTGAGTGATGAGCATTGTACGTCGCTGAGAAGAGCCGCCGCCGCCTGAGCCAATTGAGGTGAAACCACCGGTTCCAGAGCTGGTATCGTCGCAGTACGGAAGGTTTTGTCGCTTCGCGAGTCTGTTTGGGCCATCATCATCGTCCGTTGGACGGCCAGTCGGCCAAGCAGTCGGCCTGACAGTGACCCAGGAAGGACGCCCCCATCTTGTTTGGCTGTCATCATTGTCATCGTCGTCTGAAGTCTGCGTGGGATTGGCTGCGGTGGCGGTTACTGAAATTGATCCTCCTGTAGCCTGTGCACCTTGTCGTGGGATGCAGCTTGTGACTGTCGAACCTCCGGATCCAGTGCCGGATCCAGTGCCGGTTCCCGCAGGCGCGGCGTTCACAAGTGGGTTGACGCTACTTCCTCCTTTTGCGTTGGTGTAGTCCCATGAAAAGGAGTCGTGCTGGTTGTGTTGGCGGATCGATGCTGATTGATCGTTAGAGTTCAGTGCACCCCCAGATGACTGGTAGGCATATATCCAGTTCCCGCTCGAAGCTTTGAAGTCTGCAGTCCCGCCTGACCAGCTGTTGCAATTCGAACCTGGTTCTTGTTAGATTCACTTCGATGCTGCCACGAAGGGATGCTCACATTTGACATTGGCGGTCATGATGCCATTTGAGACTCCCGACCCCTCGAGGAGTTCGACTTGCGTGTTGCTGTTGAGTGTAGGCATACTGTACCCGCTAGATGATCGAGGCGATAATGTTACGTTGTTTCCATCTGCTGATGTGTAGACAACAAACATGTTGGAGCCGGACATAGCCCGCCCCTGCCCAAGTGCAACCCATGAGTAAGTGCTTGGTGCAGAAAGCTGGAAGAAGATGTCTCCACTGCCAGATGAAGCTGTGCTCTCCGGAATGTTCAGCTTGAAGCAGACATTCGTCGATGGACAGACATTTGCAACCTGGGCCGAGGCATGCGAAGCTGATTGTGGTTAGTGTCAGTCTTACATCAATCACAGATGTACTCACCCAGAGCCAACAGCCCAGAAGTCAAAAGCGCTCTTCTGTTGATTCGCATCTTGGAACTGTCACGAACCAAAAGTGCGAGGTTTTCAGGCGAGGTTCAGAGTCGTCCCTCTCACACAAAGAGGGCTTATGAGCTGAAAGAGCAGGTGCCAGGGGTATATTAATACGGCTGACAGGTAGCCACGAGGAGTTAGAAGTATAAGGCGGCACGCGAGACGCAAGCTACCGAGCCAATGGGCGCTGCGACGAACAAGAACTATTTGTAGGCCGCTGGTGTTTTGTGGAGGTGGACAAAGGTTTGGTAGTTGTGGAGACCTAAGCCCAACGATGGAGGTGGTTTCAATCCGAACAATGCGAATTCGGGTCGCGGATACGAGTAGACTAGATGTATGATTGCGCGGTATACTACACACGACATGGGGATGTTATGGCTTTCTCGATAGTTTTGACCGCATGCGGTCATGGCGGGGAGCCGTCCGGTGCGGATGGCGGAGGCTGGAACAAACCTCAGGAAGAGCCAGCACACAAGAGGAACGCGTCATGGCCAGCGCGAAGCTTGACTATCGCGAGTTGAAGGCCTATAGGACTTGAGCAGGCTTATCGTAATACTCCGAGACGTGAGGATCTTAGTATTGGTCGCACTGGGCGCGCTGGGACTTGACGCGTAGAGTGGCTGAGCGTGCAGAACAAAGAGATGCAGGTCAGCTGCGGGCAGCTGACCTATCACAGAGCATATGTTTCGCATCGGCTACGTTTCGGGACAGTCTGTCTGCGAGGATGGTCGTGCATGGCTGACATGTCGATGAACGAAACGCCCTGCTGTGTGGTTAAAGATTCAAGGCGAGTATCGACCCGGGACTGGGAAGCCGTGCAGCGCGTTTCAAGCTCGAGCCCAGCACTCGCGACGCCGCAACACCATGGCAGTTGCACAATAGCAGGTCCTGCATCGTACATAAATACCAACTATCAAGTTATTGGAGTCGAGGATTTTGATCTCTACACTCTTTTCGCTCGAGCTAACGATCCTGGCTTGGTTCGTCGTGTCCTTGCATGAGACTTGACACTGCCGCAATGCTTGTGTCCGTAGCTGAGCCCTTGGCTTACAATAGCAGCTCCGCTGCCGTTTAGTATTGGTGGGTCTGACTTTTGTGACTTGCACTTGCAAGACGCGGTATGTATTGGGGCTCACTGCGTCATTGTACCTTCCCAGCTTATTGTCCGATGCGCCATCGGTTACCTTTAGGCTGACATTTGACAGCAGACACAGAGGGCGTACGTTGCCAACTGTCTGACGCAGTTGTTCAACTCGGTCCCTCGAGTGTATGTACAGTTGACAGACGGTCGTTCGCGTGATTCGTGCGTAGGTGACAATATCAAATGAGTACAATATCTTCTGGAACGATTGAGACCAGGCTCCGCCAACCATCATCATCTTTCCCCACAGGGAACCTTCCTGCCCCTACTCGTCTATAGACAACATCCTGCTCTCGTATGACTTGCCGGAGAATGATGGCAAACACAAGCGATGACCTCCCGGACCGATCTATGAGAATAGCGTCGATCAAAGCAAGTCTTGTGTCTCCTTGGGTGCCATGCAACTCAGCGCTGCTGTCGAACACAAACCCAGCAAGGTCAACTCGGATCTGGAAGCCTTCTGATGTCAAATATAGTTGTGTGACGTCCTGACCAATGGAAACATTGGTCTCCTAGCGGCAGTGCATGAGGGGTGCGGAGAGCTCGATGTGGGCTGCCGTAAGTTGGCCATGTAAATTGAAGGGGTCTTTCGGCATGAGGTGAGCGCTGCGCAACTGTGCAATTGGCCGATAAGTAGAGTATTTGTTTCTCGTGTACAGGAGGGCTCCGGTCATGTGAACGGAGCAGTCACTCTTAGCCCAGCTCCAGCAAGGACATCTGTAGATGGAAACTCCCTGATGGGGCTCGAAGGCCGTAGGCTCATCCATGACTATTCAAGCAAGGAGGCTCGGGAGATGGCATTCTAGAAAGCCCGCAATGTACCGTGAATCCAAGTTTTTGGCGAAGTGTTCAGCGATTGCTCCGAAGGCAGGGAATATATCCGTGTTCACGTGTGTAAGCCGGCGATTACTGTACTCTTCCACTAATTCACAGAATTTCTGCAATTGGAGGTTTTCGTTGTTCAGAGGTCGAGACCTTCGGAGTACGGATGTTGGTATGGTTTCGACCTCGTTCCTACTATTGCGAGAGGACTTTCCCCTTAGGATCGTCCAGTGATCTAGAGAGCACAAATCAAACTTAGCCTACTCGCAGCCCTGGCCAAATGGTACCCCCATAGGTGTATCTTCACACACGCTCAGGGACTGGGCACACTCCCAATGTAGCTGGTCTTGTGCGAAATGTATGATCCGAGGTGACATAACCCGTTCCTGCAATACCCATCCACGTTTTTGTAACGGCGCCGCCGCAAGGCTGTGTTGCAACGCTTGGGACTTGTACTCGATCTTCTTGACTGGAGTCCTGATGTGGAAGAGTCCATGCTGCGACGAAGATGCCCAATCTGCAGAAACATTGAGGATAGCGTTCCTGTAAATTTGTGGCATCAATGAGACGTGCTGGAGCCAATCGACTTCGCTACCATCCCCACTCTGAATTATGCATAGACTATCAATCCAAAGGTACCGAATACCAATGTTCCGACAAAACAGGATGGCATCGCGAAACGTTTTCGGTAGCTCCGTGATGTCGATTCGTGCTTGAAATGCTGCAAGATTGCCGGCGGTCAAGGTAAAAAAGCTCGGATTTGGGCCCCAGCAATGACTCAGGGTAGCATATGAGTCAGTGACCAACTGAGAAGCAGTAGGGATGAGCCGAATTGATTCGGTCATCAAGCAAAGCAACCGGGGAGGCTGGTAGTCTGGGTTACGCTCTTGACCACAAAATTGATGTCGGGTTAGACACCGTTCCAGCCACGTTTGAGCGAGAGCATGTGCTTGACGACCCAAAGAATGTGCTGGGGCGTGGTAGGGTTCAAGTGAACCAGCGTTGATCGACAAGTCAAAGCGTGGCATTTTCAGATATGCTTCTGCTAGTCGCACCGAACCCGAATGTAGGGTAATTGCTATAGTCAGCTCCTCTTCCGAAGTGAATCTGGAGTTGACGAACCATCGTATCCGTAGCTTCAGTGGGTCAGATTCGCCAACAGTGGCCTCAGTACATTCTTTGACGATTGTTCGACAGACAAGACAACCTGCATTTTGTGCAGCTTGAAGCCCTGACTTTGTGGTGCTGTGTCCTCCTTCTGGACTGCCATCGAGAAAATCCTCGATCACGTTTGTGCATGCTGCGCAAAACTTCGGTCTCGTGCCTTGACCCACTACGTCGCTATTATCCCCCGTTTGTTTGTTGGCCATCCTTTGCGGGAAGGAGACCTCAGAGATACGCAGAGAAATCTAAGATGGGCTGGGTCGGAACGCAATCGAAATTATTGTTCTGAAGATGTGCAACGAACACAATCAACGCTCGCTACCAGGCTACCAGGATCAGGTGGACTATGGCTTCGGATTTGAAGAGGCTTGACGACCTCCAGGAAGATGGGTGCAGAAAGACTTCTGATGCTTTTTCAAATCTCCAGTATGAGGAATCGTTCGAAGTTTAATGTTCGTTGGATTCGTTTGCAACTCTAAGCGAGATCAGTCATCAAAGGCTGAGCAAAGACTCCCCTGCAAAACGTACACTAATGTCGTATCAATCCTTCGAAGACCTTGCTGGCCGCAGAGTTGACCTTCAGCACGTCTCTGTATGTCAGACTGATCCTCGTTCCCCTCACATTGCGGCCGCCCGCATCCTCAAACACCCTTCGATCGCCCAGCAGCGACCAGTTCGCAACCGTCGCAACATTGAGATCTTCATCAACCTCCACAGCATCAACACCATGCAGCAATGACTCATACGCCACCCCAGTCGTAATAAGCAGCGATCTCGGTTCCTGCAAAATGCGGGTCGGTATCTTCCATTGCCCTTCACCATCTTTTCCCTCCTCTTTTACCTGTTCACCATCCTCGCTGGCCCCCGGTTTCGGAGAAAGACTTAAACACACACTCCCACCCAAACTCACAGTCGCAACCACACTCGCGTACGCCTTGCCATCCTCATGCGGCATAATGCCCTCACCGGGCTTATACTCATTGATGAGGACGTGATTCGGTTGCTCATGGGGCGTGTGATGGAAGATGCCTAGGTTCCTGAAGCGCGGGAAGATTTGGTTGGTGAGATATGCTGGGAGGGAAGAGGCGAGGAGTGTGTTGTTTTTGGTGAGTGTGGAGGGGTGTGCTTGGAGGCGCCGGTGGGAGAGGGTTATCCATCTTTGCGTGGGGATCTGGATTTACATGAGTAAGGATAGATGATGAATGGGTCTGGCGGACGTAATTTTTGCAGTATCGATGCTTCTTCCTCGACCGAGATGAAGTTCGGGATGTAGTAGAAGTCCGGAGGCAAACCCGCGATGCGGAAGGCTTGCAGTGGGTGCTCAGCGCTGTTGGCAGTCATAGTGCCTGCAAAGATGAATTCCGCTTGCGCACGAGTAATTTCGTGAGGTCTGGCTGATATTTGAAATTGGTCGATAAAAGTGATGTGCACTTTAAATGCGTCAATGGAACCGTTGTACACGAACGTTGAGATGACTAAGCCGCCGCTAGCGCCACATCCTTTACCTTTGCAAATCGTCTTCTTCGTGGCCACTGACAAGGTGTAAGTGTGTGGCGCTAACCGCAGATTGCCACCTGCCCACTCGAACGCACGATTGTGGAGGTCACAAGAATCTTTTCGCTTGAAGTAGCACCATCTATATAGAAGCGTGTCATAGGCTGTAGGCGCCTGTCTATGTGGGGTTCAGCGCAGGTCCCGCTCCATAGACACTTGTTCAGCTCTGTGTCGACGCCATCAATCCAAACCCCATCGTTTTTGCTTTTTTTGGGCTCGCCAGGACATGACCTATAAATTTTCAGCGAAAAGTCAAAAATCTCGACGAAGATTGTGGTATGAGTAGTGTTCTGCAAGTCTGCTGAGGACCTCCATCTTCCTGGACTAACCGTGAGTAACTCACAAGCATAGGAAAAGCTTACACAATGACCACAGGTTCGAACTGCCTCTGCCTTCCTCTCGTCATAGCCTCGCCATACATACAGCCATGAACATAGCCCTCACCAACAAGAACAAAGGTCCCTCCGCTCTGTCTCCGTAACACGATTGGGACCTTTACACCTTCGAGTATCCATACATCGTCACTCTGGCGGGTCGAGCGCGGGCAAGCATCAGCTGGCCCTCATCTGTGGTATATAACCTGCGACCACGCAAAGCTACCTTGTAGGCAACATGGAAACCGCCAACACTCAGTCCCGATGATTGAGTATTGAGTCTGCTGGCAGCTGCCTCGGTCTCAGCGAGTGTGAAAAGGTGGTTTTATGGCGCGTCGGCGACACCTTCCTCTGTCTTGAAAAGATCCTCAATCTCCAGTACGTATGAACGCTGCTTCGACTGTGAATCACAATCCTGACAATCCCGCCAAAGCTGTACGAGCTGCGCAAGAAGCCAGCTTCGAAACAGCGTGGGGCAAGACTGCGAGTCAAAATTAGGGGCGGATCGTCGACGAGCAACGTCTTCTACATGGCATCATACTTCGAGTCCTGTGTGCAAGGGTGCAGCTTATCCTACATCGCGAACCTAGCCGCCCACAATGATGTGAGGAGCTTATCATCGGGATTTTCGTCTAACCCGCACCAGTTGACCGTTACTAGGAACGCTCCGCGTAGCACAAGCGTTGACCCTCGTACTTTCCTTTTGCCTGGGTCCTCCGCGATCGCATGGGACGCGTTGAATGCGCGGCCAAAGACGTAATTGCGGTCTTGGCCGTTGCGGTAGAAGCCACTGGAGCGAACTAGGCAGTTGTGTGTTATTTGTGGCGGCATAGCCGCTGTAGTACACTGATAGCTATGGTAAACGATAACGTAGGACTATCGGGTCGATGGATTACTGCGCTGAGTTGCTCTCTAGCTAGGGGATGACGACTATATACCTGACCAGTAACACACTAGACTAGAGTAGTCTGTCAGGGGTATAGTCAGACCTTGTACGGACCAATCGATACCGCAACATTATTCCTTGGGAGTAGTCTGGGACCCTTGAAGGTAGGGTCTGGTAACGGCGTGCCGAAAGATCTTCTCGGGCGGACAAAACGTTTATGAAGGGGTGTTCATGGATCAACAGCGCTGCAAAGTTGGTATAAACCTCCTCAACCGTTATATGGTAATCTGCACGAAGCTTCAGGTGAAGGCCGACTGGCGCAGAAGTGCACATCATTCCCAAGCAGGCATAGACAGCATTCCTCGGGCCTGTCAACTTTCGCCACCGCACACGGCTTATGACCTCAGCATATGCTGCGTACCATCTTTTCTCGTCAGTACCCGTGCCACATATGGCTTTTAAGTGGTCCCAGTTATGCTCGTGCGAATGAGGCAATGCAGACAGAACAGCGCGGAGGTTCGAGAAACTGCCCATGCCGCCTCGAGCGTTTGCGAAGTTTTTGTCCACGGTCTTCCAATACAGTTGCTGCGTCCAGCCAGAGCGTACGAGGAACCTGTCAAAATCCTCCAGCCTTTGGTACTAAAACTCTTGTGCCCGGGCCAGGAAAGAAACAATCTTTCAGGCGTCGAATACACACTTCCTGGATGATTCAGGCGCGAGAAAACCAAGGACGCTCAAAAATCTGCATAAATCCCCGCCAGTGCAATCGCCATACCTTGCAAACTTCTACCCCAACAGATTCTGCAAGTTCAGGATCCGTGCAGAGCATGACTTTGTCGTTGTCGAACGGCAGGTCCTGCTCTCAGCGCCTCCAATCTTGCAAGATGGCAGGAATGAACCTATCGATAATCTTCTTCGCACATACGTAAACTTTACTACACCGTTGATACACATCGCCCATGAGCATGACCTGTGCAGACCTCTCATCCAAATCGTCTTGGTTGATGCAAACAGCGTCTATCCAAAAGGCCTCGATCTCATCGCGCGTCCGCAGCTATTGCAGAAAATGGTACAGATTTTCTCGAATCCGCAGAGCACCTTGGTTGCATTGGGTGTGGAGTGGTTGCGGGGAAGGACTGGAGGCGCTGATGTCGGCCCTGGAGAAACTCTTGTATACAGATCTCCAGGTGCATTACAAGACTGCGAACCTGGGCAGGTGATCGAGATGGGTTCTTTTGAGCTCGAGCAGCAGTTCATGAGGTTCGGCGTCACTACAAGTTAGGTGTAGCAGACGAATTTCGTGATTATCGAGCGGTCCGTATGGATACACTGTCGCGGATAATGGAGACGTTATCAGATGTGATCCATCCGTGAGCTTGTGGAAGTTGGGGGTGCGTTGGGGTGGGAAGGCTGAATAGAGTGAATCCATCAAACGTCCACGATGCAATACCACTTTCATTAAAGTAGCAACAAAGCTGATGCGTATTACTGAATTGAGTCACTCTGCATCGCCTGCCCATCCGTGAAACCGGCCCGCCGCTGCATGCACATCAGGATGAGGAGCTCGTTGCGCTTGAGCTGCTCGTGTTTACCATCGTTTTGTACGTACACATCTCTCGATATGATGTCTTTGACATTTTATGAACAATGCGTATGCACACAACCTCTGCCAATTGTAACTACATGGCTTAAGTCACATGATATCCTATTGTAGAAGGCACTGCCCGACAACAAGTGCACTTACCTCTGAGCTGAGACCTCCTGGACAAGATCACCGAACAACAAAGATAGCAATACAATCATTGATCACAGCCTCCTACTGACACTGCTCACGCAGTAACAACAAATAGTCGCCCCATAACAGACTATTTCTGCCATAGATGACAGATCAGCCCTGAGAACGTTTCCTGACATCTACCGCTCGTCGTCGCTGTCACCCCAATCGTACTCAATGTCGTCGTTCCTAGTGAAAGGCTCGTAGTGCGGCACTGTGAATGTGTTGCGGGGCGCAAGTGCTCCAACATCCTTGGTGTCCATTCCGCCCTTCTCTACCTGTGGCTCCGGAACTTCTGGCTCCTGAGCAACATCCCCATTCACACCCTTTCGCTCCTCGGCCTCAGACATGGTGGTTGCTCCAGTATCTGCTCTACCAGATGCCACCTGCTCCACCTCCAGCAGAATGGTCCTTCCAATTCGAGCCTTGAAGACATCATCAGCAGGCTGTGCGCTATCCTCACGAACATCAGCGTTGCTTCCTGCAACCTTGGTCTTCTCTGAATCTTTGGAGATGCCAGAATTTGAAACTTCAGGCGCGGCTCCCTCTATCGTGGTCTCCATCATGGTACTGGTTGTGGTGGTCGTTGTCAATTCTGTCGCAGCGGTCGCCTGCTCAGCTGGCATCTTAATTGCCCCCAGGGCAGCCATCCCGCGAAGATTTCTAGTGTCGGCATTCCTGCTCAGGGCAGCGTTGAAATTGGAGTTCGCCTTCTTGGTGGCTAGCCTTCGGTCTTTAGCAGCTTTCGCTTTAACTGCTGCCGCTGCGCATGTGTCTTCCCAAGTTGGGCCCTCTGGACAACCTTCCCGCCGGATCCAGTGGGCCAGGCCATTCCAATCCTTCTCTTTTGGATCAGTAGACTCTGGCAATGGGTCCATGAAATATCTGGCGCCCCACTCTGCGACATTTTCCAGACTCCAGTCGACCGGACATGTATGGGAGATAGGAAAATAGCCCTTTTTGTCGGTTCCGCTCAGTCGCCCGTACGCCCATATGTCATCCTGATCAACCTCGTAGACGACTACAATCGATCCGAGTGGAAGTGGCAGATCGCCCTCCCTTACTTCCAGAATCTCTTCTTCTTCTTCAATCTTTGGCTCTGCCGTAGCCTCCACCACCTTGTTTGTCCGCGGAGCATTATTATCCTCTGCCTTCTTCGCCTTTCCATCCTGTACTGTGGAGGTAGTCTGTGCCTTCGCTGTCTCATTTGCCTGCGGTACAACCTTGAGCATGGCCTCCTTTGCTCGCTCACTCTGCACCTCAGCATGACTCTCCAAGCTCAGCGCGACTTGATGAATTTTGAGCGGCGTGCCCTTCTTAACCTTCTGATCTTCACCCCAGGCCTGAACGACTCTCCGATTCTCGCGAGCACGCAGTGCGGCTTTCGCCCACGGGGGTATACGACCATCAAACCTGACTGGCTGCGTCTCAGGTACGCCAATGAGCTTCAGGTAGTCCATGATGGGAATCAGGCCTCGATCGGTAGCTACGTGTAACTTCCCTTCCGTCTCGTGGAGGTAAAGATCGACATCGTTCAAGACCCTGGTCGGGTTGTCCTTGCTTGGTGTACGACCCAGAGGTTCGATCGCGGTCGGCCAGCCATATCTAGAGTGCGGCTTGAAGCCCGCCTCAATAGCGTCAAGCGCATCCCAGACAAGCTTATCTGCTGGGCAGTTGAGTAACTCGGAACTGTGGGTGTGCTTTATCTTGATTGAGTACAATACTGGTACACTGTCGTGGAGGTAGTCAAGAAACTTCAGATCACACTCAGGGTTGGGAGTCACGGGCGCAAATGAAGACTCAGGCCGCACTGCATGGTGCCGGGCTGGAGGTATCCGCTGTACTTTTGCTGCCTTCACATCTTTCGGCTCATCATTGGGAGTTACGGGCGCAATTGACGGCTCAGACTGCACTGCTCGTGTCTGTGGGTGGTGGGTAGAAGGCGTTCGCTGCAGTTTGGTCGGCTTGACAGCTTTCATCTGGCGCAGCCGCTGAGGCGCCTTTCCTGCACTGTCAGTCTCATCTCTCTGCCTCTTCTCGTTGTGCTTGGGTGGAGTGCTCATCGTGCTCGGCAAATTTCGCTCTTCTCGGATCTTTTCCGCTGGTGTTGGTATTACGATATCCTGTTGTGAGCTGCCACCGGATTCCTCGATCTCCTTGGTGTGGCCCCCGCACTCTGGGCTGGCGTCGCTGGACGGCGGGCTTGGTAGCTGGATAGGCGCCTTTGATACTGACTGACGTTGGCTCTTAACGATAGTTGTAGCTGTGATAGCTTCGGTCTTAGCGATGCCGTTGTCCTGGCTAGTGGGCGCACGACAAAGTGGCTGTTTAGGGCGATGAACATCCAGGCGAGCTACCTGGTGCTTGGTGGCTTGAGCGCGTTCTGCGTCGTTGCCATCGTCAATGGTCGACCGCTTGCGCTTACCTGAGCTTGAGTGATCGTTATTGGCGCCCACATTTGTGGCCTTGGGTGTGGTTCTTGACTTCTGGTGACCCTTTACAGGCTTCGACCCCTTTCTTTGAGCGCCATGTGAAACCTTTTGCTGTTCCTGTTGCGGCGAGTGTGGGCGTCGCTGGTCGTTTTGACGGCCCCTTACCCTCTGGTGTGGACTATCTGAACGATCTCGTGGCGCATGCTGAGGTGAGCGCGAGCGGCGCTCGTTATCATGGTGGAAGGAGCCTTGGTTGCGGCGATTCGACTGTTGTGATTGTCGAAGCTTTTCGTTGCATGTCCCGCGACTTTGGCACTGTGTATGTTGAATCGGTTGCGACTGCCTCCCGGATTGAACATCGACTCGTGTACCCCCGTGCAAATCTCGAGTCTGCTCTGGATGAGGCGCAGGTCTTCTGGAACGCTGCACAGGCGATTGTGGCTTGAGGATGTTGTTGATGGCACCAAGCTGACGCGCCGTGCCATGCTCGCGTCGCAGTTTGGTCATGTTTGTAACTGATGATAACGGTAGGGAACGAACGATTGTGATCGAAGGCAATAGCGTGGTAGATAAAGTTTGTCTCTGTGTGCGACAAGAAGTTTGTGCGGTCCATTGTCTCGCCAAATCGCGCGTGCTTGGCTCTTCAGTGTTTCCTTCACTTGCAACACAGCAGCACACGTCTCAGCGGGAGCCACCCGTCGTTAAGTCCTCGCCGGTCAGTGCGCAGCAAGACTGAGATTGACGTACGTCATGCTCGCTCTGGTAAGAAGTCATCTGGCCAGTCATCATGTACACTTCCACTCACGCTAGTACTGGGAAAGTTCTCAGACCACGCATCCCCATTAATCTCCCTTCCACTACCTGACTCTAAATATCTTTTGGTCCACTCCTCGTGCCTTTAGAACCATACTCGTTTGACCTTCTTCGTCAGCTCGTCATTCTTGGAATCTTGAATATTCGATATAATGGCTGCCTGTGCCTCGAAACCAGATCTTACTGCAGTGCACAGTGTCAGGGCTCTACCCCACACTGTACGATAAAGCCTGCTTGTTGGCCCGACCATCGTCCTCATTGTGTCGCACTCTAGCACGTATCCCGACTACTTCCATCAACGTGCGGCGGCCAAAGGCATGGTCCATGCTATCCTATATCGTCAACTGCTCGAACATACGGAAAGAAGCAACCGTCCCTTCAAGATAGAGATACCTCAACAAGCCTTCGCAGCCGTTTTACCAGCCTTCAAATACTGGATTGACGCAAGTTCACGCTACACACATTACCATGGATCTAGGGGCTTTATTGCTAGCCTATGTCATGAGTGTCCTGGACTGGTTAGTTCGTGTATTGCAACATAAGACATGGAGTGAATTCTTCCTGCAGATGCTTCCACACAAGGTGTAGATAAGTGGTAATGATCTACGACTATACTGCGATGCGCGCATTGGGAACGATTGAGTTCGCCTGACAGCCTCCACGCTTTTGTCGAGAACCTCATTCGCTCTCACAGTGCATGCAAGCACTACGACTATGCCCATCTGCTGCGTGTCATCGTGCCTTCAGATCCGATCGTATTGCATCTGGCCAGACAGACTGCGCAGCAGATGGCAACACAACCCTGTCGAGTGTTGCGTGGTCAAGCGTAGCATCCCAATATTTGGGCACACAGTCAATGCACTCCTTGCAGAGCAGTGTAGCCTCACCTCGGCGAAAGTTGCAGCTTGCAACGACTCAATGGAACGTTGAGTGGCTCCCATGCATTCTAAGAGGAAATACGTTCTGACTGCCACTGAACAGCATCACGGACGTCTTTCAGGACATACTCGTAGATCAGACGTAATCGCCTTCGCGATGATTCCATACTGCGAGGTCATATTTCGCTTAGCAATAGTGCATTCACACATAATGTACGGACGTTGTGAACTCACATGTTTCAGCGCAACCACACCCTATAAGATATCTCTGAACGCTTCGTTTTGCTCAACTGCAAACAACAATCAGTAAAGAGTTCACTAGAATAACACCACAATAACACTATCTGAAATGTGTGGAATTCAGGGTACGTACGATCTTGGAGGTGGGCGCCGCGGTGGCGTGTCCGGTCAGGGTGGTCAAGGTGGTCAAAAGAGTAGCAAACAGACGATTCGCAGTCGACTTGGCTTGTAGAACTTGAGAGATGGGATGGTAGAATGCATAGGAGATACGAGATGAATTCGACGATAATTTACGACCAAACCTTTGTATGTGCGTGTGATGACGTCACCTTTTCTGCGAACGTCAGCGTCCACACTTACTCACTTCTAATGCTTCTTTCATTTCCACCGCTCAAATTGGCAGCACAACTGATTTCAATCTTGGCGAGGATTCTGGGTGGTCTGGAGCCATGCGACTGGAAGAGCCTCTTTTGTAGACGCGCTGGAGGAGCGCTGATTGTGGTTGCTTGAGCCATCGCGAGATACTACATTCGCCAACAACCACATATGCGTACGCCTACGGTTGAAGATCCGCGACCGTTCGGGACATAGTCCTTGACTTCCCGGTTCAAGCAGATTACAGCTTGCTCGACTCTCTTCCTGGGATCCTTCTTGACCAACAGCAGCCGGACGCGCCAGGAGATCAACTTTTAGCCTTGTGCCCCTGTTCAGGTCCATGCTAGCCGCTCCTGCCTCAACCATTACCAGGAACTTGCATGACCACTCAACTGCCAGGAGGTCTTCAACACCTTGAGTAGGCTGAGCGCTCATTCGACGGCCGAAGCAGCATCATCTCTCTTAGCCTGTCACCTCGAATGCGTGCACCCGCACACTGGATTTCAGCCTGGTGCATTTGAACTCAAACATGCAAGCCAATTTGGGGCCAAAATGTCGAGTTCCACGCTTTTGGTTTCCCAGGGCCGATATATACCATTGCGAGCTAATAGGAGCGTACAGTCGTGCTCTGCGGCAGTGTAGCCACAGTAGGGGTCGGCCTCGAAGAGTCCAGTTCTGCCTAGCTTCTCAAGCTGCTTTTTACGTTTTATGCAATCCCATGAGGTTATCATTCCCGAGCTGAACGGTGAGGAGCAGAGTATCAGACAGACATGGGTGTAGTCATCCCTTCCGTTACTCACTCTGTCTCAGCTTCTACAACGCGATCACAATGGCTACCTCTACACAGGTCCTCATCCCAACAACCATGATGACTGGTACAATTATAAAGACCAGCATCCTTGTCAGCCAAGTATCAGAATATGATCTCCTGCAGACGTGCGCGGAACCTCAGGTATCTACCATTGTTCGTGACATGGTAGATGGCTGTGAAGACGGGTCACGAACAACGTCCTACGCATGCTTCTGTTACACCAGTTCGAAGTACTTCAATGACCTGATAGCGCGGCGAGTTTCGACTGCTTGCAGCAACGATCTATCGCAAACTGTACTAGCGATGGGTGTCTTCTGGGAGTACTGTGAGATAGGAGCCATCAATGGACTACCCACTGGTAAGTCTAGTGTTCTGTATGAGTCAATTTGCGGAACTATGTAGCTGTTCTCGCGTCTGTCACCTCAGGCACATCATCTGCTATTCCTAGCCCGGTCACCACATCGACATCGCAGCCGACGTCTGGCGCTTCAGCATCTCACCCTACCTCAAGCCTGACATCCAGCCCAAGTTCAATAGCGTCTTATACCTCGATACTCACCAACACTCCAGATCCGAATTCGCAAACTACAAATTATCGCGGTTGCGGTCGCGGTCCCGGTAGTCGTCATTGCGCTGATTGTGGGAGCTATCATCATTCTACCGCATTAAGAAATCGAAGGCTCGCGCGAATACGGTGGAGAATTTCGAGTTTGTTACTTTATCTCATTTACCGGATAGGCAGGAATTACTTGACTTGCCGGATAGCGGTACAGACAACGGAAAGAACCACGGTCCATAGTAGGTCTAAGGAATTTTTTACGCGATCATAACGATAGCGTTTACTATCATCAGAATAACGAACTTTCGAGCAGTTTCTTCAACTCTGAATACAAGGCTTCATCACACTGTGTCCAGCTAAGCTTGACATTGTTTGCATTGTTGCAGCCGATACGCATAACCGCAGCTTCAACACTTCTTGCTCGCAGGCATCATTCTCTCTCACCGGCCTCGCTCACTTTTGTTAGCTTCACCAAGACTTCTACCGAGCGGCGGCTTGCTGTTTTTGTAGCCTTCTTGCTACTTCCCCGAATTCAATTGGTCTTTCTTCACCATCGCTGATTGATTCAGCATGTCAACTCCGCAACTTTGCAGCAACAACCTCAAGATGTCAACACCGCTTTCAGACGTCACCGAGCTTCACAACCTCCTTCAATCGGGGACGGAAGTAGACTTCACGGGTCCAAAACGCATCAATGTCATCATGTCTCCCAATGTCAACAGCAGCTTCATCTCATCTAAAACGCCAATCCGTCTCTCCATTGTCGGCTCAACGTACATCTTCCCATACGGACGTATTGATGAAGGCTTTGTAAGTGATTAGTGCAAGGTTCCAGACGAGCTGAAGATGGAGATCTCCAGCTATACCTTGATCTCCGGAACTGCGATCGAAGTCGATCCAATGGACGACGTCAAGGACTTCGCGCACAGTCAACAGATCCGACAACACATTGCAGTCGGCCCAGACTTCTCAGCATTGCCTCTGCAGATCTTCTACGAAATGAACACGATAGATGTATGGGAAAGCAGGTACATGCCACCTCGCACTATTCGTCTCTATGTTCGTAACCTCGAATATGGCGCACCCTGGATATCGTTCGAGAAGCTGGTTGCGGAGCTGCGACACTTCACCGGTCTTCGGTAAGTCGAGTTCGACATTCATGTGCGCCACATAACCTGCACACATGGCAGTTGTATCGAATCAACTGTACCACCGCCCACTCGATGGCTTCATTCCAACTGCAAGGGTACGTTTGCCACTTGGGGCTCAGAGATATGGGCGGAACCGCATCCTTCATACATTACCCGCTGCGAAATTGCCAAGGAGCGCATTCGAGAGTGAGTCATATTCTCTGAATGATTGAGGTACGTGTGCGCAACAATACAATTTAGGATAGACCAATCATACTAACTGATAACGAAGACCTCGACCACGCAGTCTAAGAGCGGTAAAGGGCTCTGCGGTAGCACAAAGGGTGGCAAGGAAGGCCTTGCAAAAAGAAAACCCCAAACAGGTGGCTCTACATTACATCAAACAGAAATGTGAAGATTCCAGGGCATACCTTCAGAATGGTGAAGACACTTGAGTCTGGTGCTGAGCGTCTGAAACGGGTACAACACTGCTTTCCTATTGATTGTCCACGTCCAAGATCGCTCAGAGCTGATCAATGCAATCTTGTACTCACTTACTGTCTCTCAACCCTCGGAGTTCATTCACCTGGCCTTCTTTCACTTGGTATTGTCTTCTCCAAATGCTCAATAAGCGCACTTCCCTCTAAGCTAAAACCCACGCGATCACTTTCACCCAAATACTCTTACACCGATTTACCGAACGCGACAAGCCCATCTCAATAATCCGAAACCGTCCGTGGGGCAAGCATATTGGCGACTTCAAGTGCGGCAGCATTCTTCGACACCACCTGGCTCTGGGCCCAGAGGTCGCGACCCTATCCTAACAGATCTTCTACGAGATCAACACCATCGATATCATATCCTGGGATGGAGATTTTGAGGAGTACTGCGTATCTCTACCGCCACCGGTGGTTCGTCACCACGTCAGGAAGCCTCTATATCTTGACCTCTATGCCCATGGAGTATGTGTAACGGTTTTGTTGCGGTATCGGTCAGTCTGTACAGGGTCTGACTGTACCTCTGACAGACTACCCTAGTCTAGTGTGTGATAGGTCACTGGCCTGAGGTCAGGTATATAGTCGTCATCTCCCAGCTAGATAGCAATTCAGCGCAGTATTCCATTGACGCGATAGTCCTACGTTATCGTTTACCGTAGCTATTAGTATTCTACAGTGGCACACACCGCAACATGTTTTGATACTCTACAAGTCAGTCCAACAGCATCAACTCACTGTTCTATGCTCACTGTAGTTAGACGCTCGCCTATCGCTCGCTTATATAGCTATCTTGGAGGTCTTCTGCCTCCTTCAATCAATACAGTACATTCCTCCAGTTCGAACCTCAAGTATATGGCACAATTTTCCAAGGCTGGCCGCCAACGCCTTTTGGTTCAGCGATGTACAGTATGTCCATCTCAGGCTTGAAGTGAACGACAACAGGCTTCATTCCGACGGGTACCGGAAAAGGATGCAGCAAATACTGCCAAAGATTCCACTCAACTTTCAGTGCAAGGAGAGGCGTAAGGTTGTCTATGGAGATAGGCATGATGGGTCTGGTGGTCCTCACGTTCGTTGCAAAGACATCGAGAGCTATATACGGGAGAAGATCGTCTTCGCCAAGTGATGGCAGGCGTGAGAATCCTGCTGAGTTGCGAGACACATTGGAAGAGCTGTATTGTTGCTCACAGATCACCAAACAAATGACGGAATTGAGGGGTTTTGTTGATGCCCGGGTACCTCACCTAGCACCTCTGTCGTTGGATCTGTCGCTGCACTAGCCTAATCTGTCCTAATCCTCCACAGTGGTTTCCACACAAACCGGAGCTCAGATAGTAACAATAACACATGCCATCCATACTCATACCGATTGACAGATTCTTACAGAATGAAGCGACTTGCGAAATATTTTCATGCGGTCTGCATGAGCGTTGAGGTAAAGCATGATCATGATGAGGCTGGCGGGAGGACATGGCTACCCTCCTTTGGACACATACGCAGAACCAGAAAGGGTACTGTGACATCCCAACCAGAAAATTGTGAAGGAGCTTATGAAAACTAGCGAAATCGAAACGAGGAAGCTAGAGCAATAACACGCTCTGCAAAGAAAGCACTGCTCGTCAATCGTGACTAGACCCTGCCGTTACAGTCCTCCTCTTGATCTCAGATTCTGTAGTGCTGACAACCTCTAGCATGCACAATGCTCACTTCGACTTGACCGTCACAACAGCATCCTTGTGCCACTTAGTCGCCAGAAACTGCTCCCTCCACAGCCAGCCTAACCCAATAGTCACACCCGGCCCAGCAGCGACAAGCGTAACAAGACCCTTACCAACAATGCTGACCCAACTATCTTCCATCATGCCTGCCCTCTTCAAGTCACCGTACAAGTACAGCAGCCATATTAAGCACGACCCCAGCGAGAAGATTTCATCAAACTGCAAAAACAGCCTGATATACTCATCTCCAGTCTTCATTGCTGCAACATCCGGCACAAACAGCGTCGCAAGCGAGAAAGGCGCGTTGTAGAGCGTGTACCACCACGTCGCCGCCGAGATTGCGCAAAGCGAGTAGACCGTATACTTGATAACCGGCAAATCGCCCGTCGGGTTCTTGACCCTATCTGCCTGCACCGTATCCGGCATGACCGTCTTCTTGAGCACAAATTGCAGGATCGATGTCCAGATAGCGAAGGGTTGCCAGATCCAGTTTGCCATGTGGCGCGTCTGCGGATCAATCCACGTAGATAAGGAGACAAAGTTGGGCAGGTAGTGAGTGAGGAGAATGACGGGGAGGACGGAAGCGGTGTAAGATAGGTCTGTGAGGCGCATATCGCGGGCACGGAAGTTCTCGAGGGGAGTTTGGATGTAGTGGACTAGACACCAGGGGGCCATTAGGATGCCGATGCCGAAGAATTGCATGTTGTAGCCGAAAATGAGTGGTCTGTCAGACATTGTCAGTCGCTTCCCACTCATAATCTAAAGTGTTCGACTTACACGTAGGCCAAGGTCATGATGTTTGCCCTCCTGACACTCTCAATTAGTAAGATAGAGTAGACGATCCCAGCGTCAGTCAAAAAGGTGAGGGACTGCCAGCTGCAGTTGAGGTCGACGAACTGCAATGAGGCAAAGCATGCGACGAGCCCTCTGAATCTGCTGTCAAGAAACTCGAAACCGTAGAAGCTATGCAACGGCTTGACATGCACAGCTTCGCCGATATTGTTCTGTACGCCCTTCTCCAAGATCTCGCCAATGCGCTCCAGCGCGTGTGGTAAACAAATACCCCACATGAAATACAGTGCAGCAGCTGTAATGCCCAAGAACGGCAGACCTCTCGCAGCTCTCCATACCTTCGACTCAGTCTGACCGAGCCCTTGAGACGGGTTGAAAGGCATTGTGCCGCGTAGTGATCGTTCAGGTATCGGGAGGTAGTCGAGTTTGACAGCGCCAGTGATCATATCACTCTGGAGGTTCGACATACTAGAATGTGGGGTTAGCAGCGTCTTATACTAACTATGTAGGTCGAGGATACGAAAAAGGCAAATGAGGTTGCGCAGCTTGATTAAGCTGACTGTATGCTCTCGTATCATGGAGCGTTGTCAGGCGCCGATTGGTTAGCGCACCGCCTTTCACACCTGGGCACGTGCAGGGATCCGCAGCCACTTCTGACATCGGTTACTTACAAGTCGCCAGCATGGGGGAGAACCCAGACGGCAAAGATCTTGTCTTTGAGTGTTGCGAGTGCATGCATGCGTGTGAGGTCATTCGCAGCCTTCAGGATGGCTGTCAGACGGGTGTCCCGGAGCTTCTGGTAGTTTCCAAGGTGAGCTTTGATGCTGTCGTAGGTTGGTTTTCCTTTCTCAGCTGTGTCCACCATATTCTTGAGTTCGTTTGCGAGAGCGGCAGCTGTCTCCATCGCTGCGTTGCCGCCGGCGCCCATATTTGGAGTCATCTTGTGGACGCAGTCACCAACACAGGCGATGCGACCCCAAGACCATCGTTTCAATTGAGCCTCTTCAGTCGGGACTAGGGTGTAAGTGGTTCGATTTCTCCAGAGGTCGCCAAACGTCAGCTCAGGTGTGAGAGTGTAGTACTCAATGTTGTCGGCAAATACTTCAGCATCCTTCTTGGTGTATCGTGGCAGCTCGGTAGCTTTGTCTATGCGTTGGTCAGTCAGCAAAACAGCTCACGGGGCCGTCATCTTTGTAGTGTTGTCCTCTGGTATGGGCGAACATATGCAAACGGATAGTACGACACGCGAAGACGGTGTACACGTACTGAGACGGTCAGTCTGTGTTCGCAAAAAAGTACGATCAAGCTTACCAGATTTTGTCCATCTTCTTGAACATGAACCAAAAGACCTTCTGTTTACCTCCAATGATCATAGTCGAGAAATCTTCATCATAGTTGACGGTGACCTCCCCATCAACAACACCCTTTGTTTGAGTCGAGATACCAAAAAGACATTGGTACTCAGCAAATAGCGATTCCTTGTCAGATGGGTCGAACGAGCGTTGTTCGTGTAGGTGAGCGAGTCGCCACATTTCGTGACGGACAACGCTATGAACGCCATCGCAACCAACAAGAATGTCACCACGAAATGTAGTGCTATCGCTGCAAGTGACTGTGACTTCGTTCTCGTTGTGGTCCACCTTCGAGATTCGCTTCTGCAGCTTGATCTTGGATTTGTCTTGAAGATTGTCGTACATTATGCGCAAAGCGACCTCTCGTTCGATGAACAATGCAGGGTAGGCAAATCTATCGACATGGTCAGTCAAATACTTTTACCATTCACATCAGGGAGCACCTACCGGGCCTCGACTAGTTGGATACCAGTTTGTGTGAAGAACTGTCTGCCATGTTTGTCGCGACTCCGAGTTCTATGAAGTGCGCACGAGTCCTTTTCAATAGCTTCGAGGCAACCCAGCTGATCAAGGATTCGGCCGCCGTTCTGGAAGAATCCGATCGATGCACCCACCTTTGGTGCGATGATATCTCGAGCTTCGAGGAGTACATACTCGATGCCAGCTTTCTCAAGTGCGTTGGCGAGCGTCAGACCTGAGATACCGCCTCCAGCAATGATGACCCGGAAGCCTCCCGACGCTGTCATGTTGTTCGAGATACGCAAAAAAGCGACTGCTTAGTGGCCTTAAACTAGAGAAGGGACGATTCCAATTGCGTGATGCTTGAGGCTTGACAAGTACTGTGAATGTCATGCAGAATGCCGTTGTACTTATACCTAGACTTATCATTCTGCTGGGAAGGAGAAACATCAAGCGAGTCGCACAAGAAGCTAATGCTCAGCATTGACCGAATCAGATAATACTTGCACATGTCCAGGGTGCCCAGTCGTGAACGCCAAATACCCACAAACACTCGCATCGCAAGGATAAAGCGCGGGGCCTGGTGAGCTAACGTCACGAACATTCAGAAGCTTACTCGCGCCGCGGCAGATATCATGCGGCCCCAGATGTTCTTGGTCCACATGTGACTTATTAGAGTCAGCTTTGAGTATGTGGTGTACCGCCAAGGACTCAAGTATCCACCATATCCGCGCTCACGTCAGCTTGGTCGTAGAACAGCTCATTCACTTGGCCTCTCGACGAGAAATTGCGTTTGCGCCGAGGCATGATGGTAGTAGTGTGCGGGGGTGTATTGTCGATATGGTTTTGTTCTCGCGACTTCATTTCAATGTTGTACCCCAGCCGTTTACACGCCTCTCCAACGGCTCCGTCTTATCTCCGTTTCCATCTCGAAGCATGAAGAACTTTGCGCTTAGAGACTAGTCGGTCCATCACCAGACCTTATTTGTTCTCTAAAACGCTGGTCAAGTGGCTGGGCAGATTTGTACGGTTGCTGCGTCGCTATAGAGTATGTTCAATGCATCACCCACAGCCAGGCAGAACGCGCTCTTTGCAAGCTTCTGCTCGCTTATAGCTTCTTTCCCTTCGCAGCCTTAACCTTGGCCTCCTTGACCTTAGCTGCTTCCTTCTCGGTCTTCGGTGCCTCCATACTCCGTGTGAGCAACTTGGGCAAGAATTTGCCGACGCGCTCTTGATAGACCTTGTACTCCGGGTATTTGCCTGCACTTAACATCTCGGTCAGCCAGGTGCTGGCCTGGAATAGAACCAGATACGAGAATGCGCCAGCAAACGTCCAGTTTGTGAAAGTGTAGCTCTCCAAGCAGCCCCACTGGTACAGCGAAACCCAGAAGGCCTGTTCCGCAGCGAAGTTGGGGTGGCGTGACCATGCCCACAAGCCACTGGTGTTGAAGCCGCGGTCAAGCTGCTCGCGAGTGTATTTGTATTCGCCGGGGACCTTCGCGGTCTTGTTGTAAGCGCCCTTTGCCTTGTGGAAGATCCACTGCTGCTGGTCGGCGAAAAATTCGATGATAACCAGGACGAACATGCCCTTGCTGAAAGCGGAATCGTAGCCGGATAAGGTGTTTCCGGTAATGCGTGATGTGAGAAGCAGGACGTAGGTCGGCGAAGTGATGATCCAGAGCAGAACCTATGATGAGTGAGCTATGTGCAATCTCTTTACGGTTGTGACACTTACATTCTGAGCCAGCGAGATGAAAATGATGTTGAAGATGAACATAGGAACTGGGCCAACGTATTCCTTGACGATGTTCCACCTGTAGTCCTCACTTCCCACTTGATATCCACCCTTTCGCCAGTAGTTGAATGTCAAACGCGCGCCCCAGATTACCGACAGAGCCATAACATGATCGACCTTCGCTGCTGGCAGGCCGTTCATATGCGCCCAGACATCGTAGTGCACGTTGTAGATAACGGGGAGGACGCTCCACAGCCGGTCGACTTGCGAGTAGTTGCGGTTGAACTCAGATACTACAAAGACAATGGGCGTCATGAACAGCGCAAAAGCAAGTCCCAGCATGAGAGGGTTCGTCGATACATAGATGTTCAGCAATGCCTGTCGGTCATTGATGCTCTCGATGATCTTGTACGGCAAGTCGTAGAGCTGTGGCAGGTATGGCTGCACGGTTTTGCTAAAGTCCGCGCATTCGTCAAGCTTTTTGACGAGTGGGAGCGCCAGGTCGAGGGAGGCGCGGGGAACAAGCATCTTGTCGCAGATTTCGTGTAGTTAACAAACAATGGTAGTGACTGAAACGCGCACGAAGGTGAGGGACCGCGATGGCTACAGACCGAATGAAAACGGATGACCTCATGAGTTTTTGACCCACTTTTGTTGTCAGCCAAGCCACGCTAAGAGGTCCAAATCGCGCCTTCCCTGTTCAACGCGCTCTCACGTGCATTGCTCTAAACTTTCTGCCTCCTCAGTACCGCTTGACTGCAAGCTTCGATGGCAACACCAACGCGTTGACAAAATGAAAGTGTTGTGCGTGGCGGAGAAGCCTTCGATCGCAAAAGCGGTCGCCAATCATCTCGGCGGCCGAGTGACGACTGTGTGTAGAAATGCTTCACTTGCAATTCTTAAGGTGAGACGAAAGAGCTGACTTGAAGCAGGATAGTGTGCGAGGCATTCAGTGGGTCAAGAACTATAAGTTTGATTTCCGATTCCAACAATGGGGCCAGTGCGATGTTACCTTCACGTGTGTTGCTGGTCATATTGTAGGCCATGATTTCACCGAACGGTACAGGAAGTGGCACTCGTGTCCACCCGCAGATCTGTTCGATGCTCCCATACAAAGCTTCATCGCTGAGGTGCGTTAAGAGCCTTCGCCGACCTCTCAACATTCATAACCCGAGGCTTAGCTGACAACCGGGTCGTAGGACAAGAAGGCTGTGGCAAGCAACATTGAGTCACAAGCTCGTGGTTCCCAGATTCTCTTCATCTGGACCGACTGCGATCGTGAGGGCGAGAACATTGGGACTGAAATCCGCGACATCGCCCTGAAAGTGAACCCAAGGCTTCGAATCTTCCGCGCACGTTTCAGCAACATCGAAAGAGCGCAAGTTTTCCTTCCAACTCAATGTCCGTAGCGCTAATATGCTTCAGCCATGTGATTCAGGCTTCACAGAATCCCATACAGCTTGACGAAGCCCAGTCGAACGCAGTCGCTGCTCGCACGGAACTCGATCTACGTCTTGGTGCAGCTTTTACGCGCATGCAAACTCTCGCTCTGCAGAGTATGATCCCTGTTCGAGGTGATGAACGGGGGAAGATGATCAGTTACGGCTCCTGCCAATTTCCTACCCTCGGTTTCGTCGTAGACCGATACCTTCGTGTACACAACTTCGTCCCAGAGCCCTTCTGGTACATCAAGGTACATCACACAAAGGATGACGTGGAAGTCAAGTTCAACTGGCGACGAGGCCACTTATTCGATCGTATGGCCGTTACTTTGATCTTTGAAAAGTGCCTGATCTCGAAGACGGCTAAGGTAATCAAGATGGCGAAGAAGCCTACCAAGAAGTGGAAGCCACTCCCTCTTACAACTGTCGAGCTGCAGAAGATGGGCAGTAGGTTCCTCCATATGTCATCGCAAGACGTCATGAAGGTTGCCGAAGAACTCTACACCAAAGGCTGGATCAGCTACCCCCGTACCGAAACTGATCAGTTCGACCGAGGAATGGATCTCCGCAGTATTGTCTCTAGGCAGACTCAAGATGGCCGCTGGGGAAACTTCGCCCAGAATCTCATGAATGGTGGATTCAACCAACCACGTAATGGTCGTAACAATGATAAGGCGCATCCGCCCATTCATCCTGTTAACTACGTGGCTTCCAATGCCCTCAATAGCGAGAACGAACGCAAGGTTTATGAGTTCGTTGTTCGCCGCTTTCTCGCGTGTTGCTCTGAGGATGCAGTAGGTGAGGCTACAGACATTGAGATCGACTACGGAGCCGAGATCTTTCATGCCCATGGCCTGCGGGTTATTGCCAGAAACTACCTCGACGTATATCCATATGACAAGTGGGAAAGCAGTCAGCAATTGCCGCACTACACAGTCGGCGAGACGTTTGAGCCGACAGAAGTGAACATGCTTGACGGCAAGACGTCAGCACCTACTTACCTCACCGAACCTGAGCTAATCGCGCTGATGGATGTCAACGGCATTGGCACCGATGCAACAATGGCTGAACACATCGCGAAGATCCAGGAGCGTGAGTACGTGATCGCTCGACCCAAAGGCGGGGCTGCAGGAAATGCTGGCAACGGCGCTGGCAGAGGACGCGGACGAGGAAGAGGAAGAGGTGGTGCTCGAGGAGGCCGAGGCGGCGCAGCAGCGGGTCATAACGGAGGTGGGGGAGCGGCGGCCGGCGGAGTGCAAGAGTTCATTCCGACAACATTGGGTGTCGCGCTTATCGAGGGGTACGACAATGTGGGTATTGAGACCAGTCTCAGCAAGCCGTTCTTACGCAAAGAGGTGAGTGATATATATGGAGGGGTATATCTGCTTCATTCTGGGTACATGCTAACCCAGCGCAGATGGAACTCCAGATGAAGGCCATCTGCGAAGGGCGAACGACGCGCAACGACGTCGTGCAACAGAACCTGGATCAGTATCGCGCCATCTTCAACCGCACAGTGCAGCAGATCAATGTTCTCAAGTCTGTAAGTCACGATATTCTCCGACTGTTGTGTGTAGAAGAGGTAGAACTAACGCAAGCGAGGCCATCACCAAGTATGTTGTGCAGGCGAATCACGGTTGACCTGTAGTCCACATGCACAGTCGCAGAAATACTTACGTCAAAATTGCTCCACTTGAACCAGACGTGTCGCGGGGTGTCTGCGAGAGGAGCACACACGTGTGTAAGCTTGCCTCTTCCCGAGCTTCACAGCGCACTCAACCGACGGCACACCAGCATTTTGTTGTGTGGTCCCGCAATTTGTGCTTGTTACAAAGAGGGGGCTGCGCGTAACGAAGATCGGAGCGAGGTTGATAGCGGCCTGGCGACCCCGCGCAGTACTGATAAAGCCAATGGCTGTTGGGACTGCGAACGCATGGGGGCTCTGGAGGCTGGACGATGGCTCGCGGTCTCGGTTGGTCTCGGAGCAGAGGGAGACAGCCGTGCAGGCCTCCAAGATTGCCTTTGACAGGCGTCACGATGTTTGTGGAAAGACATCAATGAAGTACAAACGCAGCTTCACGATGCAACCATCACGACATTTGCGGCGGCGCGCAAGGACAAGGCACGCAAACTGGGCTGCGACCCTGCTTCCGGCGTGGGTACCTGCTGACAGATGGGGCATTTGACGATGACGGCTATAGAGAGGTGTGGTACGCCGCTACCGCCCCAGCCAATCAGAAGGCAGTTGCTATGCCATGCGCCTGCCCGACACGCACCTGGTTCGCCCACTTCCTTGGTTTCCGACAGCATATGCAGGTGGGACTCTACCATACCGAGCGGCCCTTTTCATAGCTGACTCCCACACTAAGCACGACTACAAAGCACCCACTACGCGCACACTGAATATTGCCCTCTGCCAGAATACACATCCTCGTTGCTCGTTCCAGATACTGCTCGCCAATACTTTGACGCGCCTCCTGTCTGATCCGCCCGGTACGCCTGCCTGCTCCCCGGATCGCCGATCCGCCAAACGCGCTCGAACCCTACAACGATCAAGCGACGCCGCTGCAGCTTGCTCCGTGAATCGCCAGCACACAACAGCAATTATCCCTTTCTCGCCGCTGCCATTCCAGTCGCATAAGACTGATCTTCTGCGGTCTCTAAACAAAGACCCTCAACTCCTTTGTCTGCGCAGCTGCTGCTTCGGTCAGACGCCGCCTTCCTGAGTCACCGCGTCAGCACCTGCCAACAGAAAACCCTTTTCTCACGACGAGCAACTCTATACCCGCCAACATGGCCACTATGGTTCAGATGCCCGTCTCCAACATCGCTGCGGCCTTCGCTGCCCAGCAAGCCTCCTATAGCATCCCCATCCCGCACGATGGCGTCCACGCGGCCTCGACAGGCGCCCTCTTGACGCCTCCGTCTTCGATATCACCCATCCTCTCGGCCCACAAGCGCAGGCCGGCCTTGCCGATAGCTGGGAGGGTAGACACACCGGAAACAATGGACATCGACCTGCAAGATGCGGTCGAGCACGCCGCGGCGCAAGACCAGCCCTCAGCCCTGTCCAAGGAGGCGCTCGCCGGCCTCGACGCCACGCGTCAAATTACGGCTGCCATGTTGGCGAAGCACCATCTGCCTGCGATCATAGTCGGCCATGGTGCGATGCCCATCCGCGAGATGATGGCACATCTCACTCAGTCAGTCCCTGGCTTCTCTGGGCTAGCACCCGCGAAAGCAAGGCGGCTCGTTGTCGCAGCGCTGGAACATCGCGCTGGCGGCGGCATGCACGGCGAGGTTAAGTTTGAGAAGGTCGGCTGGGGTAGGTGGAGCGTCGCGGGCTCGTCACAGGCTCGCGGCGTGCCCATTGGTAGCCTGCGCGGTGGCAGTGGAACAACACCACCAGCCAGTGTAGACAGCACCGCCGGCGGACTGCAAATTCCCAAGCCGCGCCAGGAGCGCGACGCGTACCAGGGCAGCTGGAATGCTGGCTCATGGTCGCCGCCTCACAAGATGGAAGATGACGAAGAGATGGCCGACCAGATGTCCCTGGACGGCTCTGACGACAGCACTGACTCTGACTCGGCGTCCGACATGGATCTCGGCGAAGATCTTGACGATGACACCGACCAGGAGGACTGGTCCACGATGGGCCCACAGGTTTCGCGGGAGACCCGCCGCGGCCCGCGACGCGAACACCGTGACTACAACTACCTAAGCCGCACGCAGTCGAGCAACCCGCGCTATCGCAGCATCTCGGCTCAAGGCCACTCGCTGCCACAAGGCGGTTTCCAGGGTTCCATTTCTTCTCGTACCCCGGCTATGGGTAGCACCCCCCTTCCTCTCAAGTTCACTGCATCTCCTGGAGTTACTGGGTCTGGTGCTGAGCGCGATGCAATCGAGGCTCTCCTCTCTATGGGCTCCATGCCTCGCAGCTAGGCTACCGTTCGACGTTCTCGCCTCCAATGGCGACAGAACAACATCATCCAACAGTATCAACATTCATATCTACGCGCGTTTGCGTTCAACATTCAACATTGCATGGGCAGGGGCATATATTGGTTTTAGGGTTCAGTTATTCATGGTTCGCGTTACATTAGCATACCCACCTCCCTCCACCGCGTTGGATCTCGACTGCGTGAGGGACGATCCGTCAAGTGCTGATGTGGATCATTGTTTTGGGTTGCGCTATGGTTGGGACATTTTGGGCATTTTTGGTTAGTTTTGCACTTCACACTATATACTATTTGGGTCGCCGGGTCTGCAATCGAGCGGTACAACCGGTTCTTGTCGCTGGCCGGCTTATCAGTATCGAGCACCTGGTGACGGCGCTTTTGTACATATCTTCTCTACACACAACTCTACCTTGAAGAAGTAGTAGCAATCGGTGGTCGAAGAACGGTGACCAGCTGTGTCAAGTGGCACCGGAGTGGTGAAAGTAATACAACTCTTGTTTGAGTATGGTTGCGTCTACAGGCGTGCCTCTCATCACCACAAACAATCGTGCACAACATATCCTATTCTCGTGATGTAAAGGCCAGTTCTCAGTTCTCAGTTCTGCAGCTGTGGCAATCGCGATGTGGGTAGTGGCTTGGCAAGCCTTTTTGTGCTTTCGCTGTCAGCCTTGTGCACCAACCCCAGCTACAACCGCTAAGACTTATCTCCCGAGCACGACAGTTGAAGTTGATCAGTCACGATGCACGGAGCCTACAAAGTTGCCAGAATATCACCTCCTTCGCGCTCAAGTCATGGACGACCCCAACGTCTCAAAAGACATCACGAATCCCTTGCAAGACGTCCCAACCCCATCGCCGAGACTGAAACTAGTCTATGCAGAATCCCTTCATACTTCACACGTTTACATTCTCAGTGGCAAGTAATGTGGCATGGCCTCCACGATCGTCTTACCACGGACCTCGTCTCAATCTGATGAGATACGACTCCTCACCGTCATCTAGACAAGAGCAGACGAGTTCGAGCTCCAGAAAAATGCCACAAAATCGCCGATGATCTTGAGTTTGACGCTGTATTATACGGGGTACTGCTCCTGCATCAACACTTGTAAAATGCAATGGCACGATTTTATCGATCACTCCGACTGCGTTCGAAATGCTCGGGTATCTCTATCTTTTCTGACCAAATGCGAACCGACCTCTGTGAATTGACGCCATTTGCATCAGCAAACAAGACTCCGATGAGAAAGCAATCCAGTGACCACTTATGCGTCGAATATTCTCGCACGCAACGAGTGTTCTGATTTAAGCCGGTCCATCCACTCCTGCGTCCGACGTCTTCCTGACAAAAATGAGCCGACATGCACAGATGTGAGACCCAGACGATGCTTGTCGCTGTTTCAACCCGCAAAGGTCCTTATCGTTTGATCCGTTGTGGGTGAGCATGGCTCGTCTACTGTCTACGAGCTGGTACCGTCGTCTATGGACCTTCCAAGAAGTTGTGCTTGCGACAGTGGTAATTTTGCTTTGCGGGAGATTGTGGCTGGACATCGATCACCTTCTTGCATTAGCTAGTGTCATGTTCAAGTCGCACACAATGTCAAAGGTACAAGCACGTCTCAACCGGACAGCAGCAAGACAGATCAAATACATTCACACCTCTCGCCAGGAGAGACTCAATGTCCTCACTCGCGAGATACTACGGTTGCTCCATAGAGTGTGCTTCCGAGAAGTGGGAGAAGAGGTTGACAGAATTCGGGCTCTGTTCGGGTTATTTCATGAAACCGTGCAACACAGACTGGCGCCATGGATCGGTTACAGTACAGCTGTGCGCGAGCTATACTGGGTTACTATAATCAGATGCATGGAAATACTGGTTTCTATGGGTCAGCAGTTCGACATATCTGGCATACCCCCTTCTAAGGACCCAAGACCTCCGGACCTACCATCGTGGTGTCCTGACTCCAGGGGGAGATCAAGACGAACTGAGATTATGAGCGGATTCTGGAACAGACCAATCGCAAGACGTGGATCGTTATGTCAAGGACTTTTGACTGCAGAGGATAAGACAGCCACTTCTTCGAGATACGATGCGGTGGTTCTATCTAGGTTTAGACATATCTTGACCACAGACCAAGGCAAATCTTTGCGCATCTCTGGCTGCGAAGTCGATACGATTCAATAGGTAATGGAATATACACGTTTGATTGGGCCATGAGATTACATCAACGAGTACAGCAGCCCTAACGAAAATTTCAGCAACGAAAACCCCGTGCATGTCAAAGCCGTGGCGTGGCTTTTGGACGGACTATATCTTGCTCGTTGGATCCATCTAAAGAACACAACAGAATCTTCGGTTATACATCCGGAGTTCTTCATGGCGTTCTGGACGGATCACCACATCAATGAGAGCACAGAGACCGCGTTAGATGATGCAAAGGAGATAATTACGGCCGGCGATCATGATAAAATCCTTCTTCCGTGCAAAGAAAGGAGACAAAGAGTGCGGGACTGCATGCATCACACGCTTCCAAGCCCTCATCGGTCACTCCGTTAGCACAAAAGGAAGTCGCTTTGGGCTTGCAAATCTGGGATGTAAGCCTGGTGATAGAGTATGCGTCTGTTACGGCGGGCATTCTTTGTATATTCTTCGGAGAGTAGAATTCGGAACCCATTGAAATTTATCGGGACAGTATACATTCCTCACTTTATGGATTTCCATCGGACAGAGGAGGCTCGACAAGGACTTGGCCGGACTTTCACTCTAACCTAATATTGTAAGGATGTAGTAGTTGTGAGAACGCAGCGAATGAATATGGGCGCTGCTGAAGTGAAAGCGCCTGAGGGTCCTTCACGATGGCGAGCTCGCCTCGCCCTCATCATCAATTGCCAGGATTTCTCAGCTTGATCCCATCTCCATAACACCACCATATCCACCTTTCTTAACACATTAGAAAGCTGCACTTACTCTTCACCAACCCCCAACATGCCCCCTCTAAAAGTTACGTAGCACTCCCTTTCTCCTTCTCTAGCACCCCCCATCTAACTCCGCCCAGAATTCCACGCAGAGCCTGAACTCCTCACACTCACAATGCTCTTCCTCGAAAGTACAGTAGCACGTACCGCTCGCGCCAAGCCTTGCGCGCCAAGCTGAACCAGTTTGTCGACAAGGAGTATGATGGTGACTTTGGGTGGTTGAATAGGGAGAAGGATATAGATGTTCTTGTGGACTTGGTGGTTAGGAGTGGGGGTGTTAGTGTTGGTAAGTGGAATTGGATATTAATGGATAGGAATAGTGAGTTGGGAGGCGGACAGATGTGACAGTTGAGGATGAGAGTTTGGGTAACAAAGTCAAAAGAGCGACTGTCGAATCTGGAGAGAAGTAAAAGGCAGATGCGGGCGCCGTTCTGATTCACTCGCAGTCTCAACCATGGCTGCGCGCACTATCAAGAGAGGACTCAGCATACTTCATTCAATCATGTGCAAGTGATAAGGCAGGAGGGGTTGTTAAAAACATACAGGCGAAGGAGCATGGTTGGCAATCAGAGGTTGAGAGATCATGCCAGATTCAGGTTTCTTAGAGATGAGCGTGCAAAATCATAAAAGCCAATACCTATGACCTGCTTCCATTCTACAGTCGTTTGGTAACTATCGTTTGACAAATCTTCTCTCCTTGTCCATTTCGCACATCGAGTTCTAAAGGCACCATACCTATAGTACGATCCAGTCTCTGACCCTCCTCAGTCACTGTCCTCCAATAACACCCTCCTTAGTCACTGTCCTCTAATAATGTAGCGGCAACGGCCACTGTAGAATACTGATAGCTACGGTAAAGGATAACGTAGGACTATCGGGTCGATGGAATACTGCGCTATGTTGGTATCTAGCTAGGAGGTGGCAATATATACATGGCTTGAAACGTGCTAAACATGACCCGTTATAACCGTGTGTATTGAGGCTCATGTGCAACGTATATTGCAGCAGTCTGATACCGCAACAAATAACATATACCCTTCATCATCAGCAACATTTGAGTCCTCCAGCACAGGATTATCCTTGACAGTCCGCACCGCATGTCCGCCCTTCTCGAGCCGATAGCTCCTCACAACCGTCAACTCATCAACGTGAAGCTCATACGGACCGTCCTACTTCGAGCCAACAATGTAACTGAAGCAGTTGGTCATGTCACAAACAACTGCAAGCCAGCGCAGGATCACCAATCTTTCATGCCCGTCTATAGGCGTCCAGATAGCTGGATATCTATCGCGGCTTCTTAAAGCGCTACATGCTTCTTCCACCATTTTATGACTGCTGCTGAGTGCCATGCGGGTCAAGTGATCAACACGCCATTTTAAAATGTCTGAGAAGTGCTTGCGGACCGTCCTCAAGAGAAGAGTGATGATCTGCACATGCCTCCCTTCAAATGCAACTTCGACAGCGTCTAGAAAGCGCCAACTGTACTTGCTATCCTCTTGTGTACGTTGTGTTTTTTCGAAATAGTCAGCCATAGCTGTCAAGATCTCAACGTGGTTGCCCTTTGACTGCATTTTCAAGAGGACGTCCTAAGACAGATGTGGGCCATAATTTCTCCATGTCTTTCTGAACAACCCGACCCAGAACAGTGACGTCCCCAAGAGTGACAGCTGCCGCGGTCCTAGCAGCACTGGTGTCTTCTGCGAGCATCTTGCGCATGTGGTGCGACGCCGCTGGATGCCTGATGGCTGGCCAGTATATGCCGTAGACGCCCTGACACTCTATCAGCATGTCGCAGAGATCTTGGGCTTTGTTGTTCTGTGCACTTTGGTTGCTAGTGTCTCGCCAAATCCGATACCATCACAGATGTTATTCAGGAAAGTAGGAAGGAGGTTTGTTGTTTCGGGCAGTTTCCATCTCATGTCTAATTAGATTGTTTCTTTGTGTCTTGCTTGTGTCTTAGACAACGAGCAAACCTCTTTGTTTTTGTTGCCTATAGATAGGCAGCTTCTGCTTGCAGATAGATTCAATTCAATTCATCTCATTTTCGCACTCAGTGCTGGTTCAACAACTTTCCAGATTGCTCTCGACTACGAGGTTCTTGCGAAACAGCCAATCGGTGCCTTCGCGGAAGAGCACAGGATATCCACAGAGCAAATTTTTGTGAAACGTTTGCCTGCGTATCTCAATTATCGGATGAATGCGCTCAACGGAGCCGACAACCTTGTTGAACCAGCACTGAGTGCAAAGATGAGATGAATTGAATTGAATCTATCTGCAAGCAGAAGCTGCCTATCTATAGGCAACAAAAACAAAGAGGTTTGCTCGTTGTCTAAGACACAAGCAAGACACAAAGAAACAATCTAATTAGACATGAGATGGAAACTGCCCGAAACCAACAGATCCGGTGAAATGGAAGTGAAGGGAGAGCCCATCGTGACTCATTGCTTGATCTGTCTCTGGCGAAGTGACGAGCGATGCACAGCTAGTTGAAATGACACAAGAAATGAACGAAGGAATTACCACGATGGAAATTGAACTTGACCACTGCATATTGAGAAAGCAGAGCGAAAAGTCATGTTTTGAAGGGGCATATTACCAAATTGTATTGTCCGGGTTCATCGAACTTTGACAGGTGGTCAGGTAAGTCGCGGACTCGTAAGGTTCACAGATGAGGTCCAGAAAGAATATGCGACGCTTCATTTCATCCAGCCATGATCGCGACGTAGGAGGTCCTGTCCTTACACACGAACTGGCGTTCACGCACAAATACGAACGTGGGGAAGAGACCTGACATGTGCATGCTGACCCTCACTATCGAACACGACCTTCCTCAGATCTCGTATCTGGAGTCACCGCTACCCCCAACCTCCCGCATTTGTCCCAAGTGGAGCTGAACTGTCACAATGTCAGAGTAAGTCCCCTTCCCTTATCGTCAAGTGAACAAGCAATGACGCCACGCCCGTTCATGCCCCACCAAGCTTTCCACTAGCGCAGCCCTAGCGCGGTTTCCCAGCACATCGAATATGACGTCGCCGCCCGCAAGCAGAAACAGATCTTCTCCCGCCTTAACTCTCACTCGCCATTTCGACGTCCCGTGGCCGGGGGCCGCTTTTATCAGCACTGTTTTCGTGCGACGCGTTGCGAAAGGTTGTAGGCGCCGGTAGTGATTGGATATTTAGGGAAATGGCGTCTTCCGAAGAGACCGGCTGCTGGTGAAGATAACCTCTGTGAAGAAAATCTTAAACTGGATGGAGGCGGATCGGCGCATGCCCCCTTGTCCGGTGATGCTGGTGTGGAGACGGGAATAGTGATTTGTGATGGTGAGGGCGCATACGTAGGTGCTTAGGAATGAAGGGTTGTTAGGTCGCATTTACTTTTGTCTTTTGACATTCGCTGTCAGCTCTCGTCTTTCTCCCATTAACTCGCGTTTCTTCCAGCGCTGCTATCTCTATCGAAGTCGTGGACACCGCCTTCTCTCTGGTTCACCAAACGTAGCTTCCGCTTCTGGTCCCCTTTGAAGACCGGGGCTGCTTCCACCGCAAACAGACTTTACCCATCCACCAGATATCTGGTGACCCAGTCTCACCTCCCACGAACAACACATTACTATAACCGCCAACATGACGGTAATATGGGGCCTCGACCTGAAGGAGATGCAATGGGGCAAGTTCAAGAGCAGCTACATGTTCGGCAACACAGACTACCACCTGCGCCGCACAAAATTCGGCATATACCAAGGCGCTATGATCCTGACCGTTGTTTCTGAGTCGCTGGGTACTGCAGCTCTGTCCGGTACGCCCCCTCCCCTCCCCCCTCCTCAAGCAAGACGTACAAATCACTGACTAGGCTAGACTATGTCGACCAACAGAAATTCGTCGCTCTCCACTCCCCCGGCGCCACAGTCCACAACAACAACTTTGTCGGCATCGCGTCCTACAACATCTTCGTCGGCATCTTCGTCGCCACTATCTTCGGCGCGGCATTCTTCTTCGACCTGTTCTGGCCGGAACGCCATGAATCACGCGCTGTGAAAATCGCATGGCGCGCCTGCTCTGTCTTCGCATGTATGCTCACCCTCTCCTGCGCGCTGGCATACACGTACATCGTCGCCACAAAATCAGCATACGTAACAGGCACGGATGCAAGTACTGCGGGGAGGTTGTTAGCGGAGTATGGTGGGAGTCCGATGAAGTACGCTAGTAATGGACGGGCGATTGCGAGTGTGGTGTTCTTGTGGCCGGGGATGGTGTTCACTTTCCTCAGTACGTGGCTGCTGTGGCATTCGCTGGCGCATATCGATAAGTTTGGGCCGAAGTCGACGCATGCGCGTAAAGCGGATGAGGGTGTTGCTGAGAAGCCTACGAGTTTTGAGACTGAGAGGGATGTTGATGGCGCGGTGGAGATGCCAGCGCAGCCACCGCCGACACACGCAGTTCCTGACGCTGCAGCGCGTGTGTAAGGTCGCACGGTACGAAGCACGGCGATGCACTAGCATTGAACGGTAGTGAGGCGTACAGCCTCTTGAGAGTTTCCTTTTTTACTCTTGTTTCACTATTGGCATGATGGGAGAAGGTATTGCGTATTTTGAGCTATTGTTAGCGGTATATCCCAACGTAGACGCGGCGTTTCGGAGGCGAGCAACCCGGTTCGATAATGCATCAAAATAACTCTCAATGTCTGGAAAGCTCTACCAATATGTGAATATTGCTCGAAAAACAAAATTAAGCAAGCAAAAGCAAAGGGTGTTCAAGACGGGTATACTCACCGTCTAACCAGCACCAACAAAAGAAACGCAATGAAAACATCCGCGGACCAGACACGCTTGCCAATACTCATCAATCAGCGGGTCATGTTGGTCATCCTACTATCTTACACCTCAGTCCAACCGTCTTTCTCTTAATCATCGTCCTCACCATCCTCCTCGTCTTTCTCAGGTTTCTCCACGGTTTCCATCTCCACGCTCCCCGTCTCCTCCCCCTTCTTGTTCCTGGTGGTGAGCCTGTACTTCCCGCCATCCCACAGATCCTTGAAAGTGAGCTCCTTAGTACGGCCGAGAGATTCAATATCACCAATGCGGTCAAGGGTAGCTTCGAGGAACTTCTCAAACCCAGGCTCTGAGCAAATCTCATTGAACGCCCTCTGCATCGGCACACTATCCGCTCTCACCATAGCATGCGAATCGATGGCGAAGATGGACAGTTCGTGGTGCTGCCGGATGAAGTCCGAGCGCGTCATGATGAAGCGCGCCCGGTGGAGTGGGAATTCGGGAAGGATATGGCCGATTTTGGAGTCGTAGGTGGTGTCCATTTTGTTGTAGCGGTGGTATAGGGCGTTAGCTAGGACCATAGCTGTGGACTATCACGTATGTCAGTATCATCCAAACTATGATTTGTGTTGACAATTGGGTTAGGTGGGGAGAAGGGTTGACGACTTACAGCGTACTTCTGCTGGTCCATGACATCGTCGTCCATCTCCTCACCCAAGATGGCGCAGTTGTTGAGGAACCATATCTTTTCCATCTCGCAGATGTGGTCGCACTTGGCCAACATATCCTCGGACTTCGCAACACGGTTGAGAAAGGTAAGACGGCCGCCTATCTTGTCGTACACTTCCTCGAGCACCCTGTTTGGTGTTCGCTCATTCCAGTACTTCATTCGGTAGTTGCGGAGAGCTTGCATAGCGCGGTCTTTGGTGAGGTCCTTGATCTGATGAACTTCCATGCGAGTTGCGTACTGCTTCAGGCGCTCGAAGACCCAGTACTTGTCGGAGTTGATGATCACGGTTGCGAGGTTCGAGGCTGCCCATTGCTCGGCGCGTTGCTGGATGAGTTCGAGAAGGTCTCGGCCATCTTCGTCGTCGCGGATGAGATGCGTTTGGTTGATGATCAGGATCAGTGGGCGGCCTATCTTTGCGCGTCGGCGGAGGGCAACTTTTTCCAGCTTGTTGAAAGCGCGTTCAATGTCAAGGATGGCACCAGCGTCACGGGGACCGCGGATAGAGAACAGAGAGCCGATGTTGTCTTCGTGGTATTCGAAGTCGAGACAGCGTCCAAGTCTAACACGAAATACTTCAAGATCGGCGTGGGCTTCCATCATCGAGCAGCCTTCACCGTTAATCTTAGACATGGCGTCGATGAGCATGGAACTCTTTCCGGTGCCCTTCTCACCGAGAAGTAGATGGTAGCGGCCTTTCGTTTCACCACTGATGATTTTATCGATCTTCTCCTGCTCATCACGTGGTATCCATCGGTCATAGCCCTCGTCGTCATGCTTCTCAATCTCACGCATTGAAGGATCACGCGGGATCTCTTTACCAGTCGCAGCGAGGTCAAGCACCGGGTCGCCTTCGCGGAAAGCGTTCTCCATCTTTTCGAGCACATTCCACTTGTAGTACCTGGTATAAGTGATACCAACACAAGCTAGGATGAAGATACTCGCTCCAGTGGTTGCTGCAGCCTCGAACATCTTGAACGCTGTGCCTTTCCACTTCTCTTTTCTTGCTTCTCTTTCATCTTCCTTTTGGTTCTCAGTTGCATCGTCGACAGGATTGGGTGCATCATTGCCAGGCGTTGGTGGTCCAGACTGGCCAGTAAGAAATCGCGGGAGCTGATGCTGGATCCCCACACGACCAGCCTGCTGGAATCTGTGCAAGAATGGCGGTTGTTTCTTGGCGACCTGGGACCGCGCAATGACACTCCTCAATACGGGTCGTAGTATTAACATTATGGCGTGCCGGCCCGGGCTGTCGCGTGAGGGCACACGTGGCAGGAGACGGCGGTCTAGACACTCAATTGACTAGGAAAGAGAAGGAAACGAAATGAAATACTGAATTGCGACAAAAGAGAGGTGCACGGCGATGAGAAGGGCAATGCTTCGATGGAGCAGTGTGGGCATGGCGACGCGTGCCATCTACCTGAAAACAGCCCGTGCGGGCCAAGAAGCTGCCCGCGTGCTAAGGGCGACGGCAAGAGTCACCGCATCACGAAGTTGGACACTGCCGCTGTCGTGAAAGTGAAGTGTTCAGAACCTGAGACCACACACCTAAAAGACGTTGTCAGTCTGCCCCAGACCCAGCTACATGGGAGATCCGCCTGGCTGCTGATGGGTCGGTTTTTCGGCAGGACCCTGGTCGTGGAGGGCTGAAGCTGAGCGGGTTGGCCTCGGGGTGCATGCATGTCTTAGCGGGAATAGCCGGCGTGCGCAGACGAACTTTTTTCGCCTTCGTACGGTGACAGCTGGATACTCCAAAACAACACTTCTATCCATCTCCAGAGGGCGTCATTGTACATTGATGCGCTTCTCGTGTATATTATCTTCATCATCTCTATCCGTTCCTTCCTTCTGCAGCCGTTCTTTTCCAAAGTAATTGCTGTTGTAGTCGTTCCTGCCGAGTGGAAATATGTCTGACGCTACCAAGCCTGGTGAGCTCTCCCCCACACGACATAGACATCATCACAAATAAACATTACCACCACAACTATTGGCTAGAGCAATCCATGGCTAACGACAATGCATCCACAGAGGCTGCTCAAGCGCCAGTCGAGAACAACAACACCAATGGCGAGGTAGAGCAGACGGAGGAGGAGGGTGCCAATGGCATCTTCCAGATCACCATCAAGCTGCCTCATGAGCCATTCGAGACGCAGATGACTATCTCGACTGCCGAGCAGGTGCAGGACCTGCGTCAGTCCATAATTGAGATGCCGCACACCTTCCAGTACTCGTGCTTCCACCTTGAGCACGAGGGCAAGCGTATCAACGACTACGTGGAGCTGTCCGAGGTGGAGGGGCTGAAGGCTGACTCTGTCCTGACGCTGGTGGAGGACGCATACACTGAGAAGGAGGCCCGGTTACACGTCATCCGCGTGCGTGAGCTGATTGGCGCTGCCGGTGACCGCACAGATGCGCTGCACGGCATCTTGGCTGGTCTTTCGCTGCATGACACAGTGGGACTCGACCAGTCAGGGAAGCCCAAAGAGGATGGCCCTGAGCAGTCGCCGCTGGCCGACTACGACTTTAAGGCTGGAGGGGCTGTGAAGAGCCTGCTTCCTCCCGTCCAGGAGCCCGCGCCCAAGACCATCAAGTCCATCGCCGTGTCGCCATGGAACCCCCCGCCGTACCACCTGCGATCGAAGGGCCACCTGATGTACCTGGTCGTCAACACCAACGAGAACGAGCAGCACCACATCACCTCCCACGTCTCTGGTTTCTACGTTAACAAGTCGTCAAATGCCAGCTTTGACCCCTCGCCTCGTGATGGACCCAAGGCGCGCCAGGCACACTCGCTGCTGAACCTGCTCGAGGCCATCTCGCCCTCCTTTAACGACTCCTTCCAAAAGCTGCTCGACCACAACGCAAAGAAAGAGCTCCTCACCATCTTCCAGCTCTCGAACGCCATCCCCGCGAACCCCTGGTTGGTCCCCGCGCCCACCTCCGCTCTTACCACACATCAGCCAGACCTCGCACGAACACAAGAGAGCTACCTCATCTCGGGCGTTGAGAACACAGAGACTCTTCGTGACTGGAATGAGGAGTTCCAGTCGACACGGGAAATGCCCAAGGAGGCTGTCCACGATCGTGTCTTCCGCGAGCGCCTCACATCGAAACTATTCGCTGACTACAACGATGCGGCGACACGTGGTGCGATGCTCGTAGCTCGCGGCGAGATTGCGCCTCTCAACCCTACAGAAGCTAAGGACGCCCAGATCTTTGTTTACAATAACATCTTCTACTCCTTTGGCGCGGACGGTGTCGGTACTTTCGGCACTGAGGGTGGTGACGAGGCTGCTCGCGTAGCCGTCGGCAAGGACGTCTTTGGTGTTCGCGCCGTCAACAACTTGGACATCCCCAACTTGTTCACCTCAGGAACTGTCGTCGTAGACTACCTTGGAAAGCGCATTGTTGGACAGAGCATCGTTCCCGGTATCTTCAAGCAGCGCGACCCTGGCGAGCACCAGATCGACTACGGTGCGGTCGAGGGCAAGGAGATCGTCGCCGACGACAAGTCCTTCGTTCCCCTGTTCGAGCAGCTGTCGAAGGCTCTGCGCGTCAAGAAGCACCCTGTATGGGACAAGGACAACGTCAGGCACGAGCTGGAGGGTAGTGTTGAGACCAAGGGGCTCATTGGTACTGATGGCAGGCGCTACGCTCTCGACCTCTACCGCCTCACTCCCCTCGATGTTGCTTGGATTGAGGCCCACTGGAGCGAGCCGGCCAAGGAGGGAGAGACTAAGTCTTCCGAGAAGGACTACCCTCACCGCATGGCCACTCTTCGCCCCGAGCTTGTTGAGTCGTACGGCCGCCAGAAGCTCCGCGAATACGTCAAGAACGAGCTTGAGAAGAAGAAGGGCGCAAGGGAGGAGACACCAGTGAAGAAGGCTGTGAAGGCTGAAGAAGAGGAAGGATCGTCTTCTGAGGAATCTTCGGAAGAGGAGTCTTCGGAAGAGGAAGAGTCGTCAGATGAGGACGAGGAGGAGAAGAAAACCGATAAGAAGGCCGACAAGAAGGTTGCAAAGACCGAGAAGAAGGCTGACGGCGAGGCTGAGCCCGAGAAGAAGGCAGAGGAGCAGGACCGTGTCGATATCTCTGGTTTCAATTTCGCTCTCAACCCTGACGTCTTCTCTGGCCAGAACCCGCAGTCTGAGGAGGACAAGGCTGAGTGGGCCAAGGACGAGGCTGAGGTTCGCGCTGCTTGCGAGCACCTGCAATCCGAGGTTCTTCCTCGCCTGATCCAGGAGCTCAAGGACGGCGAGGTTGGCTTCCCCATGGACGGCCAGTCTCTCAGCGCCCTCCTGCACAAGCGTGGTGTCAACATCCGCTACCTCGGAAAGATCGCTGAGCTTGCCGACAAACCTGACCCGCGTCTCCAGGCCTTGAAGCGCCTTGTCATCCAGGAGATGATCGCACGTGGCTTCAAGCACTTCGCCAACTCCAAGCTTCGTAACATTCCTGCTCCTTTCGCCGCTGCCTGCGTTGCACACCTTCTCAACTGCTTGCTTGGCGCAGAGGCGAACCCCAAGCCCGTTGCTGAGTCTGACAGCAGCCTCAAGTCCATCTACCCTGAGGCTGACTTCAGCTTTGAGAAGCTCACCCCCGAGACCTTGAAGAAGGCGGTCGTCGCACAGATCGCTCTCCGCTACCGCTACAACCTCAACGCCCTCGGCGGCAACTGGGTTGAGACCGGCAAGGAACTGCAGCTCTTCCGTGAGGTCTCGCTCAAGCTTGGTCTGCAGTTGGAGAGCAAGCAATACGCCTTTACAAAGGAGGCTCTCGTCAGCGTCCTCGCTGCCAAGCCTGCTCCTGCTCCTCAGACCAACGGCAACTCGACTTCGAGCAAGAAAAAGAACAAGAACAAGCAGGCTTCGCCACCTCGCACCGAGAGCCCTGCTCCTGCTCGCACAGCGCAGACCTTCCACGCTGACGACGTCCTGAACATCGTCCCCGTTGTGAAGGAGGCTTCGCCCAAGAGCTTGTTGGCTGAGGAGGCCCTCGAGGCCGGCCGTATGTCCGTTGCTCAGGACCAGAAGGAGCTTGGCCAGGAGCTGCTCCTCGAGTCTCTGCAGCTGCACGAACAGATCTATGGTGTGCTGCACCCTGAGGTCGCTCGTGCCTACCACACCTTGTCTAATCTCCTTTTCAACCTGGAGGACAAGGCGTCCGCTCTCGAGCTTGCCCACAAGGCTGTCATTGTCTCCGAGCGCACCCTCGGTGTTGACCACGCTGACACCGTTCTTGCTTATCTGAACCTGGGTCTGTTCGAGCACGCCTCGGGTAACACCAAGGGCGCGCTTGTCTACGTACGCCACGCTCTTGACCTGTGGAAGATCATTTACGGAGCTGACCACCCTGACTCGATCACCACTCTCAACAACGCTGCTGTCATGCTGCAGGCCATGAAGCTGTACCACGAGTCGCGCATCTGGTTTGAGGCTTCTTTGGCTATCTGCGAGGATGTCTCTGGCAAGAACTCCATCAACACTGCCACCCTTCTCTTCCAGACTGCTCAGTCGCTTGCCCTTGACAAGGACATGCGCGGTGCCGTCAACCGCATGCGCGAGTCGTACAACATCTTCAAGGAGGTTCTTGGTGCTGAAGACCGCAACACCAAGGAGGCTGAGAGCTGGTTGGAGCAGCTCACACAGAGCGCCGTCAGCCAGCAGAAGCAGCTCAACGACATTGCTGCTGGTCGTATCCGCCGCGTCCAGCTAACCGGCAGGAACCCTCTCCGCCCAGCTGCTGCTACACCAACAGTCAGCGAGCACGCTAACACCGTGGGCGGTCCTCAGACCCGCCGTGGTACTGGTGGTGTCGACCAGCGCAGCATCGACGAGCTTCTGAAGTACATCGAGGGCGAGTCGCCGAAGACACCCACCAAAAAGCGCGGGCAGGCCAACCCCAGGAGGAGAGGTGGCAAGAACTAATGTTCTGCCGCACAAAAGTCACCATTTGGATTTTGCAACGGCCTATTCCTGTAACACTATTGCGTTTTGATTTTTTTATGACGACCAAGGCATCTCAGCACTCGGCACGTTCTTGCATCTGTTGGCTCATTGCGTTCGAGTTTAGCATTGTTGGCTTGGGGAGTTGTGAGGTTCATACTGGGTTGTAATACTAGCCTCTTCTTGCCATCTAGAATAGGGAGGACGGGTATGACGGCAGCATGGTGATGAACTAGATGTATGCAATACAATAAAAGGTCTCCTCTTTTCAGTATCAACAATGATGGAACAATGACTGCCGGTGTGATGGTGGCCCAAACAAAGGGAAACTGCGCACTGGCCACATGTCTCCATGATGACGTCCCCCAAACAAACTTCGCGCAGGCGCGACGGCTTGCACCCCAGCCTCCCACAACACCCACCCCACCACAGCCCACGCGGCGCATTTCCTTCCAATTCGTTCTTTGCATTACCGCAATCGCGCAAAAAGCGCAAAACAACGCGCAATGGCAGATATTATCGAACGCGACGACGCCACAGTCATCCCGGCGCGTAGGCCGCGGCGGTCGCGCCTTCCTGCGCCTCTGCGAGTGCCCATCCTCGTAGTGCTCAATCTGGGCATCAACACACTATTGTGGCAGACTGCAGCAAACTTTCTACCACCTGAGCTTGGTTACGTCAGCAAGGTACCCGCCGACGACGATGTCTACAGCCTGTACAGCCCGGTCGCGCGCCTCATGACAAAGATCTTGACCATCTATGCCACCTGGGCGGTCGGGTACGACTGTAAGTACAGGACGTGCAGTCTTAGTTGATCGTGCCTAACGCGCGCAGTCTACGATGTTTCGGCCTTGACACTCCTCACCAACGCGCCCTACGCGTATCTCTTGTCCACCTACTACCAGATCTCCACCCTCACGGTCGCAGCGCACATGATCATCGAGATCCTCTCGATTGCCATCCCCACCTACCTTCTGCGCCCCAGGGCACCCGCCCACCGCGCCAGCGTACCCCTGCGGAACCGCTTCCTGCTGAACAGCGTGCAAGTCCAGTTCTCCAACGCGCTCCTCGCCATCTGCGTCTATGTCGTTGTGATCTGGGGCGGGCTCAAGACCGGCTGGATGAACTACTTCCTGATCACCTACTTCGACATCCCCACGCTCGAAGCCGCACACCTCGAAACCCCGGTCAGCGTCGCAGCCAAAATCTTCACCGCGGGTTTCGCGGCTAAGGAGTTCCTTCTTAACCCTTCGATCGCCGCGCAGGTGCAGCCTGGTCAGGCGACGCCGGTGGCCAACTTCGATGCGAGTACCGCGGATCTGCAGGCTACGCTGAAGCACAACTTTTGGTACTTTGGTCGCCGCACCAGGACACTCATTCAGCAGACGTGGATTTTGAGCTTCTTCCTGGTTGCTAATACAGTGCAGCGCTGCATGACGCTCAACGGTGCTGAGTTCAACGGCGCTGCGGGTTACGCTGGTATCTGGGCTGTCGCGAACGTCATCATCGCCACGTGGTACGCATGGGTTGGTGACACCAGCACTGACTACGTTGTCAACTAAGCGACGTCGATTTTTGGAGATACACGGATAGAAGAAGAGAAGAGAGGAAAGAGGAGAGAGAAGAGGCAGACAGCAGTGGACTTGCTTGTCAGGCAATAGGACGGCATTGGCGACATGGCCGATTGTAAGGCGCAGAGCGCAAGCGGAACCGCACTTTTTCGTATTGCTCTGTAACGGCTCGAGCTGGTGCGCAATTGTAGGAGGACAGGTGGATACCATTTCCTTGTATATCATTCCCATAGTTCAATCCACATGTTCACAAACGCGCACCCTTACACAACTTGATTGTCGTTTCTGGCAAGCCAGCAGATGTTCAAGAGATTGACAAAGGCCGCGTGGCATCGTCCCAACTTTCCTTTTACCTCTACTCCACATAAAACACCTCCTCCGTCTGTCCCCACCACCCAGGCCCATCCTTGCTCCCCACCGCGCCCTCGACGGGGCTCTCCTGCATCCCATCCGTCATGCGCCACCATTCTTGCACTTTGGGGTTCGCCGCCATGCGCGCCATATCCTCGTCGAACGCGTTGCCGACGTATTTAAAGGAGGCGAAGAGCGTTGGTCTCGGTTCCAAGCTCAGGAAAATCGAATCTAGAGCGGGAATGTTAGTCTGGTTGCATTGTTGGTGACGTTGTATTTGGAGCTGCCCGTTCTTACAACGGGCGCGAAGGCGGACATGGAGGAGAGGGAACGGCGACAGTGCGAATGATCATGGAGATAGGTATCAGAATAGAGTGGGAACGGGGGTCGTACAGTCCCGCACATTGCTATCCTTGATCTGCTCCAGCACTTCTGGCCACACGGCTGCGTGGCACTTCTTGTACTCGTCGATGCATTCTGGGCGCAGGTACAGCCATTGGCCGATGCGGCGGGGACCTTGGTCTGTTGATGCCATCGTCACGATTCGACTTGAGCGGAATGGAAGAGGAACGGGCTGGAGATAGAGGAAGTGGCAATTTCTGGTGAGGTTGCACTGTAAAGAAGTTTGGTGGAACTTGGATTGCATGAGAAGTATGAGGGGTGGTGGGGTAGCTCTGGAGCTCTGTCGGTTCAGTGTCGACCGAGGTGCGGCGGCAATGGACCGAGTGTGGAGCTTTTTGGTTTGGCAAGGCTTGGTAGCTATTTTGCAGATGTGTCAAGGTCAATAGCGACAAGGGTTATATGAAGAAGGCGTGTTGGGTCGTGCGATGTATCTGGTATCAGCAATTCGAGAACTTGTCAAACATTCCCTCGGTCAAGAGAGAAGACATATGGGTTCGATAGATGCATTCATCATTGCGTGGGTATATATCGTAGTAACATTCAAACTTGATTTCCTTCGGTTCCTGCTTGTACAGAACCCGCCTAGACGAGATACCTGTATCCCTTCATCAATCTCTGCCCCTCCTCGACAGTCATACCCTCCATCTGCGCAGTGTGCTCTGCAACATCACCGTGCGTCTCCCAAGCAGTCTCGCCAGCATCGAGCTTCTTGTTCAGGTTGGTCAAGATAAGCTTGAAGATGTAGCACCCGACAATCGTAACACCGAACATAGCGGTAACAATACCGTAGCTGCCCCTGTAGCCATTGTCGGGTAAGTTCCACACGTACGAACCAGCAATGTTTCCGAGTTGCGAGAAGGCGTTCACCATGGCGATAGCGACGGCACGCTTAGCAGGAGGACGAGGGAAGGAGGACGAGATCCAGGAGTAGAACACGATGAATCCAGCGTAGGCGGAGGCCTGCAGGAACAGCGCGACGTAGCGACCAGCGGTGTTGAGCGTGCACATGGAGATGATAAAACCGACGAGGCCACCGAGAATGGGGCCGACGATGTGCCAGAAACGCTCTTGTGTGTGATCAGCATGCCACGCATTGATGAGTGAGACGACGCAGGCGAACGCCCACGGGGGCGCGGACATGAGGAGGGTGGTGATGTAGCCGAAGCCGAGGGTGCGGGTGAGTGTTGGGAAGAAGGCGTTGAAAGACAGACCGACGACGTAGGCGGTGAATGTCAGCATCAGGACGTAGATCTTGGAGTCCTTGACGGCCATGATCAGACCAGCGAAGGCGGACTCCTCGGCGCTGTCCTCATCGGCTTCTCCGACGTCTTCGGTCATGCGGAGGACAGCGACGGCGCGCTCCTCCTCAGTGAAGCCACGGGAGTTGTGGGGAAGATCGGGCAGGATGAACAGCGCGGCGATGGCGATGGCCATTGTAGCAGCACCTTCGATCCAGTACAACCACCTCCAGGCACGGTGGCCGAGGGTACCCTCCATGTTGGACAGGACGGCGGCACCGACGAGCGAAGAGAAGGCGTTGGAGATGAGGTTACCGCAGAAGAGGATAGCGTTGCGGAGTGTGAGTTCGCGGCGTGTGTACCACTTGGACAGGATGAGGAGGGCACCGGGGAGGAAAGCAGCCTCGACGAAACCAATGAAGAAGCGGATGGTAACCATGCCGGCGAAGTCGGTCACGTTTCCGGACAAGGTCGAGATCATACCCCAGATGAGCATGACGACGCCGATGTAGATGGAGGGACGGGGGATGCGGTTGATGATCATGTTGGAGGGAACTTGCATCACTGGCGAAATATTAGAATACGCAACTGTTGATCGAACATTATTTTGGCTTACAGATGTACCCCACGTACAGAATGGACAAGCATGTCGCATACTGGGTGTTGTTGATGTTAAGATCCTCCTGCAGACCACCAAGACGCGCAGCAGCGATGTTGTTGCGGTCGAGGTAATTCATGATGTAGATCAACACGAATAGCGAGCATCGCGCATCAAGCTTGCGCTTCAGCTTCTTCTCAACCGCAGCCCTCTTCTCCGGGCTCATGTTGCCGGCGAGCCCACTGTGGGCCGACTTTGGCGCGACCTCGTGGCCCTGGGTATCCATCTCGATATTTTTCTTGATGTCGACCATTTTCAGAACCACAACAAAAGGAGTGCGACCGACTTCGAAACGTCAAATCGTGTCTCCTGCCAGATAGTGATCATCCAGCTCTTATACTCTGACCCGGGTACACGTCTCCGTGCCCATGTGCCGACCCCAGTGCCTGTTTTGCGGGACCTCCATGTTGTTACCACACTTACCCCACGCCTCCAGTTCACCGTTACATCACTCATCTCGCGCTGGGCAGGATTTTCTCAAGGCCTGGTAGCCAAGCATTGCACGCGCCTATGAAACAGCGGCTCCGTTTCCTAATCTGGTAGAGTGCAGAATGCGGGGAATTCGAGCGTCAACGGCGCCGTTGATCCTATGAATGAGACTGCTTGACCCGACTGTAGTGCGTGCTGCCATTCGCCTCGAGGCTGCTGTTTATGCTGAGTGCATGAGTTGTGCGGGTGGTTCGAACGTCGGGTGTACCGCCTGGTAGAGGGTGGCTTGGTGTTGTTTGTGCAGCTGCCGCGGTCTCGAAGGCTGCTGTTGCTTCATGCAATGCGCTGACAACTCACCTGACAGGATTTCGAGCTCAACACTAGTGTATCTTGCAAGTTTGTTGAGCCGCATGCAAGAAAGACGCCGCTAGTTGTGCTGACCCGCCTTGCTACCGCGGGTGAAGGTCGGATGAGGTTCTGAGAGGTTGAAAGAGGAATGATTTCGGCGCCTTGCGAAGTCTGATTTGCCGCTTTGAACGCTACGCCCCACGCTCTTTCCGCTTCGTGTGGGGTTACATTCATCCTTGGCTCTTGAGGCTCTGCTAGAGGGCTCACAATCTATCGGGTGGCGAGACACGGGGCATAGTGCCATGGGGACTCCAGGCTCCGACGTTACACGACAGTTGACAGGCCAGGCCTGACATAGATTTGCAGTGGGCAAGCGAAGCTGCGAACCCTTGCTGAAAGCTCTCAGCTCAACTCCAGTACTCATATGAAGCATAGGGTAATACTTTACCCTTCCCTTGTATGTCCGACTAAGCTCTCCAAGCATCATCATCGGGCCTTGACTCGTGCGGCTCTCCGGCCGCATCTCTAGCGGCATCTCCTCAAAGACATGACCCCCACGCTACATCAAAACTCCAGGACTTCTCCACTTCTTCTCCAACAATTTGCAACGCCGACCTCTAGCCAAGAGAATAACCAGGAATTTTGGGATATCCGAGCGCGAGTGGACTAACCTAGATCTGGATTTTCATGTAGGACAAGAATCGAACGTGCCGAGGCTTGCTGCAAAAGTTTGTAATGGAAGAAAGCGCCGCCAAATGTCTGGGAAAGAGCATGCATTCCGATCTTGGCGAGGGAGTTGCTGTTGGATGGTTGTTGACCATTTGTGATTCGACGCATCCGGGCCTTTCACCCCTTTCTACAATGTTCATTGTCAAGTCGCCAACGTAACACAAGAGTACCTTCGGTATCAGATGTCCTAACAGGTTGCATGCTACGAGCATGGAGATGTCACAATAGTCTTGGTACCAGGCGTAGCATTGCTGGGCGTACTGAGCTATGCTACGCTACAACAGTCAATCACAGCAGCCTCTTGCTTTGGCCCAGCATACAAACGTTGACTGCACCTCACGACCTTGTCCATCACAACTTGATATAGCAGGGAATACTCTACCGAATAAAGGCTATGTGACGTACCCTGTCCGGCAGGGTCATCTTCTGATGTTTGTGCTGGTGCGTATGCCTCAGTGCGTGAAGGTGGGTGTTGACTAGCCAGCCAAGCAAAGCTCGTTCAAGCGGGTTCTGGCACGATGGCACACTCATTGGAAACAGGAGGCCCTCGCCGGCTTCACGCTCCTTTACTCGGACAGCCGTGCTTTACGCATACAAGACCGACCTTCCACGAGCTCGTTCGACGCATCAAATCGGATACGTCTCGAAACATACAATGACGCTGTTGAACCTGCCGACAGAAGTGTTCCAACTCGTCATCAAGCACCTCGTCACCGGCGCTGGTGTGGCACTGGCTTGGAAGCATCGAGGCACCAACCGTACGTTTCGTAGTTGTATCGACTACGAGATCTTTGCCAGACAGCACATTCGAGCCTCCCTCAAGAAAATAAATAACGGCCGGCAGGTTCTCAAAAACAACATGGCACTCTATCTGAGCTACCGTACAAACACACTATAAGGCGTTCATGCTTCTTCCTACATTCATTCGGGGTATCCCTGACCGCGTCTATGCAAGACTTGCTGAAGACGAATACGGCAGTCGTCAGCACCATACGCAACTGTTGTATACCCTTGTTGTGGAGCATCGAACCGAAGTCTGGAGTATGCTGATGGCCAAGGTATCGGACATGTCCGCGAAATTTCGTAACGTTCTACCGTATTTTCAGAACAAATTCGAACATCACCTTGTTGCCGCTGCAGCTGCCGTTGATATTGTCAAAGCTATTATCAAACTCTTCGAGAAGGACCGATACAAGTATCCTATGGCAAAGTTCGAGAGGTACTTCAAGAGCGCCATAAACTGCATTCCTTGGAAAACGTGCAAAGACTGAACTCTTACTCCTCAGAGTTTACGATGAATACGGCGGCTCGTCGTTTAGTTCCACAACAATCTCCCAATGGATTCCGTCAGCCTTCGCAATGTAAGACAAGCATGTATCGTATGCTCCTCTTTTCATGCGGCGTATGGAAGACATCATCCAGATTGCAGATGTCTTCGAAGATGCCTGCCAACGCGACAATCATGAAACGGCACTTTCACTTTTAAGAGATGGCTATCTTGCACTGCATCGCAGTTACACCATGGGCACCTATAGGGATTACCCACTCAAATCAGCCGTGAAATATGGTAGCTTCAAGCTGGTGAAGATGCTTCTTGACACGGGCGCCAGTCCTGGCGGATATTGCCCACGGGAGAACAGTAATGGTCCACTATGGGCAGCAGTGCAAGAGAACAAACCAGTTGTGTTACAACTCCTGCCTCGGTATGGTGCTGATCCCACATATGCGGTAAATTATCACGAAAATCCGCGAAAAAAAACTATTGGGATGTACGGCCTGGGTTGATCGAGATATCGCGCAAGGCCATGCGGAAAAGCAACCACCCCGTACACATCAAAACGCCGAAAAATAATTCGCCGTCGATGGTGTGGATCTCTGAGCTTCTGAACTGGTGAGAGAGATGGACTTTAGGGCCGAACCAATACAATGTAAACCCATATGCACAATACACCGAGACACGAGTCTTGGTGTTATTGAGTCGAGATAGTTTTACAAAACCCTTCGCAAAGCCAACGCAAGCCTCACCCGTGGGGCGCTCTATCACAAGTGGAAAATAAAAACAGCTGCTAGGAGTAAAGGTCAAGTAGCAGGGTCGGTACCTTCACTTCGAACCACCTGCTCTTGCGCGCACTCTTACACCCACCCACTCCACCTCGCAACTTCCATACCTATCTCCGTTTATCGCCCACACCACAAAGATGGAGCTGTTGGACCTGCCACCAGAAGTTTTCAGACGCATCATTGCGCACCTTGTTACCAACGCAGGCATAGTGGAGACATGGCAGCACGCAAAGTGTATCGTAAGTTTCAACATCCCTCAGACCGCACTCAAAGACATTTTACCTGTCTGTCTGCACATTTTACTGACACACTTTTAGGCACCTTACGCAGGTCTATCGGATTCGAACCCCTCGCAAATCAGCCCACTCGCGCTTTCCTCCATGCCAAAGAGACAAGCGCACGAAGCATCCTTCACCACACTATGGCCCTCTGCCTCAGCTACTGCTTGACGGCGGAGAAGGGTGAGGTACCGGCTGTAGTGAAGTGCTAGCCTGCTGCGCGGGAGCGGACGAGAGTGGGTAAGCCGGCTGCAAGGACCTTGATGCGGACTTGGGATTCTGTTGGTGAAAAAAGATCCAAGGTTTGGTACCTGGGTGCTTCACCCCATTTGTTGACGACTGTTGCTTGCACCATGATGGAGTTGTATGTCAATGAATTATTGAAAAGGTGAAGACGATCTTCCGCTCGGTTGCTCAAACTCGGCATCTCGGGAGGGCCGATGACGCGAACGTGTCAATCGTGGTCAGCACACACTTCCTTCCTCGAAGTCTTTCTTGACATCCAAGGTTACGATGACGACGCATACAAGGAACTTTACTCGGCTTGGAACTGTTTGATATGCTGCGAGGTATGCAGCAAATTGAAGGCAGCATCCGCAGTGTCCCAAGGCCGTAGCACGTCGCATGATTGAAACATTGATGCGTGACAACTAGATCCTGGAAGGTTCGAAGAAGAATCAATGGAGACATGGCTAGCAAAGGAAAAGAATCTTGGAAATACCACGCGCTCTCTCAGCGCGCCAATTCTCTCAGAACAAAACGAAACACTCAAGCAAAGTGTCCTCAGGAAGCCGAGACTCCTCTTCGGTAGCCCTTCCCACACGCCTCTGCCTCTCACGTTCCGTTGCCATGCCCGTACCGTGTCGAATGAAGAAGTAGGCCTTGAGACGGGCTGGATCGCCTCGGAGTACCTGAATCAGGCATGGCATAGCCCAGTTCTGCTGGCCGAATGATTTTAGCGAAGATACTCTTGCTTTGCAATTGGCAGGTATTACCACCAACATGCCCCACAGGCACGAACTGCGGTTCACGCACAAGATGCATGTGACGCGACGTACAACCCCACGAATGATCACGACAATGTGGGTTCCAGTGTCAATCATTTGCAGGACGAGGAACACGGCACGGTCAAACTCTGGAGTGGCTCTAGATAGCAGCCCGCCTCATGGTTTTCATGCAACAGTCCGCGGGGATCGAGAAAACAGGCGCAACAGAAAGGAGCCAAGGTTGCGATGTGTATAATTGATAGCCACTTTCATCAGGCTGAAAAGTCTGCAATCTTCTTATTCTCAGTACGAAATGAGCTCCGGTGTATGGCAGACCCTGCCGCGTCTGACCCGAATGCTGGCCTATACCCAGAGACTAGCTCTAGTCTCTTGCCGCCTACGTTCTGCGACGAGATTGGCAATACAGGATTCTACTACCAGCAGAGAGCCCGTAATTACTGGAAAGCTGGCTGCTGAGACCAGGCAAACTTCTGGGTCAAACGCGATAGTATCAAATGATTTCTCTCTCCCTCACGACAACAAATCCGCTAACAATCATCCCTCAAAGGTCAAAGTTCGCAGTTCGACAGATCTGGGTGACCGAGGTGGTAACCCACACGAGCGAAAGCCCATCGACATTATCAACTCTGTTGTCAAGTCGTAACAGCGACCATCAGTTCTGGTGGGAAAAGATAGGGGTCCAGTTATTGGTACTGCTGGAGCACGCTGGCTACAAGAGGATAGAATAGTATAACGAGCTTCTGTTCTTTGCCATTCACATTATCCCTAAACTTGGTCCGGTACCAGACCATAACGGGCATCTGCGATGGCGCAGCCCCCACACTCCAGACGGTACCCCTCTTGACTTCAGCTGGGAATGTGGACTTGGGGGCAAAGGTGTGATCCGCACTTCATTCGAACCGATTGGCCCCTTTGCTGGAACCAAAGCCGACCCGCTCAACCACTTCGAGACTGATCTCTGGATTAGGCGTCTCAAAAGCCAAGATCTTGTGGCTGGACTCGATCTTGAGTGGTACTGTCACTTCACCAAGACCATTCTACCAAGCGAGCCTATTGTACCAAGCAAGCTGGACTGGACCGTATGAAGATGGCAGAGAAGAATAACTTCAAAGTCGCACCTGTCGCTGGCACTTTTGTTACACGGGACATCGACAGACATGGGCCAATTGTCAAGATGTACATGTTTCCTGGCCTCAGAGCACAAGAACTCGGTATCTCCAAGGCAGAGGTTGTCTACAGTGCAATTAAAAGTCTCCCTGAAGAGCGATACCAATCATTGAAGTTCGAGCCGCTGCAGGCGTATCTCCGTGAGGCGGCTGCAAAGTGGAGCATGGAGATCCACATCTTTTCATTCGATCTTATCTCGCCACAGAAGTCACGGATCAAGATCTACACTCGGGCGCCTAACACGAGCATCGAGTACCCCATGGATGCTCTCACCCTTGGAGGTCGACACGACTTGTCGATGTACAGTGCTGAAGTTATTCAGGACGTGCAAGACTTCTGGATGATTTTCATTGGCGACGCTCCGGATGTGCTTCCTCAAAGTGGAGCAGAACGTGGTCCAGGCTTTTACTTTACGGCGAAAGCTGAGCAGCCAATAACCCCTAAGGTGTATATATCGCTTGCTCCCTTTTGCGAAAACGATCTGGAGGTACTCAAGCGGTTACGACGCTATTTTGTAACAAGGCGAGACGCAGCGAGAATGCTGCTACAGATGGAAATCTACGAGAAAGCACTGAAGTCGATCTAGTGAGTCTGAGTGCCGTCACCATATCTCATGGTCTAACAACAGTGCAACAGCGGAACAGACTATCTGGAGAAGACAAGCGACATCCACATGTACGTAAGCTGCGCAGTACAGAAGGATCAATTGAGAGTTGTCACGTATTTGTGTCTGCAGATACGGGCTCTTGAGGCAGAGGCACAAAAGTTACAGATAAGCTCGGCGCGAGAGCTATAAACCCTCCTTGTGACGGTTTATGGAGTGAAGCGGTCATGTCTGCCACGTGTGCTGGTGCAGTGCTCTTGCCTGTTCCAATAGCACTTTCTGTCTGAACAACAGATACGTCATGTAAACAGACCCCGCTGGGGGTCGAGTGAGAGAGACAGAACACAAAACAACATAACAGAATATACTGATTTTACTGCTTCGCGCGGTTGCCCCTGACTTACTGCCCTGCGCGGTTACACCTTCACTTATTGCATTCACTGCAACACTCCTTCTATTGCCCACGTTGCCATATTTACGTTTTCTTTCGAATACGATCCAAACTTTACGCTTTCCAGCGTAATTGACTATTTGTCCAGTCAGATGATTCCTGGCTGGATCTGACTACCTTTCTCAATACTCCTGACGGAAACTTGCGGTGCCTGTGCACTAGTTGGCTGTTGCAACCAGGTCTTTTTCCACTACTTCTTTCGGTTGTCTGTGGTTCCGGTCCTGGTCTTAGAGTCATAAGCTGAACGTATACTGAGAACTCAGAATCCGACTGCTTGTTGTACTGCCACACGGGCTGACATCAGGGCGCAGTAAAGTCTCCTTCCAAGCTTGCCAAGCGGCTAGACGTTCAGCTGAACAGAGCTCACCAGTGATTACGCCGCAGCTCTCGCTAAACAAAGAGACAGCTGCAAGTTCTAAGCCTCTTTCTGTTGCTGCTATGCCCCTTTCATATTGATGGAGGAGTGGCCCCGCCTACCAGAACCGAGATCTTTTGGCGATGCCCAGGTGGCTTTGCTCACCATCGGTGATAGGCTTCGCGAAAGCTCCAAGGTGAGTTTGATCTACGCAGACTCTTCTTGGGTACTGCCACAGATTGCTGAAATCATGGCTGAGCAGACAGGATGTACGTCTCCGCAAGGTAAGTCTGGATCATCCAAGCTTTCGAGGTAGAATGCGGCTGTTGGAGCTTCACAAGGAACTTCACATTCCTCTAAATATAGACCTACAACGATACCTGGCTGGTTGTGAACACTACTCACAATAATATAAAGTCAGACTTACTTTGCTCGCTATCTCGTCATCACACACAAGTATCGCCAATCATCTCAACAGCAGCACCGGAAACTGTTAAACCCGTTTTTTGCTCTTTACTTCAAATCCTCGAACCCATCAAATAACCCACTCCAAAGAACTCCTGAAGATGCATTCTTTTGGTATGAGCTTCGTCTACTTTGCTTCTCTCCTTGGCGCCACATTTGCTCTCCCAACCGCACGGGGACCACCCGCACCTCGGTCTTGCCAAATTTCGTATCCAACACAGATGATCGAATTCACTCCTCTTGAGAACCCATCCACGTCTTTGACAGACTTCTGCGTGACATCCGACACACGCGTCAAATACGTCGAGTTCGGCTCGATTCCAGCAACAGCCCGTGGCGCATGTCAACTTGAGTTCGTGTTTCCTGCTGGATACTCCGTCGCGGGAGCAGGGACGCATCAAGTCAATGTGTGGAAGACGGAACGACCCGCTTCATTGAATGACACCTGGGAGAACGCGCCAAAAACGGTTACTACATTTGGCACTGTAACTCTGAACAGCAAACCGGATCAGGAAGCAAGGATCATCGTGAACAGCGGGAGCTGTGACAGTATGAGGAATTTCAAGATTGGTCTTGCAGACACGAGGATTGACTCGAGCGTTACGTATACGCAGCAATTCCCTCCGGCTGAAGTGGTTGCGGGTATGCGCATTGTGCATAGCTGCTAAGGATGAGGCGGTATGGTACTCGATTCATTGGAATGCTCCTTTCTGATCTTTGAGTTTATACCTTGTAAACTGAGTATCAGACGATTATAGACCTGCAGTCCGTTGTCATTCTTTCCTTTGCTAGCAACTCTTGATTATCAAGTAGACAATACGAACTCCGACCATCTCATAGAACTCCCTCATTTGGCTACTTCATGTTGACTTTTCTCCGAAACCTATTGATCCTGGCGCTTAGCTTCCACCTCAAGTTCGACCAGCATGGTTGGGAAAGCCAAATGAGGTACGGCGATACACGACCACACAGGCTTGTGATTGGGAATCCTTCTCTTCAATGCTTCGACAACCGGGTCGAATGTTGTACGGATATTGGTGTGATAGGATCGCAGCAGATAGACATCCTCCCAGCCACGCAGACCTGCAGCCTTCAGAATCAGGTCGACATTATCGATGGCAAGCTGTACTTGTTTTGTGGAGTCGTTGGCATCGAGGTCTCCTGTTTCGGGGTCCCAGCCTCCTTGCCCGGCATACTTGACGATGCCGTTGCCGAGGTCGACGGTCTGGGAGTAGTGACAGAGCTCACCGAACTTTGTTGAGGCACCAGGAGGGTTGTTGTACTCTAGTGAGGCCATTGTGCTTGTAGGATTCTGATAACTTCGAGTCATGTGTGTTGCTGAATTGTCTATTTTAGGACCAGTCCAGATATTTGTTGTGGCAGAGTCATTACTTACGTAGAAATGATGTTCCTTAGTCTGGGGTACAATGCTGCTAGGAAGTCGTTTGTAGGTTGTCGATGAGATCAAACGTAGATCCCCGAGGTTTATACCCCAGCGAGGAGGTCTTCGCGGAATCGACGTCACCAGTCGCCCTTAGGTAAGGCAAATCCCGATGTCTCCAATTGCTGCCTGGGCTCTCGGCTTTTGCAGGTTGCTTAACCTAAATTCCACCTGTCTTCAAGTATGCTGTCCAAGCGCACCTTGTAATGTTCGTCTCAATGCCTCGTACTGTGTTCTCCATTCGTTCGCTTCCCTAGCTGCATCGCATGCCTTCAGCCTCTGCCGCAGCGTCACCATCCCGAGTTCTTGATCGGTCACCCTCCGCCTGCGCTGCAACCTGATGAGCAAGGCGGCTGTGGCGTTTCAGGATATCTCGCCTAGTAAACGAAGATCCACAATGACACGAGTAAGGCTTTTCTTTTGTATCTATGCGTAAAGATAAGTCAAACTACTTCATTTGAATCACCTACAGACGGTAGACATTGAGAGGATGCTTGAGTTACTTACGTGTCCGGATATGCCTCATTAGATGTTCCAATTTACGAAATTTCCTGTCACAAAATGTGCATCCATGTGGTCTATCCGAAGCCTGGTCTATCTGTAGCCCTGGAGGTGTTCAAATGATCAAGCTGAAGCGCACTGGAGACGTAGGTTGGAGAACCGAGGCTGCTCCTTCCGATTCTTGATGAAGTGGGGCGTCCCTGACGTCTCCAACCTTTTCCCTATCACGCACTCTCGAAATCCCCTTTTCGATGCGTTCAGACTGGCCCAAGTGCTGCACATTCCACGCCCCTGCGAGAGAGTTGAGCATGGTTGAACGAGCACCTGATTACAAAAAATTCAAGACACCTCCCGCCAGAGCTGCATGCACCTCATGGTACGTCATTAGTGGTTGCGATTTACGCGTCGCGATCTGCTAACACATAGCAGTCGCGCATCTCGAGTACGATGCAGTGGTATGGTTACATGCACTCGTGTGAGTAACAAGCTATGTTTCGATTTCCCTGCCTCCAGACTAATGCTCTGCAGTGTGCAAAGACAGGAAAAATCATGTACCTTCACAACCAGCGAATGAGGCCGAAAATCGGCAGCAACGGCGGAGAACGGCCCCAACATAGATCATCTCAATAACAACAATAATCCGACATTTGAGCCAAGTGACCTCACTGCGCCTACATTGCCAGACACTTCGAGGGCCTCGATTGTGCAAGAAGAGTTTGGCGACCTCCTCCCGCCGCTGTTCAACGGCAACATCAATGCATTCCAGTTCAATGACATATTTCTTGGGAACACAGAAAATAACTTGGATAGATTCTTCGCGGATATCTTCAGCCTGCCGACCTTCCCTCGTCTAGATATCAACGGACCGGCTCCAGCCCACGACTCCGGCATCGAGTGGTTAGAGACTGTCAAGAGTAAGCGTTCGAGCCCAGCGGTTGCCTGCAGTGCTAACATTCAAGCAGAATCCAACCATGCTGACCACCAGGCCAGTCTACAGTTCAGCGACGCTTCCTCCGAGGCCCTGTGTGCCGACGAATCGCAACACAGTCAAGTCCAGTCTGTCAATCAAGACTATCAAGATTCAGAAGATGATAGCTGGGTTGCGTGCCTCGTTAACTGCCTGAATGAACCGGAGGTTCAAATGCTCAGAATCATCATCTTGGAGCGCGCAACACGTGAAATCATCAATCTACCTGACGAGTTCAACCGGGATTTCATCAGGGAGCAGGCAGCCCGGCATCGTGACTCGCTTCTGGCACGGCTACTGAATGGTCTGACACTGGCAGAATTCGAGGACATCATATTCGAATACAAGAAGGCATGGAATGGACATGGCAGACTCGGGGTATTGACACCACCAAGCTTGAAGAGGCGGACAAGGTGAACGATGAACAAATGACTGATCAGGAGATTGATGCAAGGCAAGAGGAGGAAGAGGCGCATCTTTCCCAGCTGTTCGGTTTGATGGACACCATCGAGGATAAGGAAGACCACACACATTTCGTCGCGAATGCTACTGGTCATCACAACGCAGGCGTACTCCAGGCCGTCTTTCATACGGACATTACCGACATCATTTCCAAGCTTCGCGCTACAGAACAAGCATGTGCCACCCTTCTACGACTGGCCGTGGCGAGGCACGTAGCAGGGCTGCCGCACAACCCGGGAAGGCAGAAGCTATTTGCTCCTTGGAGATCATGGCCAGCATGATACTTTGCATGCTTGAATTCCCTGGTGCGCATGTCGACGGAATTCAGGCGGAGTACGACGCGAACATGCGCACCCTGGCCAATCTCAAGTCGAAGGACATCTAGGCAGACGATTGATGAGGCTCCCAGCTGCGTCGAAGCGCATCCATGATTGGGTTCAGGATGCAGATGCGACTGAAACATACAAAGTACACAGACTGTTCGCGAGATTGGGATGAGAGGTCAGACGATAAAGATAGATGGAATTCATTAGATCAAGCTCTCAGAAGCTCTCAGAAGGTCATTGCGGACTGATATCCTCAGTTCATAGCCTCATTACCACCTCTCTTCTCCTTCGAATTTGGTGCTTTCTCAGTCCTTCAGAACTTCGCTTTCTCCCCTTCAACTACTTTGACCACGAACCCCAACCTTGGAAAATGCACCCTAACGTTCACCTCTCCCTCCTTCTCCGGCTCTATGACAACCTCTTCGACCCCAATCGCCACCAGCCTCCCTACCATCGGATTATCCCTCCCCGTATCATCCGGCACAACCGACACCATAGCCCCAGCCACAAGCCCGCGTTCTTTGTCCAGACTCCCATGCGGCCCCACAGCAGCAGGAACCAACATCCTCTCCTCCTCCCAAAGCTCCTTCTCCCTCAAATCCTCATTCCACGCCTCATCCCCCTCCCTCACCACGACCTCCAGATCCGGCAATCCGCCGATGTACTCCTCAAAAGCGTGGAACCACCGCCACAACCCTGGATACCTCTCCTCATTCCAAACTGGTTTCATGATATCAGTATCGGTGTCCGGTGTCCCGCTTCCTGTCAAGTTATATATCCCCTTCCCAGCCGCAATGTCAGCACCCCACTTAATCTGATAATAAAGACTGATATCCGCTAAACTCGGACCACACGTCGGGAACACCCACCCACACCCACTTCCACTCTTGCCGGAGAAAATAGGTTCAAGAAGGGAGAGGTGAAGATCGAACGTCCCAAGATTCTGCGGAACCTTGAGTTTGAGCTTCTCCGGGTCAAGGCGGTGCCCGATTAACTGCGTGCGATCGGTACCGAATGCAGACTCCCAGACTGTATGTGGGATGAGGCCGGTGGTGGTGCGGAAGAGAGGCTTGTCGGTCCAGAAGGATGCGAAACCCCGGGCTAGGGGGCGGTAGTCCCATGTCGAAGTTGGAGACGAAGGAGAAGACGAGAAAATAGAAACTGGGGGATAGATAGTCCCGTAGCCATAGGAAGAAGAGGATGAGGAAGAGGAGGAGGAGGATGAGGGGAAGTAGTGTTCTAGCGCCTCGATGATGAGGGATGTGTCGCAGTATATTTCTCGGCCGATGGCGAGAATGGGAATTTTGCGGTAGGACACGCCGAAGGTTTTTAGCAGTAAGGGGCGCGGCATCATCGAGGGAACGGCGACGTAGGAGAAGGGGAGTTTTTTTATTCGTAGAACTAGGCGGACTTTGTTGGTGAATGGGCTTGCTGGTGCATGTCAGTTCGGGCCATGTGATGGATTGGAACGGGGTGTCACAATCATAGCCGAAGAGCACCACTGGTGGTGGTTTGGAGTGCGTCGTCTCGATTCCATAGACCATCGTGTCTGCATGTACTGAGATGTAAGTGTCGTTGTATGATCGAATGTGTGGGGTGTCTGTGGGGTTATAAATCTGGGGTGCATCCATCGCCCCGCGCTTAGGACCAAGCCGGTGCAAGCCGAGGTCTATCACTGCAGCGCACTGAATAATCATTCAATGAATGCATGTATAACAGCAACTTCGGAACTGTGTAGTTCGTAAACGTTCGTTCGTACAAGTGCGCAGATAGGTGCGTCGCTCTACTTTTTTCCCTGCAATATCGTAAACTATACATTCAACATTAAGGTTGAGTGGGGCGGAAATGCCCCCCAAAAGAACCTCACTTGTGCTCTTCCTATTACCGCCCTCCGTTCATATTATTGTGATTGAACTGACTCGTCCCATGATCGGTTTGCGAGAAATCTGGCATTACGCCGTTCATGCTGATGCCGTCTTCGTAGCCATTGTATCCAGTCATGTCTGCCCAATCCCACTCGAGAGTCATGGGCATCTTCCAGAGATCCTGCGGCACATTGTTGAACGTCTGGTCAAACTGACCCATTGCCATCGCATTGAGGTTGTTATTGATGCCATTGACATCGGCGCCTGTGGTCATTGGAAGACTGCCTTGTTGCTGAAGCATCTGCGCGGTCATGGAGGGTGAACCATATTGGCGCATGGGCGCGTTGGCTTGTAGTGAGGCGTGAGTGAAGTTGGGTGAGAAGGGGAAAGGCTACGAGAGTCAGTGCGAGCTGTAAGATTGAAATGAGTCAACATACTTCATTGAAACCATGGAAGTCAGGGTTGAAGATCAAGCCTTCTTGTTGTGGAGGTTGCTGCTGCGGCGATGGCGCGACGTTAGGTGATGATTGCGAGTGTGAGTTACGGCGTGCCGATAGCAGCTCAGCCGCTGTAGCCTCAATCTGAGCGTCTTGCTCGCTGTCACCCTGCTTCCTCTTCCGACGAGAAGCATGCTCTCTGTCTGCCTTGTCGAGCACAATAGCTACAATGCGCTCGAATTCGGCACATACACTACACATGCGCTTGACACTCCCGCTGCCTTGTTCGTCGTTCAGCATGTTCAAGAAGTTGACAACGAGTTTCATGAGCTTGTGATCGGATCGTGACCGAGTGTCTTGTGGATTTTGCAGAATATTCGCGAACAACGTAACGAGTGCTGTGACCGGGAAGTAGATGACCAACCAGACACAAGACAAATCTCCCTTAGGGATGTACTTGAGCAGGTGAATCGATGCTCGTGCTGCCTGTACGCAAAGCTGCGCTGACATGAAAACACGAGGGTTAAGCGGACGAGCATTGAGGCCTTGGATTGCGAAATTCGAGAGTCGACTTGTCCAGTATCCGTGATGCACACTCATGCGGTGAATCGTGGTCAGACAGTTGTAGTAGCCGAGATGCAGTACTGCGACCTGGAGGATGAGCGGTGTGTGTGAAGCCTTGATATCATGTTCGGGTCGGAATTCAAGTGCAATGCCATCTTTCCAGTTTTCCAACTCTCTGTCGAGTTCGCCAATCGTGTTGAGAAGTTCACCATCTGTCTGTTTCGACGCTTTGACGGAGTAAAGCCCCTTGTAGACCTTGCTCTGGATGATAGAGAATGTGCACATGAGGCGGAACAAGTTCATTGTGCCATTGCCGTCCGCCAGTGGAATGTTGCCAATGTTGTCGGGTGGAAATTCGCTTGGTAGCTCAACATTCATGTCATCATCATCCTGGATAGGCGGTCGACCGGAACGCAAGCAAATGTCCTTGTCGAGCATATATGCAATCCAGAACACTCGCTTCCGTTGTTCGACCTCGGCATTGTTGAGATTGAAATTTGCTCCCTTCTTGTGCAGTCCAATACTATGTGCAAGTCGCATCGCTGTTGCCACGAAGAAGTATGTCGGTTGCGGGTTTGGTGTGCCGAGCAGGAACAGGCCGATACCCAGTAGAGCCTGTACGCTAAGCAGGTCAGTGTTCCGCATCGTCAGTTCAACCATGACGCTCATAGCGTTCTTGAGGTACTGCCACGCCTTCTCATCCTCCTCTGCCGGTACAAGATTGCTCATGACTCGCAGACGATGAGCAAAGGCCAATGCGACGTTCAAGCTAGCCCACCAACCAGATCCCTCATAAGGATCTTTCGAGTAGTGTTTGTCGACAAGGTGCATGAAGGTTGGTTCGTGGAACAGCGGGAACATGCAATTGAAGTTCTCGAAGTAGTCCTTCAACAGCGACAGGGCTTCGTGCTTTGGTGGCAGTTGCTTGTACACTCGTCGTTTGAAGATGTCCTGGAATACGTCTGGCCGCCACTGTATCCATTTATTGTCTTCTACAGCTGCTGTGGAGATCATGTGCTGGAAGGAGTTGTCGCCGGTCTTTTCGTTCACCCATTGGATGCCCTTGGGTGAGAAAATAGAGAAACCTGATGATGAACCTGACATGGTCAATAGGAATATGCGCAAACCGTTGGATGTGACGTACCAATATATCTGGTCTCGCCGTAGTTGTTAGTGACCAGAGAGCACATCATTTCAGCAAGCGCATCCTCTCCATCCTTGCCTTTCTCTTCTTCTTGTGTCTCCGCAGGTGATGCTGTACCACTCCTAGGGCTCGGAAGAGTCGGTTGCGCCGGTGTGCCATTACTTGTGGATGTGCCTGATTGAGGCACTGTTGACTGTTTCCTGTCCTCTGACATGCTCAGTCTGGGTGTCGCCGAGCGGCCTGCTCGGTCAGTCAAACGCTTTTCGATGGTCGCGAGGTCGGTGCTGCCGTCATCATCTTCTGGAAGTACGCCAGATAGGCGCATCAGCGACTCCATGCGGGCGAGGCGGTTCTCAAGGCCTTCGATGTACTTGGCGCTACACATGATCGATCAGTCAAGTGTTCACTCTATTTTGAAGCAATTGCGGACGCACCCTTTCGGCGGCTGGCGCTTCTTCTCGACCTGTGTGAAAATGCATTCCGTCTTGTAGTTCTGGCAGTGCGTGCATGAGGGCATCTTGCCGTCACACTTGATCTTCTTCTTCCGGCACATGTCGCAAGCCTATGTCCTGTCAGCAAAGTCACGCCACCCTCTCGATTGTATGTACCCTTGCTATCCTCCTCCTCTTTGGATCACCCTGGTCATTGTGGTCGTCCATGTCATCCTGGGCAAACATGTTCTGGGGAAGCTGCGATGGGTCGAACTGGCCGCTGCCAAAGATGCGCGGAGGCGGCGGGTTCATCATTGGCGGCGGCCCGCCGTAGAAGCCGTTCGGGGAGGTGTTCATGGCAGCGAGGGTATGTAGATTAGGTAGAGAGGGTAGGTGCAGGTCGCTCCTGCCGCGTGGGTGCGGGGGGTCGTGGTGTTTTGTGGGAAGATACGCAGTCGGGGAATGGCGAAGCTAAGTTCTAGGCCAGCTGAAACGGGGCCAGGCAGCTCATCAGCAGGGACTTGGGGATGTCGTCGCAGATCTGCAGGTGGTCGAATAGCGTCGGGCAGTGCGCGGGCGAGGCAGAAGCTTGTTTGGGGTCTTGCCGTGATGCGTGTGGTGAGGGTCAGGTCGGACCAAAGGCGGAGGTTTGAGAGCGTTCGAACTTCAATTTGCAAGCAATGCACGCGACTAGGGGCGATTGTGGCAACTATGTAGGCTAAAGGAGCGGCCTGAACTCTTATTCTCATCCAAAGCTAAGCTTCAGCACGTTGAAGAGGTCACTGATAATTGTCATCCGTTGTTCGCGCGAAGTGCAGCTGCAGCGTCCCAATGCGGCTTAGTGCGTATCGCTCTTGCCCGCTCCAGCCAGGCACAGTGGAGCCTCGGCCTCGATCGAAGGCATTCTACCTTCATCGAACAACTCTATCTCAACCTCATCGCCACATCAATTTGAATTTTTGTCTTCTTCGACATTTGCATAACTTGTGAGTACCTCCAATGGCGATATAATTCTCGTCTGGCATGATTGTGGAAGGATCGTTTCCGGCAGCTGAGCGAGAGTAGCTGCAAATGGAAATCGCCAACATTGTGTGACGTTCGTCGCATCTTCATCACTTGGCAACACCAGTTTTTGGTCCTGTACGCTAACTAACGTGCCATCATCAGTTCTGCATTTAGCGTCAAGCATCTTTGAAGATGGCGCCGCTAAGTGCTGAAGAGCTGCAGAAGCACCCAGAGTATGAGCATACCATCTGGAAGCTCAAGCCTGACCAGGAAGGGAAAGTCGCCGTGGCAAAGGACCGAGGCGGTCCAATCAACATCGCCTACGAAGTTCACGGTCATGGCGACCGCAAGATTGTGGTGAGTGTGCAATTTTGTCAATGTTTTCACTTTTGAGGCATCAAGTGTCGGATCCATATTGCGGCCTGACCTTCGAATTCGCTGCGGGAAGCGGCTTCCTGTCACGTTTCGTTTCGGTCGCATTGACCGTCTCAGCCTTCAACCTCACGTATCATCTTGTCAAGTCTACTTTCGCAACACATCATCATGGTTTTGTCCGCACAATTCCGTATCCGTCGTACTAGCCGTAATGAGGTTGCACCCTCACCTGCACTTTTCTCAATCTGTTGGCCATTCTCAAGATGAACCACTGACAAGGACTAGTGGATTATGGGCCTTGGCGGTATGAAGTACGCATGGCAACGTCAAACAAAAGACTTTGGCCATACCCAAGGAGACAAGTATTCATGTCTTGTGTATGACAACCGTGGTATTGGCGATTCAGATAAGCCCAGAGCAAGGTATTCGACATATGAGATGGCCAAAGATGTCATTGAAGTCATTGACCACCTGGGCTGGACCGACCAACGCCAGTTGCATGTGATCGGCATCAGCATGGGCGGCATGATCGCTCAAGAAGTAGTAAGTCTGACTCTCCACACCTGCATTGAGCTCTGTGCCGGACTTGCTTCATCAAACAGCATTTCTGCTCGAGATAACGTTGTTGTGAGGGTCTCGGAAGGTACAGCTTCCGTCCCAAAGACTACCTGAAACGGTGCGGCACAGGCATCAAACGTCGTCGACTTGATGATCAAGCACCACCCTGCGACTCGCCTGCGTACCTGATTTCCGCCCCGCTACGTCCCACCCCCGCGTACCTGCCACATTCTTAACCCTTCCCTGTTCATGTCACGAGAACGAACCGGAACATAATTGAAAGTATGCTAACAGCAACCTCAGGCAATGCTCATCCCAACCCGAATCTGCACCCTCTCCCTCGTCTCCACCGCCGCCGGCGTATTCCGCACAACTGGCTTCATCGAGAACCTCTACAACCGCGTCAACCTCCTCATCCCAAAGTCAATTGACTCACAGATCGAAGGCGTGAAGAAGAACCTCTACACGCCTGCATGGTTGGGCAGCCCCGATACCCTCGAACCTGTCGTTCAGTCCTTCCCGACGAACGGCGACCGCTTCGCCGCCAACGAACTTTGGAAACGCCAGCACCCTGAGTATTTCGCCAAGCCGGGTTTCATACTGCAACTTATTGCTGCGGGGTGGCATAATAAGTCCCCCGAGCAGTTGCAGCAGATTGCCAAAACGGTGGGTAAGAAGCGCATTATGGTTGTTCACGGAACAAAGGATCAGATGATCACGTTTCCACACGGCGTTGTGCTGTGGCGGGGGTTGGAGAAGGGGCAGGGGAAGACGGGAACGGAGAACTGGTTAGGCATTGAGGAAGAAGAGGATGTGTGGCAGGAAGGAGAGGTTGAGAAGCATTTTGTTAAGAGGCAGGGGCATGTGATGCCTGCTGAGATGAGGGAGGAGTTTCAGGGATGGGTTGAGGGGCTGATTGAGAGGGGGTTGAGGATGAATGAGAGTGAGGGGGTATGAGAGATGCATAGTGAACAGGGGAAGTACCAAATAACACAGTATAAATGCAAACATGCAAGGGCATGTTTGAAGGCGCAAATTAACAGGAGCCCGACAAAATGTATAGATCCTACCAACTATGAAGCGGGATTGAAGTCGCCTGTCATAAATCCACATGATTTGGATTATCAGCAGCCGGATCTACGCTTTTTGTACGTAGACTATTTTGAACCACACATGAAAGGGCCCCAATACCCTTTGTAATCGTTTCAAAGAGTACATTATCAGTCTGTTCATGCTAAACCTCACTGTACTGAGCTCACTGTACTGCGGCACCTAATCTAATGACGCCCGAGCGAACTCGGAAAGCGGGACTTGTGGCCTGCTTACTATGAATTGAAGAAAGGATACGGCCATGCCAGCGAGTGAATATGCTTTCGAAAGAATCAGGGAAATTGAGAAGGTAATGTAAGCATAGCCTGCTCATCTAGAGGTTCTGCATGCAACAGAGCTGGTTGCTGCTCAGTATCTCCAATCACGAAGCAATTCCGGGGGACATGGCTCGAGTTCCAAGGACCAAAACCCTTTTGCAAACGACAGACATTCGGCGCCACTCGGTGGAGGTTGTTATATCTCGAGGAAACTGCGGACATGTAAGTAGCCAGATTTGACTTCGACGTTCGAGCTCTTATGGCATCGGTGTATAGAGTGCTTGATGGTTAGATGTTTGGCTGGGGGCTAAAGTAGTGCGCACAAGACATGATGCTGTCATGTGCGTACTTTGAAGTAGGCATATCTCACAAATTGGAAAAGCTTTGGAGGGCCCAAAGTTCAGTCATCATTCAAGCTCGGCTCAGAATCATGCAATTTGATCTTGCCAAATTCGACTCGCGATTTGGGTACTTTTGGTATGAGCAAGATTCTCACCGCCTTTCGGTGTCATGGCAGAGAAGGCGCCGGAAGAACATGTTGAAAAGTCACGCTTGTTTTGGAGGCAAACATGATTCGATTTCGTAGAGATTTTGGCGGATACAAATCTGGGAAGGTGCTGGAAAGTAAAGGTGTGAGGGTCACTGACGAACCCAACATATGCAGGGGCAGGAGTTCGAACTGAAGTCCACATGATGGTGTGGTGTTGATTGTTTGAATGGATGTATAATCCTCTTCCGCATCTATTTGCAGTATACGAGCTGTATCCAAAGTTTTCAAATGTGGCATGCAACCAAGTATGGGTGGAAGAAAGTGAATGTGCAAGCTGCTGCTGCATCATAGGAAATGGAAAATGAATGCATCACCAATCAAGCCATGTCTTGTGTCTTCCAGGCTAAAGAAGTTTCCATCACGTCCGACGCAAGGTACCCAGGGGTGGAACATGTTGCGGTATCGGTTGGTCCATACAAGGTCTGAATGTACCCCTGACAGTCTATCCTAGTCTAGTGTGTGACCGGTCACTGGCCTGAGGTCAGGTATATAGTCGTTATCTCCCAGCTAGATAGCAATTCAGCACAGTATTCCACCGACCCGATAGTCCTACATTATTGTTTACTATAGCGATCAGTACACCACGGCGGCCACGCCGCCACAGAACATAAGAACACCGTCTGCAGATATCTTGTTTGCGACAAAGATGCGGATTGTTGGACTTCCTTACTCATCTGGAAGTCGACATATGTTCACCAATCTGTAGTTTTGAAAATGATAATTCAAGGTTTGCAGAAGGGCGAAGAGACCAAGCACATGAGCAGCTTCCCGGTACTTTTTTTTGGCATTTGTCAATTAAGGAAAAGGCATATGGTGACGTTTCTCAGGATCGAGATGCTCCTTGAACACTTTCGAACCAAGCTTAGTCGGCTCACTCGTGATGACAATTCCGCTATGCAGTTCGTCCCTGGTTTGAACCAACGTGAAAGATAGGGAAATCTAGAGCACAGACCAAAGCCATAGAACTCTTGAACCGAGGAATGATGAGTAGGTTGATGATAACCTCTGCCACATGAGAAAGCTTGAGAAACAATTTGGTGGGTAGACCTTGGGAGACATGTATGTAGGACCAGGCCTAAGGTTTTTGGTAAATTCGAAGCTTTCTGGTAAGGAGAAGGGAGAGCAAATCATAGCAATCACCGAGCATTTTTGGATCCCTTGTCAAAGCTCTCAGATAAAGAGACATCGTCTTTGACAGAACCTGGTCGCTGGTCATCAAGAACTCGAAGAATTTGCAAGAAGAGATCAAAGGAAGTATGGTTTTTCGAATTTGCAAGTCACTCCGCTCGCGAGAAGATATGGAGTAAGTAAGAGGTCCGTTCTGCGATTAGGCTCAGCGGTGGCTGTTTAGAGTCGCAGCAAGTGAATGTTCACGTACAATTGAAATGGCGAGAAGAGTCATCAAGTTCTTTGCAAATATTTTGTGCAGGGCAGATTACATTGAAGCCATTGACAAGAACACTGAAAAGAGAAATGTAAGCATATTGTAGGGGAAAATGTGTGATGGTATTAGCGAGAGAAAGGAAACCACAAGCCCAGTTCACAATTGCATAGCTGAGGAACGAAGTGACGAAGCAAGCAATGTATCCGCATGATACGGCGGAGGAGCGGTAAAGTTTATTGGTCGAATGCGACACACACCAAGGGAACACAAATTGCGTTGGCTGGTGCCAAGATGTCGCTGATCGTATGGGCTGGTGAAGGAAGGAGAAGGGACAGCCACGCAGCCACGAAGGCAACAGCCACGAAGGAGACAAGAACCATGAAGGAGGTAACAACAATCTTAGAAAGGGGACGAAGTGCAGCAACAATGAGAAGAACGCAGCCCTCCATACAACATCAGATCCGTAAAACAAACAGAGGCTGTCTTCTTCTCCTTCTTGCTGCGCGAGGAGCCGTTAGACTCTTGCTTGGACATTACAAAGTTAGGATATATGTGAGCTTGCACGAAGTACCTCAGCTACGCACGTCTTTGGTCGTTCACGCCCAAGGCTCGTTATATCGAGAGCATGTGCAGCAAACGGACCCAGTAGCGCACCTCAATACAGCTGTTTTAAGGCAGACGAATATGAGATGACGTAGGTTTTTTTTATTGGTCTTTGTTAGTAGGCCTTGAAGGAACAAAATGTTGTTCCTGTGGATTGTTTTTGTTGCACACGACTGATTGCATTCGGGCAAGCAATTCGAGCGAGGCAAGGATGAAGCATGTTCGATCGGTGTTTTCAGTGAAGCTTGGAATATAAGAAAGTGACAGGCAAAGAGACATGAGCGGTGTTGTCGAATATTTTGGTATGGGAGCTGGTGGATGGATGCGTTGTGAAATTAGAACATTGGAGCGGAGGATGACGCATACGAGCTTACAGTATCGACAAGACTCATACGAACACCGCCATTCAGCCTTTTAAGATTTTCAAACATGCAAAAAGCGGTGTTTGGCTTTCGAAAGCAGCAGCCAATCGCAGACATTCGCGCTTATCCTTGCGGCTTTGCGATATTCAATTTCACTCCGCCTAGAAGCAGATGTCACGATCACTGTCAGAATTCTGGTCCCGGCACATGGTATTGGGAAAGTAGTCTCTTCGGGGAAAATATCGAATGAGATTCCTCCTGCAGCAGGCGATGAGAATATGTGAATATATGGTTCGCGTCGTCTGAACGGACGTGTGGACATAGCAAGCCACTTTTTGAGGTGTAAAAAGCTGTGATGAGAGAGGGTTTGCTCATACAAGAGATATTGACACGGACACGTTGCTTTATTGATGAGAGTCGTTACGTGCGTGAAACTCGATAACTCTCTGGACATTGAGGTGCGTCTCGACGACTGGCGAACAACATGGAACTTTCATATCATGATTTCTGCAGGGCACAAATTGTCTTTGACATTTCGGAGAATGAAGATGAGGATGCGAGTAAGAATGTGAAGACTGGTGGGTAGAAGATTTATACTCGTGAGTCTGATGCTGTCTCGTATCCCAAGCACAGACTACGCATGGCTTTAAGTTACGGAGGTTGTTTTGCTAGGCTACAACCCATCAGGCTACTCCCTCCCAACGTATCACCAACAATCTCGTCACGCTCGACCCCCTACGTGCTTCTGTCATTGCTGCCAGTGTCTGAAATTACTCAAACAACAGTGCTGCTCGGCGCAGCCGTGCTCGTCGGCCTCGGACCACCCGGGAACCCACCACTCGGAGGCGGCCCACCAGGCCCACCGCCACCACCCGGGTTCGCCACACCACCGCCCTCCCCAAAGTTAACCGCAGCCCTAGGCGTCGTGACAGCAGTAGGATTAATACCGACAGTAATCCAAGCGAACAGACCCTCCTCAACACTGTCACCCAGGTAGACGTAGTTAAGGACGGGGTCAGAGGTAGCGGCTTCCTGGGCGAAGATGCCATCGTCGGCGTTGAGCGTAAGTTTTTGCGCGTTGGTGATGTAGGGCTCGACGGTATCGACGTCGGTGATGAGTTTTTGGTCGAAGAAGAGTTGGCCGACGTGGGAGACGTGGCCGCCGGTGAGAGTCTGGTTTTGCTCATTGATGGTGGAGTTGACGTGGGCAAGGACTGTTTGAGCATCAGTACGTCATAAATTATAGAAATGTACATGAAACCGTACCGTGAATATGCGTGGTGCGTCCAGAGTAGTGACCAGGGAAGGTAGTGTCGAATTGCAAAATACCGTTCTCGTTGCTAAACTGGATACCGCGGAACATGGTGTTGTTGATATTGCTCGCATCAGCAGTGTTGCCGTTACCGCCAGCAACTACGCCGCCGTACACGCCGGTGCTGTTGCAGTGCCAGGCCTCGAGGGCAACCTGTGAGATTGGCTCGCAGGTCCTGGTGTCAATGACCTGGACATCAAAAGTGAAGGGTACACCGGGGTTGCCATCAGTGATGTCCTGGCGGACGTATTCACCAGAAACCCCTAGATGATGAGTCAGTCGCTTATTAGCGGAAGTTGAGCGAGCGCAGACTTACAGTAGGGGCCCTCAGTGGCCTCAGCTTGTAGAATGCACGAAGCGTTACCGGCGAAAACGACATCGTCTGGGCTATCAGGTGTGACAGAGGCGTTCGAGTGGTGATCAGTGTTAAGGACCTCCTCGAAGTCGCGCTTGACGATGCCACGCTTGGTGCGCAGGTGCTGAACCATGGCTTTGCGGTAGCTGATCAAAGCCGCCTGACGAGACTTGAGAGTCTCAGCGCAGTGCGAGAGACCGATGTACGAGTCGCTCGCAAGGTATGCGGCGCGTTCAGCGATCTCCTCCGCGATGTCATGGCCAGGGTGAGCCACCGCAGGTGCGGAGAAAAAGAGAGATGCCGCAAGGGTGACGAAAGAAGGTGGGAAGTAGACCATCTTGATGTGTGCCTGTAAGCTTTTAGTCGATGATGGTGAGCCTCAGTTGCGAGCAGACAGGCGGTTTATATGCTTCTTCTCCCCGAGATATCTTCGCAATCGCCCAGCCAGCAAGTCGTCAGGTCCAAGTTTACCGTTTCGCCACGTCCAGGGGCGACAAGTGACATTCCGCTTGCGTGCTTCCAACGATAGAGGACTCTCGTAAGGATTCTCGGATTGCAGGTTGTAAAAGGCAGGATGTAACAAACTTCGCCATTTCGATTGGTCGCTCCACAACTTAGCCGTTCGCTACCCCTCAACAACGCCTACTTTCCGTGCAAAATTCATCTCAATCCCTTCCACTTTGCCATGGGAAATGCCATATTGAAACGGGTACTAGTCCTGTAGTGGTGAGATCAAAGGTGCCAGCGGTGCGGTCCGAAACAAGTTCCCGTGCCTGACTTCCGAGGCGGCAATGCGCGACACTGTCTGTGATGTTGTTTCTGCAACCTTGCATTATCACAGGTGGTCGAGGTACTGGAGTGAATTGCCAAGAGTACATGGTATTGTCTTGGCCAATCTCCTCCGTGGTGCTGATTGGCTGACGGATGTCGTGGACCTTCCGAACAGGCAAGAGGCCTCCGCCGCATCGCAGAGAGTCGTCGTAAGCCTTTTAGGCAAGCTGTCATTGGCAAACGCTTCTGCAGCTTTCTTGTTACCGATAAAGAGGGCGTGTCGCTAGCTCGATGTTTAAGCAGCCGTGTTTAAAGCTTGGCAAAATGCTTCAAGCTGTTGTGATCCTCCAGCAGTTAATGTTTGTTGCGTGACATACTGCAAGGACCGGTCGACGGATGATGGACTTTGGCTTGTAACGTGGTAGAATGTGGAGTGTAGCGGCTGAATGTTTTGCTAGTTTCGCTGGTGTGCATCGCACCTGGGCTCTCGATTAACTGTACATATCCTTGCTAAAGGAGTCCGGAAACGAATTTCCTTCCGCAATCTGATGTACGGTGCCTTTGACTGACCGCAGCGACCTGAGTAGGCATTCCATATGATACGACCGTTCATGGCCCTGGCGGCTCGAGAAGTCAGCGCAGTACGAAACAGTGAAAGCGTTGAACCTTGGTCACTCACCTGGAGGTGTTCATGTGCTACAAGGTCTGTACCCCAACAGAATTGCGAGCGTCGTCAGCTCCAGCCTGACCTGCCATCTGTGGTGCTTGGCAGGATGTCTGCACCATGCAGTCTGCCGGCGATTGAAGCCTTCTCGGAGATGGTATGTCGATGGATCCCTTCAAAGAGAGTGGGATGCGTGTGTGCTCGTCGACAGTGGCCGGGACGAAGGGCTGTGTAGTATGGTGACAAAGGAAAGTGTGGATATATGCAGTGTGGAACAATTGTTGCTGGTATACGGGTATCATATTTCTGGCTTCTTGTGAGCTTATATCGAAGGCTATCTAAGATGAGCTTACGTTAAGCTGACGAAGCTACAGGCGCGTTATCTCTGAAGCTTACCCCAACTGCCGCCTCTACGCTCCACACTCTGCGCCATCTTTCACTCACTACGATCCCTTCATCCCGAGCTTTCGCTTTGCGGATCAGGTGGCGTACCCAACTCATTCACAAACCGCCCGCTCCTTTCGACCTCTTTGACCCACTGACCCCACGGCTTATACACAATCCACGCATTCATGTTCGCCGTATCTTTCCTCTCCTGAGCACTCAGATACTTCACACCACTCCCACCCACTGCGTTGTTCAGCAGGAGTGCATTAGTCTGCACTCGTGCATTGCTTGCTGCGTAGTAGGCGTAGTCAGTGACTTGCTCGACGCTAGTCCCAACCGTGACAAAGCCGTGGCCGCGCTGGAGGACGGTTTTGTGGAGGGGTGAGGTAGGCTGTGTAGTATTGATTCCGAAGGTTGCGGCGAGTGCGTCGCCTAGTTTCGGCGTATTTACGAGCATGTCGTGTGGGTCATCTGCGGTGTAGGCTGCCTCGATGTCCCAGTTGGGGACCTGTTGACCTGCAGCCTGTCAATCGCTGAAGAGCACGGGAGAAATCACCAGGAGCAGCGAACCGAGGAAGCCGGCCATGTGGTACACAGGCTCCGGACTGATGCTGTTGAGGACCGTATATGGAAGAACGTCTTCAGAGTGGGAGTGCACAACGGCGTTGATGTCGGGGTAGGCTTTCAGAATCGCTGAATGGATGTAGCGCTCCGCATAGCCGCCTACGGTACCGTTCACAGGTGAGCCGTCTGCGATCAGGTACTCGCCAATGTCTGACGGCCCCGAGACAACTGCTGGACCTGTACTGTAATCAGCGAGTGAGTCAGGCTGTTGCGTGATTGTTACAAGACCGCACCCAGTTGCAAGGCAATGAAGAATGTCGTGTTTGTGTTCGGGTTGCGCACACTGATGTGACCGAAGGAGTCGAGTACATTGTGATAGCTCAGGATATGGTTCGCAGTGATCAGGGTGGACATCAGTCCTGTAATGTTCACCATGTTGCGCTAAGGCTTGCCTTCCCGTCTTTCTGGTTGCGCGAGTAGCAACAGAGTCGTCTGGGGGCTGCCTGCATTTTATAGTCGCATGCACGTCGTCGTCGTCGCCCTGATGTCATGCTGTGCCTCGCGAGTTACTCCTCCACATCTGCAGACTATGGCTAGTGTCGATGTTAGCATGACGATCTCGGATCTCAGCAAGCGGCCAAGCTCGGCCCCTCGCGCCGGTTGCACATGATGCCGTCCTGAGGCTGAGCGCTCTCCGAGACGTCGTCGTCCAAAATTCAAAACAAATAAGAAAAGGCGTAGAGTGGACGTGCAGAATTCGCAGATTCGATAAAATGGGACGATGGATGCTTTTGTCGTGGTATCGAAATCGTGACCGTAATCTACCGCAAAGCCGTTGACGCCAAACTCCGTAAGATGCTGTCGTTCGATCGATTTAGTCTCTCTCCAGACCAAACTACGCATCGACATCCATAGCCTCGGTGCCGCCACCGACCTTCCTTGCCAACTTCCTCTTGCTCTTCTGCTTGGGCAGTGTCTCCTCGAGATCGCTGTCCAGCTCGCTCTCGTCCATCTCGATCTCCTTCCGCCTCTTGTCAACCTTGGCCTTGACCGCTGCGACGTCGACCTCCTCCTCCTTCTCCTCCAGCTGCTGGGCGGCGAAGCGCTCGCTCGGTGGCAGCAGGTGCTGGTTCTCCTCGACCAGCTTGCGGTCCTCCTCGCGCTGGCGCTGCTTGTTGCCACGCATGCGGGCCTTGTAGAATGCACGCTCGCGGCGGGCGCGGATCTCCGTGACACGCGACATGGCCTTGAGCGTCGTCTGGACGAGGTCGCGGTTGTAGCGCACGGGGATGTTGCGGCGCTGGGCGAAGGCGAGGGTGCTGTCGACCGTCATCTCCTTGCCGTGCGCGCGACGGAAAGACTTTGTCCAGGCGAGCTTGCGCGGGTTCCGCTTCATCTTGAAGTTCTTGTGGCATTTTGACTTGCAGAACCGGAAGGCCTTTGCATCGTTGCGCACTGATTGGTTAGTCTCTATCTTCTCTGCCACGCCGAGGGTGAAAGGCTTACCAAAAGTGATACCCTTGGACGGGTACACGGGCGACGAACAGAAGTAACACGTCTCGATTCTCATGGTGCCGGTGGATGTCCCTTGTCGGCGGTTCCTGGAGTGGAGGGTTGGTAAAATGCGGGCGCCACGAACAAATTCTAGCGGACCCTCGATGGCCAAGAGTTCGGCCCCACACGGCTGGCCAATGGGGAAACGCCGACCGCCGCGACTTCCTCAATTCTTTGCCTGTTGCCGTTGACTTGCGCGTCTATCGCCATCATTCACAGCATCCATCACCGTATCTTCACAGCATCCATCACCGTATCCGCCTATACGTCGTCGCATTCTCCAATCCCTGATACTCGAATCAGTATCCGCATACATACGTCAACATGTCTATCTGGCTATGGGGCCTCGGTCTGGGCGCAGGTGCCTTCTTCGCACGTCTTTCCACCACCGTCCACCATTCATAACTAACGTGCTTAGGGCCGCGCTGCGCTCGTCGCGATACGCAAGAACGGTGTCGGCGGTTCCAAGCTGGGGCGAAGCTTTTACAAGGGCGGCTTTGAGCCAAAGATGACACGGCGAGAAGCTGCGCTGATCCTCGAGATGCCGTACGTTTGGCATAGCATTGACAGACGAAAAAGGGAATGGCATGCTGACGTCTGATAGTGAGCGCGGCATCACAAAAGAACTCCTCCGCAAGAAGCACCGATCGCTCATGCTGCTCAACCACCCCGACCGCGGCGGTTCCCCGTACCTGGCCACCAAGGTCAATGAGGCAAAGGAGATGCTCGAGAAGGAGGTCAAATAAGCAGACGACCGTCAGCGCAGAGCTGGATATCAACAAGAGCAGGGCGGAGATGTATAAAGATGTGTACTATATGACGGCCCGATTACATTGCATGAGCATGGCGTTTGTTGGGATTGTATAAGACGTTCGAGAGACAGGGGCAGATGAGCGCCCGACGAGGTACTGACGGTCAGTGTCCTGGCTGCGCTGTTATGATAAGATCACGGTAATACCCACTACTCTTTCTACGCACACGGCACACGACACGTGGGCCCTTTCTATGAATGTCCTATAAGAATCTCCGTGGCTGCAATCCTCCCCGACTGCCCACCTTCCCCTGCACGAGCACGCTTTAAAATTACCAACGCAATCCTTCATCTCTTGCGCTTGCCTCTGGTGCTCGAACGGTGCGCATTGGGAATGTTCTCTGCAGCACTCGTGATTACCAAAACTCTCAAACGGCCAGCAACAAAGAGCGATGTTCTCCGCTCCCTTCTCCCAGCACAACCGTCGAAACCTCCGACCCGCAATGGCATGTGCCTTCTGGTTGCCGGTTGCTCCGTGCTCATGCATTACAGGGCTGCAACATATAAGTGTCCTGTTCATGGCTACTCTCCAACTATGTTACTCCAGAAGTTTGCGATAATTCCAAAGGTCGGTCGTGCTGACCCATGTCTCTGTCCGTTGCAGACCTCGAATTTCGCAGATACACGCTCAAATCTGCAGACAAAAACCCTAGAGTTCTTCCTTCTATGCCCAAGCGTGAGAAGCTCCAAACACGACTCCTTTTCCCCATGTTCTGCTTTTTGCGGAGATGTGCTCCACGAATATCCACTACCAATAGCTATGTGTTCCTCGTGCGGCGGTGGCTAAAGAACACCTACTCCTCGCTGAGTGTTGGTTGGATATTCCATCTTGGTTCGAAGAGACAACTGGCTCTTGAAAGTTTGTCACCGCTCACTACACTTGAGGTCCATCTACATCTGTCCAAATCAAAACGAGACTGCGACTCCTCCATGAGCACCTTAACACTCTCGTTCGACGTTTGAAAAGCCTCTGCTCTGAACGTCTGTCTGAACCAAAAGAGCGAACTCCACCTACGTGATGTTCGCCAAACTCGTAACGGGGGACCACAAACTCTCTTCGAAAATTGCGCTACATCCTACCTATGGAAGATGTGTTTGCATCTGAACTCCATCCCACGCTTGTGCGTGTTGCTCCAGCTATATGTTCTCTCCTCTGCGAGTACTCGACACTATCAATCACTATTGCACTGAAACGTCCTACTTAACTTGATGAGGCCCCAAACTATGTCTCCGGCTCGAAGGGTTTTCTAGAAGGAGTTCTTCTCATACAGGTTCCGGCCGCTCTTGCGCAACGGCTCGCTCGGAAACATGCACCGCATTAAAACATGAAATCAGACAACCTTGTCACTTCGATCCACTCGAGTGAGTACCGCCTTTTGAGCAACCAGGTCGAAAACTCTCGGACTGTTCTTCATTGGCCGAGAGATTCAAGCCCTGGATTTCCCAACCCCATGTCTTGTTCTCACTTCTCAACTCCAAACAATAACGGTGAAGGCTCACGTCTTGCTCTGCTGATGAACCATGCAGTTTCTATTCATTGCAGGCATACATCGCTCCTCTTCAACTCTCTCAAGTTCTACATGAATCAAATAGAAAGCCAGTCTCCAAGACCATTTCAAGAATGGCCCATGTACTCGAGTGGGCGGGCTTTCAGCTGAGGAAAGTGACGGCAACAGCCTTCCGCAATATGGGGACACATTCAGCTACAATAATCTGAGGTTGTGGTTCTTGTTCCAGGCACATAACGATACATCTACGGTCTCTTGGGTGCGGTTCCTGTGACCTGCAACTGTCATACATCTCAATAAAAGTTGTGGCGGCGTGGGCCGCTTGTTGAATACGAAGCTGTTAGACGTTGATGGCATCCAGCTATGTCTAGAAACAACGATCTGATGCTGGGTTCTCGTAACGACTTCGCATTCCGGGTTCCAGATGGTGGCCGAGCTTACCCAAAGTAGTGAAAGAATTTTTCCATATCTGCGAGTCCGCATATCTCCAAAATGAGTGATGAGAACGGCATGATCTGCTGCGAGAAGGAGTCAATCGTAAGATTGTATCATCTGTCCACCTCGATCTCTGCTTTTTGACGACCGGGCAAACCGCAACTTCCGGTGTCCGTTTGCCCACCTTGGTGTCTACACTACGACCTCCCAACGCAAAGAGAAAGTCTTCAAAAATCCGCTAGAGGTAGGACCATGGGCAGGAAAGCGTTGTCTGCTGGTTCATGGAATCCGACACTCTCTCGAAATAAGCATCATCGCCGCCTCGTTGACCCTCTGTTCCCTACGCTCTTGATTCTCTACCAAATTCATAAACCATGGAGCCGGCAAAACACGCGTCTCGCATTCTTACGGTCTTGATTCGAAAAAATGGACATGGCCTCCTCATGCGTTCGAAGGACCATGATCTGTGTCTCATGTGCTTTTACCTGAGGGATAAGCTATCGACGATCAAACTCTTTACAGGGTACCAAAAGCAGCGCGAGACTACCTCATGTGGGACGGACTACGTGTAATACACATTTCAAACGAGATCTTACACGAGATGAATTCACCTCCTCATGCGAGAGCTCATATGCATACACCAAACCCCTTATGCAATCAACATATGACTTTTCTTGGTTCGCGTCTATCTTCTGCCTTCGAAAAGTCTACAAGTGGGTGGCGCATGTTGCAGTCTGGAGGTATTCACCGGTGCCCATGGTTTTGCAAGCATGTGCCTTTCGTACATGAAGCCAGAAGAGTTTGCGGTTGTATAACGAAAAGATATTGCGAGGATGTTTCAGGCAGGCTGGCCACACACTGCACTTCTTGAACACTTACAAAAGGCCCTGTAACACGAATCGATGTACGACTTACTGTTGGCGTATGGTTGGAGGCCGATGTCGTCGTGGGTGTTCGTTATCGTTGGACCCGATCTTTCGAAAATTTGCAGGGAGGCTTGTCAAGCTGACGAGAGGGTCGTAGGAATGCAGAATTCGTGGAAAGCAAAATGACAGCTGTAAAAAAAAGGCATGAGAAATGTGCTGGAGATAATCGCGGAAACGTGCCAACGATGCGTCTACAGTAACGAAATCGAGAATTTTTGTTCAAGTGCTCTCGAGATAGACGATGGAAAAGAAGCTCTCGACTTCGCATGACACCGTGCTGAGAAATGGAGCCGCTTCAATTTGCGCGATCGTCTCTTGTCGGACGGGAGGGTTGTTCAGGGACCGCAGCCTTTGGTTCACTCGTCAGACGCAATTGATGGAGGGCAACATCTTGTTCAATGTCCAGGTTCGAGGTCATTGTGTCGAAGGAAATCGACTGGAAGTCGTGTTTGGATAGGTTCGTTGTACACGGGAAAGCTGAGTGGCAGGAGAATTAATCGATAATCGCGAAGTGTTGGTGGGACGACAAGTTCTCAGCCGCCTCTCAATAAGTATTGGTTGCTGTTCCGATTGGCACGGCACAACAGGCTGCGGCTGTAGAAGCCGTGTCAACAAGATGTTGTTTAACAACACCATCAGCACGACCAAGTTCACTCCTAGATACGAACATCTCCCTTGAAGAGTTATGACGTGAGCTCAGCGTCAGCACAGTCTGATAACAAGTACGCCGTCGTGCAATAATCTATCGACTGCAGTCATCTCCGCAATCGCCTGTCATGGGGTGAGGTGCCACAATTGAGTTTCGCAAGGCTGCGCAGGATCGAGGCGATCGGAATGTTTGCCTCTGCCGCGCTCCCTTTCTGGCGGCGTTCGTTTCGGTCCCGATCGCCTGGGTCGGGGAGTATGGGAGGTGGAGACAGGAATGGAAGTTCTAGCGAGCTGTAGCTGTTCCCATTAGCTTATTCGATGGGAAAATGTTGCTGTCGTATCATGTCTGCTGTTGAATTCGAACATGCACGAATCAATACGTGCTGATGGTCTGTTAAGAATCAGCTCCATGGGTTGCGGTTTCTATTTCGGTGTCAGGAAATAAAATCTAGGCTTGCAGTGACGTTACGTGAGGCGATCGTTGGCGCGTACTGATGGCGCGGCGGAGGAAACCTTGACGTGCCGTTGGTGTATCGATAGCACCTATCAGATGCTGAATGAACGCATTTGGGCAGCGCCACTGGAGCTTGTGGGACAAGCAGCCGCAAGGCACGTTTTTGGAAGAGAGGTAGCGTCTTGAGAACTGCATGGCGTCTGCCCTGTGAAACCAATTCCTCTTTTGAGAAGCTTACGAACGCTTCAGCTCGTTTGGGCTGAACCTTGTGCCTGTTGTGACGTTAAGTGGTTGGCGTCTTGGGGACGGGTAGCTGCAGGAACGACGCGTGGATGTGTCTCCCCACAAGCTAAGAACTGGCGTTCGTTCGCCGGCTGTGTGCAGAAGAAGAGCATGACATGCTTCATCTCATTGTTTTTGAGGGTGCACAACAGCATCAGGGCTGCGGCAAGATGCGAAAACGGAGCCCGTAACCAGGATGAAACGACTGCAACGGTGCGACAAACGACGGATTCGTGACAATCGCCCGGATCGTGAGTACTTGGAAAGATTGTACTTGAAGGTTTACGTTTGCTGTATAAAGCAAAGCTTCACAGCGATAATGTAAGCTCTGAGTGATGCTCCGGCGTTGAAGGATCTGCTCGTTGCTCATGCTGTTCCCATGATCGCCAGGAACGAAACCAAGCTTGCGTGCAAGTGAAGTCATCCCTGCTGATCGCATTTAAGCTGATACAACGATTAGCTCGCACAGATGTTTAAGAGAATGATCGCTTGTCGATAGCTCGCATGAGGCAGGAGCATTGAAAAATCACGAATTTGAGCTTGTTCGAGGATGATTGCGATGAGTGAGTAGGACCGCCGTACAACGTTGCGGCTGCAACATACCGTCCTCTTGCATACGACTCCACCAGGTAATGCCTGTATGTCGTACCGGCTGTGCAGTGTATCAAATTGGTGGTTGCATCCTGACAAACGGTCCGATCGTGTTGGTGAAAGTGCTCTTGTCCATCAGCTTGGGCTTCGCAGTATCCGTGTAGCAGGGCCGCAGTGTATGCTTTGCTCAGCTGCAGGTTAGTTATAGAATATCAGCGAACTGGCTTCCACGGTGCTTTTCTAGTCGCCAGGTGGAAGCCCATAGCGCAGAAGAGACTCCACGTGTCAGCAGGGTTGCCTGTGCAAGTTATGTCTTCTTCAAGAAGCACCCCCTGCTTCGCTTCCATCGGAGTGGACAGCCGCTGTAGATTGCAGTAGCGCGCCGAGGGAAAGACAGCGAAACCGTTTGCCAGCATCCACTCTCCCGACTCCCCGCAAGCCAAAGTTCACGATCGCAATTTCGTAAAAGTTTTCTGTGGAGAAATTCGTCAAGTTGTCAGACTGGGCCCCGTGCAGGAACAATGGTGGCAGAAAGACCACGATGGTGCTGGGAAAAAGCAAAATCTCCGATGATGTGTGCAACAAGCCGAGCACTGTACAGCCTGTAGGAAGACTTGCCTGCGACGAGACGCGTCAGAGCGCAATGTCCTTCACTTTGGTAAGCGACTGTGTGCCCGTCTTGCTCCCTAACAATGAGCAAACGGAATCTTCGTCATGACAAACGACGCTGGAGTCAGTCATCGAAGGAGGCTTGCAGAATCGCGAGTCGACTGAAAGCTTCTGCATCTACCTGACGCGGTGATGATGAGAGATTTGCAAATGACAATGATGTGTCTCAGCCTGAATCTTGTAGTACACCCCTGTTGATATCTAGTCGACAAGGGATAAAGCCAACGACCAGGCTGCGTTGCCGACCAATCAGCGCCGAAAGGTCCAGACGAATTATATCATTGGCGGCGGAACATGAGCCGGCTCGTAAATTGAGGTTGGCTGTTCGGAGGATAAGCTCAACAAGGAACTGAGATGTCGTCGTCCTCCGTGTCAAAAGCAAAGCCTGCAAATACGGCTGGCAGACATGACGAAGGAAAGACACTATGGGGGACGACGCAGCGACATGTAGAATTTTGACACCGCACAGGCGGTTGTGCGTGAAACCGGTAATCTGCAGGCACCCTGGCAGGTGCAGCACAATCGCAGCAGCAAACGAGCCCCCGTGGAAGGTTGCATGGCATGAGCGGAAGGCTTGCAGCGATCTGATCGCTGCGCGACTGCGACAGGTCTGAGGGAGCCCGGCGGCCAAATTCTGCGCAAGTAGAAGTGACGGAACAGGAACTCTCGGCGACGCATCTCAGACATTGTATTTGATCAGGTGAAACCGTATCGCCGCCTGGTAAGGGAAGGGCTGCAAGTGACATCTGCGACGCTGTGACAGGCCAGTTTCTAGCAGTCTTCCAGAAGCAAATATCCAAGCGAGAGCGTAGTGGCTACCGAGGCTCCACTCACCGAGCGGGCCAACGCCCTCATTCCGGCAGTCGGCGCTGTTTCTCGCAGTGGAATTGCACGGGTGTTGCCTGGATGGTGTGTTTGCTGTCCGCTGTGCTTGTGAGGTGGCCGCTATGCTTTGACCGGACGGACGACAGGACGCGAGAGGAAGGCGCGACCGGTTGCAAGAGCTCTTCCACGTGGAAAGCACCCGCCAGAATGAGGTCGCCATGGAGGTGCGGATGCAATGCGTTCCTGTCTACCTGCCTGCCAGTTTGATGTTCCACTGTGGATACACGTCTATGTAATGTGCGTACCCAGCAACCTGGGCAAGGGACGCATTGGTTGGATCCTGGGCGGCGACGATGAGGGTCGATTCAATGGACGCAGTGCGAGGCGCTGTGGGCCCATCGGGGAAGAAGTCCCGCGCCTCACAACCTTCTGGCACTGTTCTGGCGCGGGACCAACACAGGCGGCACGGCGAGCAGACCGCGCAGACGACTCAGAGCGAGTCGTGTCGACGGGAAGAGGTGGCTCTGGAAGGTTGGGCGTGCTGTCTGAGCGCAGGGGAAGGGTCTCGTATGGCAAGTTCAACGGCAGGCAGACGTTGGGTTCTCGCAGAGTCACGGTGCAGTAATCCGATCACGACGGTATTAGGGCGAACGCTGCTGTGAACATTATGGCCGCTGTGAATAAAGTTGTAAACTCTACCCAGCGCGACGCCTCGTACGGCCATCGCCCATCACACCCCAGCGACGGCCGTTGGTTCGACCCCTGCTGGGCCTGCAGGTACGAGTCTAGCGCCGCAGGGGATAGCCACTATCGTGGATTCAGCTGCGCAGATCATCCTGGCTCCCTGTCATGGCCGCACACTATTTCTGCCAGATGCAGGCCCGAGTTGTCGACAGGGAACTAGTTGAAACAGCCCCGAAAGACCCGTCTTGCTCCCGGCACGTCATGTAGCCTGCGCTTTGAACCTGAGTGCACTGTCGCTCATTTCAATTGTCTCGTCGGCAGCCAAGGCCATTTTGGCAAGTCAGTACAGGCCCCTTATTCTAGTCGAAATATATCTAAGGCACGGCGCGCCCTCCGCCGGAATTTGTCTCTTTCACTATCACTCACTCCCTTCGAGCTCTCCATCCATTCCTTCCCTGTCTCTGAGACCAGCGCGCTGCCCGGCCGTAGTCCACTGGAACACAACGCTATTTAATCCATCGCCCTACGCCTCTGTACCGCTCTCACCTGGAAGCTCGCCGACCACCACATTCGTTCAATCCAACTTTCCTATCAAGCAACATTGCACCAACTCAGCTCAGCTGCAGCTTACGTTTCGTTTTTGGTCTATTTGTAAGTCGGCCCGTGACATTGGCGTTGCCATATTTGACATCAGCGTGAAACAACGTGCTGACATATAAGGTAGCCGACACATCCACCAACAACGCAATGATTTCCAGAGAGAACGAATCCAACAACATGGGCCGTGGCGCATACGACACAACAGGCACTCCCAAGCCCCCGCCACCACCGAAATAAGGACCTCAACGGTCTTTACCCAACGGATCAATGTTTTTGACTCTCGCTCATCTTCGCAACTATCTCATCGCAATTTCTGGTGGAGCGAGGCGAACAGATGGTGTTCCGTTGGGAACAGAGGGATGACATACTGCGCCTCGTAAGTGACAGAACACTCGCTGCCTTGATGAGACTATGACTAACCAATATACAGCTGCAGCCCTACCTCATTTCCCCACAACAACCACTATCATTGGCGCAACCCGTTCACGTTTTCTGGCGACAACGTTTTCCACCCGCCCTCCTTCGGGATTACGCCTTTTAATATTCGCGACCGCTTCCCTTCGTCAGCAGCATAATACCCCTGCGTTTACCAGTCCCCGCCCTCGGTTAGCGACGACCCTTTGACAGGTCTTGGTTTCCCTTGCGTCCTCCCTACGTTTAGCGACAGCATTTTCTTACGGCAAAAGTTCTTTCATCGGCGTTCACTATAGATCAGGTTGGGCCCCCCAGGCATAGATACCAAAACGGGATTTTCTTTCTTCTCTCTTTGGGACACATGTATACGGTAGATCTCCGTTGTCTGCCTTCGTTGGCTCTCATCGACACGGACTGTTTTGTACGATAGCTCGGCGAGCTTGACTGGATACTTTAGATTCAGGACGAGCAATCGGCGCATTTGTATTTCTTGGACGGCCATCTTTGGATACGCAGAGATGGACCGTCTGGCTACGGCACTTTGGTTTTAGACAGACGATGCCTGGGTCTCGGATAGTGTCTCGCGGCACGATTGGGATATAGACTAATAGCAACGTACAACATTACCATTATGCGCAGTTCCATCAATTCGCCTCTGACTGTGACCGTCTCATCCACTGCCCTGAGGCCGTTGCCGTCGTACCTGTGACGCCATCGAGGGTCGCCACCGCAACATCGACAGGACCCAAGAGGTCTGAATACAGGTACCGAGTTGTTTTGACGGTGCTGATTGCAGACCCCTTGCTTGTGCAACAATTGGCGTTTCCGCCAGAGGCTTCCGCCGCCTTTGGCAGCTGCCAGCACGCCAAGACAGGAAGGTGGAGCTCTGCACCCCACGACATGGCGCCGGAGTTGCGACCTCAACGCCTTCACTGCCCACCGCACTCATACTACCGCCCTCACTTACGTCGATCGAGTCTAATACACAACCGCCACTATGGCCAACATCAACTGGCGGACGATCAACATCGATGCCCTGGACCCGGACAGCCCCGCCAACTTCGACCTTAGCTCTCTCACACCTGCGGTCGAGCCCATATCGACTGCCGACGTCCAGAACACTTCGCAGCAAATACGGCAATTGCTAAGAGGAGGAGACAACGAAGGTGCGCTTCAGGGCGCACTGGAGTCCCCGCCGTATGGCGCAGATGATAAGGGCAAGGTACGTTGATGCCTGCTACCTCACGACCACCACTACGACCGCCACACCCACCACTGAGACGCCACATGCACCCCAGTTTGTACTGTGGGACAAGGCCATTGAATGTCTCTCCACACCCGCTACGACGTGGTCACAACGTTACCACGGCTGTGGACCTGGGTAGCCAGCAAGCAGAACAACTGAACATCACACAATCACAAACTGGAAGAAACTCTGACTGACCAGTCTACCTTGCCCTAGGAAGTCTACCTCGCAATCGTTCTCGAAGTCCTCCAGTCCATTCGGCAAGCAGAGATCGCTCAGATGCTGGGTCGCATATACAGCGCCCCTGGTGGGACAGAAGCACTGGACGTGCTGATGAAGTACATGTACGACGCCATTCTTCTACATATGTTTCATCCTGTGCAGCAAATCAAATGGCAAGACGCAATTGCTGCAGCATGTTTTGCTAACATCTGGGATCTGCAGTTACAAAGGCATGGCACAAGCGGCCCCAGCTAGCAGCGCACGCAACATCACCCCACAAGCAACCGGCTTCTCGCAGGTACACTCACGAGGTGGAGGAGATGGTGGTGGTCAGGCCATGAGTGTTTTGCTCAGCTGGCACGAGAAGGTACGAGACTCGACATTGTTCCCGTATACACCAGGCATCCCATCGCGCGAGCTTCGCAGGACCCTGTTCCTCGCGGCGGGCATCGTTGGTGTAAGTGTAACCATTGAAGATCAGCTGCTAATCACTGCGATAGCTTGTGGAGGTTGCTGGTCCCGGTAGCATCGTTAGAGTCATGACGGATCGCCGTACAGTCTGAGTCCACGAACCCACGCGATAGCCATCTCTACGCGCAGACTATTCGAGCTGCCACATAAGAAAGTCAGCAAGCAAGCGGCGTCATAGATGCATCGATCCTAACAGCTAACACACAATTGCTGCTGTTGAACCGTAATTGACATACGAACAAACTACATCATGCCCAACCTCAACGTGCTTTTTTCCAGTCTTACGTTGCGATCTGCTTCGCGGCCCAGTTTATTTACCCTGAGTCAATACTTCGACACGGCAATCCCGCTGCTACGAGCATCTTCATTAAACTACAGTAATTTTTCCGCACGGCCGGCAACCTTGTCCATGCAATTTTCCAGAAGGAAAAGCACTGACGTCTCCTTTTTCCCGGGCCTCCAAAATGCCCACCTTCAGCCTTATAATTCTTGCAGCGATATCCCCAATCATTTCCCAGCCACCATCCCGGAGCTTGATAGTCCGCTACGCTTACCGAATATGCACTAAATCCTACGGCCATCAGGCCGCGTGCACGGCACAGCTTCCACGCGATTGTTAGTGCTTGCCAAGTACTCAAGCCGCATCGGGACACGTTTGTAGTTTGAACCCTAATGCTGAGATAGGGAAGTTTTGAGAGCGTTGGGAGATGAAACGTGTCCACTCTCAAGTCAACTTCAAACTTGACAGTTGAAGCGAAACGGCCATACGTGGCTATGCTAAAGTTCATCCCTTTGTAGCGTGGCAATGCTGACGCCGCAGGGCTCTCCCTTCTGCAGCGCTATTTGCGTCGTCTAACAAGACAAGGAAAGCAGGTTTTCGCAAGCGTATCAGGCTCGAACACGCTTCCAGAAGGATGTCATTCTACCGCGGCTCATGCGTAGGGCTGCGCTCAACCTTTCGAAGTCGGCTATCCTGACCTCGCACATGGCACTGATCGCTCACAAGATATGCATCGCTATGCTTTAGCAAATGAGACGTCGCGTCGCCAACAAACATGCGAAGGATCTCGGCTCCAACGACCACAACACTGACGATCATGACCCTGGCACCGTTGCTTCCTGCCCATCTCGCACGCCTCACATCGCCAGCATCAACCCTTCGAACCAACACATCACCCCAACAGGCTTTTCTTCTGACAATAATTGTCGGCTAACAATCTTCCAATGTCAACATTGCACATCATGTTGACAAACAAGTAAGCCCTTGCGCCCGCGTCCACCTTTCAACAACCGCCTTGGCGATGCTGCATGCCCACCGTTGAAAGGCACATGGCACATGCATGGGAGATCCCATCGTGCGCAGGGGCCGCTCACATGCACACCCATTACCCTTGCCTCACTGGTACGAAGCGATCACGCCGCAGGCTCGCATGCGATCGCCTTCTTCTTTCGTCTCCCCTCCACTCTCGCGGAAGCTTGCCGCGCGTCTGTTGCAGTTTCTTATCGATTGTGAGAGATCATGATGGCTCGGGCATCGCTTGGATAGGTACCGTGCCCGAAATGGGTGGCGTTGAAGGGATGGAGACGGCCTGGGGAGGAGCGTGTCATCTAGGGAGGAGCGTGTCATCTAGGGAGGAGCGTGTCATCTCGGAGAAGCATTGTGCCATCTCGGTGAAGCATTGTGCCTCGGATCGGGTGGAGGGTGAAGAGCAAGTATCTCGGCCCGAGGAGTCGTAATATGTTCTTGCTCGTGCCGTCAATTTTTAACATCCGAACCACGGCAAGTACCGCAGTCTTACTTCATGGACATCTTCGGTCACAACACCGCTTAAACATCTGAACGACGACGGCATGAGCATTCACTTTGATTGCGGGAAGTCAATGAGAACAGATTTTTCTTGTGCAGCAACTTGATTCTCTCCACTCTGGAACATGAGTAGTTTTCAGTCCAATCCTTGACCTCACGCCACGATGGATATCGCCTTTTGGTCCACCGATCTCATAGTTGTCGATTGCTTTCTTTTGTCAGAAGCAAAGCCGGCAAAACAGAACATGCGGCAGTCAAGTACGGCATTTTCGTTCGGCCATACTTCGCTCGTCTCAAGCTTTTGATTTCATAGGAGAAGGTAGAATGGAGAGTAGACGGAGGAGCAGAAGCATAGACCTTTTGTACACGCTACTCCTGACCAGCCACATTAAACTGCTTTACGCGGATTTGAACGATCTGCGTCGCCACAATCATGCTGTGTTTTCCGAGAGTCTTTGTTGCAGGCGCGAGGGGGACTGCATAGCGAAGCAAGTGCAAAGTTTCGGCCAAGGTCATTTTCATGGATGCGTTCAGTGGTCGATTTGGAGGAAGTCAAGACAGAAGTTGGAATAGTTTCTTAGTTTCAGAACAAGACAAAAGAGCTTCAAAATTGTACAGCTCTACAACTGTATGGTGTTTCGTGACGCACCAATGCTTCTGGCACATGAAGCATGGCGCTTTGGCTTTTGATGCAAGTGGCACAATCAGGAAACAGACTCACAAAGAACGCAGGTTTGCCTCCTGGGAACTTCACCATTCATGGACAATTGCGATCGTTGTTTTGACGGTATGAAGGATTCCAACATAACGGTAAAGTAGAGGACTAGTGCAGGAAGAAGATGGGGTTCTCATACAGGCAATCGGGACCAAAGGAGATACAATGTACCCGATATGCACAGCGTCAGGAAAACACGAGCACAAGGTGTCAAGTTCTCAAACATAACTTCGACTCTGGAGTGGCAGGGGATATGTCGCTGAGGGCATTGGACATTGCATGTCGGATTCTGGGCTCTCGACAACACACACAAGATTCCAGGCAACTCACTTTGAAAAGTATGTGATGAATGTTGATGTTGGTGAAAGACAAGGTGTACGATACACATTAATGAGTGGTCAGGATGTGGCCGCAATAGACATGCATCATGTTCAACAATGAAAAACTTTTAGGCTGACAGAGACGTGCATCACGTCAAATGTAGTATAGACGCAAGAGAAAGAAAAGAGGCAAAGATCATAGGACCGTAAGTAAGTATCGGTGCTTGCCAAAATGTATGGACTCACCTGAATCTGGCTCGCTACTGAAGTCCTCTACATTATACAGAAGCGAAGGCTTCCGAGTGGCTGTTGGTTGTCTGGTTGGCAGTTGTGACAGCTTGGTAGACGTCATGCAGGGCATCAACGTTGGTAATAGCCACTTACAAGCTTGTCCGCACAACTATACCATGGAGCCGATGTACTGACTGCATCACTCTTCCAAGTTCAGGGGGGTTCGGACATTTTGACAATCACTATAGCTTTGATAAATACTGTACGCAGACTGAGGAAAGGAGATAAAAGAGGGATCAGCAGCTCGACTTGTCTTCTTCCTGCGCGGTGCTTTGTAATGCGAAAACGACAGCGTCTGAGTTCGAAAAGGCACTCCAGCGAACACCACTTGCTCATCAACTCTTTTCATGAAAAACAGCATCATGGCCGTCTTGAGTTCTCTTGGGATCTGAGGGTACGACAAGCTCAGACAGAAGCAGGCCATACCGCGCGTATCGAAGGTAGTTTTGCTGTTTGATAACCCAACTCGCACACGTTGGAGGCGGTTGTACCGTTTTGCAAAGAAGCGTAGCATGAAGTCACGCTATAGCATGTTTGGTGGCATATCTGTTGGATAGCTGCAGCAAGCAACGGTGCAGACATCGGATGTTCGTGTATTGCATTTGTACTTTTCAGCGACGAGGGTTTTGATGATGAGAATTGCCAAAACGAGCAGAAGCATGAAAGATCTCCCGGGATCTTTGCGGCTGTCGCTAGAGACGGCATAAACAAAGGTGCTTAGCGATTTTGAAGAGAGGCAGAACATGACCCATCGTCGCTGGGATTTCAGATTGTGGAACAAGAAGCGATGTGGTAACGAATTGCAGGATAGAGAAGAACCGAGAGCATATATACCCATGCCTGCACAATCACACTTCATGTGACAGTCGAATGTAGCTTTGATATGCTACAGCCCGTCGAACAGATATCCCGGGCTTTCATTCGCTCTTCATAAGAGCACAACATACCCTTTCAGCAGGAGTGTTCAATGGCTACCAAGAGAAAATCAATCCACACATCGTGAACTCACGGATATATTTCAAGATGCAGAAGCACCCTGAACGAGCAGCTCGCAAGGGTTGATAATCAGCAATGGCATGACAGGCAGGAAGATAGCGTAGACTCGGCAGAATCTGAAATCGTCGCCACAGACGTCATGTATTCTCTTAGATGTTATCTTGGGCTGAAGAGAGGGCATACAAGACATGAGGAGGCGTCACAACCGTTTTGGAGTTTCGTGGGCAGAAGTTGGGGACTGGTCAAGAAGAAGGAAGGAGTTGACAACTTTATATACGCATCCCGGCGCGACACCAAATCAGGAAGGCAAACTGTGCTCCTCAAGGCAGAACCTCACAGCAGAAGACATCGTTGTTCGCGCAGTTTCCTCGAGAAGAACAGCATAAGTCAGCAGGTTGGTGCTTCCTGATGACAGGAACCGCAGAGAGATCGACACGTCATCAGCCTGCACATTGGTTTCTAGTTCCAGGACACCATACAGCAGCGAGATACGGGTTTCGATGGCGAAGGCTGCCTGAAGGGGTGAGAACATGGCATAGGGTTGCTGATGTGGAGATGGCGCTGCAGAGGTCATGACAGAACATGATTATCAGCCATGTCCCTTTTGGAAGTGTATTTGTTCGCTAGCGGTCCGTTGCAGTGTCTACCAGCGGCCCGTTGCAGTGTTTGCCAACGGCCCGCTGCACTGATAGTCCAGCTCATTCGGTTAGTTCGGTTTGCTTCACTGCTATCCATTCCTATTATATAGTCCCGATCGATCCTTGCCATAGCAATACACACCAATCAATACTCTCAACCCTTCCACAGTATTCAGGAAGCTCGTTGTAGCAAGACAGCAGCGAAAGGAAGTTGTGATGAGCTTATATACTCACTCCCAGCCAACCCCTGCACAACAGCCCCACGAGGAGATGGGAATTGATTTTTGATGTTTGACGGCTCGGCTCAGCAGATCATTGCGAATATAGGTGCCCCCCTTTTTTTTTTTGGGAAAAGAAGCATGATCGGAAACGTAAGAAGTTTAGATGTCAACAAGGCAGGGGCGAGTCCAGACATCACCAGCTTGAGGACGCATTTTCAACTCTCAGCGAAGCCATGTAACTTGAATGTTCCGCACTTGACAGTAAGGCACGCCGATGGACGACAGACATGGCCTCTACCGTCGCCTTTTTTTTTTTTTTTCATCGTCTCACGGACGCCATGATTCGAAGTCCCGTGCCATTTCGGAGTGAGAAAGACGGGCAGGACATGTAAGATTTCGCGACTTCTTTTGCATAGTATTGACGGAAGATGTGGTTGCGAAGAGCAGAAAAGGCAACTTGAATACCCATACCTGCCCATTGAAAACACATGCCCAAGGCTGTACTGACGAGGAAAGTTTCACGTACAAACGAAGAGTCGAGTACGAGTAAAAAATATTGTCATTAAACCATACCAGGCCATGAAGATAGCGCGCCCCACCGGCCGCGTAGTGATACATAATATAGCTATAGCTGTCTGCAGCTGTAGACTTTTGATAGAGTATAGACCAAGTGCTGGTACGCTTTTTGCATGCTTTGCCCAAACGCCAATCGCCAACGCGATGTTGTGTCAATGCCAACGATGCTATGTCAACGATAAATGTCCAAGGAACGGGGTATACGGTGTATCCAGACCACCACCACCTCGTCTTTACTTTTCCATGTCCTCTTTGTTGTCCTGCTTTCTCGATCAATGGTAAGAATGGGGGTGTTTGGTGTTATGTCGCGACGACCTCGACCCAACCTTCACGATTCCGCACTTCTTCACGGCCGTCGCCGGCTGTGAGCTCCTTGGCCATTGTGTCCTTTGCGTTTCGCCGCCTTGCGCGTTCGCGGACGCTGCGCTCTTCCTTCTCGCACTCCCTGATCGCCTCGACGACTTCGAGCTCCTCGAATCTTGCGTCTTGCAGATTCAGCTTTTGCCATTGTGGGTGCTTCGCACACCTCTTCTTCAAGCACACACTCTCCTGGACGTCCACATCGTCGAGCACAGCGTTGGGTGAGCTCGATTCCATCGAAGAGACTTGTTCGGCGCTGGGCGAGAGTGTAGAGAAACTGAACGCTGCACGACCGTGCTTGCTGTTCCGCCATAGCAGGAACTCGGCGTCTGACCAGCTGAGTCGCGAATCGTATCCGCAGAACTCCTTCAGCTTCATCTTCTCGCGATCTGCCACGCGCGTGGCTTGTTCCTTGGCCATGCTGACGAACTTCTCACGGTCCCTGAGCACCTCCAACCTGTCGTTGAGCTGTGACTTCTCGTTGTGCAGAGCGTTGAGACGCTCGGTTTCGGCGGCGGTAAGGGCGACATCGTCAGGGTTGCGGGGGAAGTTCGGGCGGGTTGGTGATGCGGTGTGAGGTGGTGAGAGGACGCCAGAACCGAGGTTCCTGAAGGCTTGAATGTTGGGGGATGCGTCGACGAGGGCTTTCAGGTCCTTTGCACGGAGAACGCCACCGAGTGGGGTAGGCTCTTCCTCTTCGTCGCGACCTTCATCTTCAGGTCGCACGACCTTTTTCTTCTTCTTCGACTTGTCCTTGGCGCCGTTCGCACCTCTGGCGCCAGCTGTCCGTTGAAGCTGTTCTTGCATGAAGAGGACGCCACACTCGTCGGAGCAGTACTTGCTCTCGTGGTCCTTTGCCACCCGTGCGGGCTTCCGACAGCCCTCTCGTCTGCACATGGGCTTCCACGTAGTGTTGCCCTTGCCTGCTTCCTCGCACGACGGGCAGATGAACTTGTCCACGAGGCCTTCGTCTGCCTGCTTCATGTTCACGCAGTCACCGTGGAACCAGTCGTCACAGCCACCATCGCAGCCTATCATCCACTTGTGGTTGTCTGGCTTCTTGCAGATGCAGTACAGGTTGTGGTCCTCGGACGAGTCGCCATCATCGTCCTCGCCATGGCCGCAGCCAGTGTCTTCGGGTGCGGGTGATGAGTGGAGGGCAGGTGTGCCGGCTTGCGAGCCTTTTTTGCCGCTCTTGCCTGTGGCCGTACGCGCGGTCGGTGTGACGGATCGTGCGTTTGCGTCGTCGCCTTCGATCTTCCGCTTCTTGTTCGAGGGCCTGGTGGTTTTTGCTGTGCCCTTCTTCTTCAGCGCCGAGTTCGACGGTGGGGCGGGACGCTTCTTCGAGGGAGCGGGTGCTGCCTTGGTCGACTCGCTTGGGGACGTGACGCTCTCGGCAACACTCGCAGTCCGCTTAGCCCGCAGTCCCAGGTCGCTTGCCTTGGCAGCCTCGATGGCCTTCAGCGTGTCCGCATCGGCAGCATCGCGCGTAGCTGAGTTTTGACGCTCGACTGCCGGTGCTGGTGTGGCTTCGCGGGGGGTGTCCGACGGCTCGTCTTTGACGGCCGGCTCGGGCTCGCGGATCTGTGGTGTGTGGGGCTCATCGCGGAGAAAGGCGGGCTCGCGGCCGTGGGTGCGGTCGTGGGTGCGGTCGTGGGTGCGGTCTCTGCCCGTGTCACCGGCATCCGGGACGAGGTGCGAGACGTGGTGCCCAATTGGCGCGGCCGGAGACGGCTTCCGCGAATTTTGCGTCTGGTCCTGCAGCGCCGACGACAGGCCCTGGATGGGCGCGAGCACGGGCGCGGGCGAGGTGAGCAGCGACTGGCGGCGCTTCTGCTCCTCGGGCGAGTGCGAGCCGTGGTGGTAGTGGTCGAGGGTGGGCGAGTGCACGGCGGGCTGCTCGATGGGCGGCGAGGGCTCGACGGGCGCGTGGTGCGAGTGGTGGGAGCCGAAGCTGCTGCTGCGGCGCGGCGCGTTGCTGCTGAAGGCCGTGGGCGAGGGCAGCTCGCGGGTCGGGGCCGGGGCGTACTGCAGCCCGCTGCCCAGCGTCGCCAGCGTGGTGAGGGCGTCGGCGGCCTCGTAGGTGGTGGTCTGGGCGGTGTACTGTTGCTGGGACATGCTCTCGCGGCGGCCGGGCGCGGAGCCTTCGTGGTTGAGGAGGGCGTTGATGCTGCTCATCGTCGTGTGCGGGCTGCTCGGCGTCGCTCAGAGTCGGGGATGAATGTGCATGGCGGCGCGAATGGGGGAAATGGAAAGATGGCAACGCGCAGGCAGAGTGACGACGGGCGAGGACGGGAGGGAGGAGAAAAAGCGCTGAAGCGCGCGGGCGCTGGCTTCGCTCGCTACTACTTGGCGCACCTGCACTGTGAGGGGCGGGTTACTTCGCGCAGACAAGGAGCCTGCTCTGCTCTCCTCTTCGTCCATGCATGCCCATGGGTCGCGCTGACAAATAAATGCACGCTGCCTGTGCACAAGAGGCGCCGCTTATACTCTACCCATGCGCTTCCACCGCGCGCAAGCAGTCGCTCTGTCTCTGCGAACACCCACGACGATCCCCCGTGGTTGCAGAACGATGATGCAACCCCCTCGAATCCTCGCGGCTCGCTGCCGAATCTCCACTCTCACCGGCGCCTCACCGTACCCATCACACCAACACTGCATCATGATAGAACACTGCATCATGATAGTATTCTGCTTGAAATCGTAGTCGCGGCATTGTCTCGGGGTATCATAGCGAATCACTCATCATCTTCGTCATCCTCTCCTCGCGGCCGTCCTCGCTTTCGCCCTGCAGCTTGCGGTGCGGGAGCGTCACCCGCAGGCGCAACACCGCTCGTTGCACCGGCCACGTCCAATGTCCGCTTGATCTTCTGCTCGAGCTCCTCCGCATCCTCTTCGCTGTTTCCATAGATCGTCCTGATGAGTTCCGCGAACCCCTCCCGCCCTACCTCGACTTTGCCACGCGGGCCCACAATGTAGTCAGTTGTCTCTTCGCCGGCCGCCGTGTCTCTGACCTTCACAATGTACCCGTCCTTGATCATGAGAGCAAGCGTCTTGTCTGTGGTGTCGATAGGCGTGGTCTGCTCAGCGTTCATGCGCTTGAGTGCACGGTCGAGCTTGCCTTCAGGCAGCCGGCCACCAGCGATGGTCACGAGGGCGATCACCATGGTGTACAGACCGACGTAGGCGGCCGGTCTGTCATCCTCGGACTTGGCCAGACCCCGTGACGGGCCAATGACTTCGGGCATCCGATACTGCTCAGGAAGGATGGTCTGAAGCACCCACATGTTGCTGGCTTTGCTCTGCGATTCAGATCCGGCGGCAGCTGCACACCGTCAGTAATTGGCGACACCGCACATCGGTAAGAGACATGCCGCGCTTCTGTCGCGTTGTCACCTTCTCGCCCTTCGGCAGCTCAGCCATAGTCATGCCAAAGACATCCATGAGCTCGCTGTTGGCTTGCGCGAATACTGACTTGAAGAGCCGTGCATGCGATCCAAGTACTGCATCTCTTAGTGCTGCTCGCACGCTGCATTTCCATGCCCTTACCTTTTTCATTGACATCTTGCCGCTTGATGGGCTTCCGTGCAAACTCGCAGGACAGCGCATATCGAACTAAGCTTTTCGATAACTGCTCAAGACTGCCACTGCCGCTCTTCTGTGACTCTTCCATATCCACGTCGCCATCTTCATCTGGTGTCTCCGCCTGGCGTCTGCGCTGCGTCTGGGTAGGCGTGGGGGCGTCTTGTTCGACGGCCTGGCTTCGGTGAACAACAACCTATACACCGGCGGGTGTGTAACTTACGACCGCCCTCCGACTTATTCTAGGAGGCATCGCGTGTGTGCTGAAGGAATGCCGTGGTCGGGAAGGAGCGTCCCGGCATTTGTTCGACCCCCTCCCTCTCGTTAGCGCTGAGGAAGACGCGACGCGTTCGACCGCCGAAGTCAGACTTGGCGTCGACATCATCCATTCGCAGTCCAAGCGTCCGAGGTCTCACTCCACATACGGACTGCGGGTTCCACATCAACACGATATTGAATGCGCCCACCATGATGTCCACACGACTTGCCGCCAGGCGGCCGCTTTTCCAGTGCCTGAATGCACCCGTTCGCTCCCGCAACGCTTCTCACCAAGCGCGCAACGATGTCGACGCCCTCCTTCGACAAGCCCAAGGACGTCCTCTACCGGGGCGAGGATTGAAGCCAGAACTTGACACTGTCTCGACGCACCGCGCAAACGCTGTGGAGATTGCACGGCTTAAGAAGAGGCGGAATTGGCTCGCACTCGGCGCCGCGCTATCCATGATCGCACCCATCTTCTTGGTGAAGCTATGGGACTTGCCCGATCTTGAGAAAGACAAGGCAGCTTTGAAGGAGGCGCAGGAAGCCAACAGGAGCACAGGCATCGTGGACACGGTCATGGGCCCCCCTACCAAAACAGACAGCCCCCGCAAGGCCGCCGAAGAGTTCCAGGGCAAGAAAGTCGTCATCGCGGCCGGCGACAAAGTCATTGCCGCACCCACAGATGCCGAGAACCCGCAAGCTTCAGACGCCGACGCAATCGAGCTTGTCGAAACAGGCACATCCTACGTCCCTTACTTCCCACGCACAATCAGTCTGCCTAACACCTCGGCCGTCGGCTCCGAAGGCTTCAGCAGCGATTCCGAATACCAGCTCCTCGGCCTCGGCATCCGCAAAGTCTCCTTCCTACGCGTGCAAGTCTACGTCGTCGGCCTGTACGTGAAGACCGCAGATCTCTCAACACTGCAGAACCACCTCATCAACACCGTTAACCCCACCGCCTCGGCCCTCATCCCCGGCGAGAAGGAGGACCTGCGCAAAGCACTCCTCGACCCGGAGCGCAGCACACAGATCTGGGAGGCGATACTGAGCCGCGATGGCATTGGCGCCGTGGACATGGCGTTCCGCGTCGTGCCTTGCCGGGGAACCGACTTCAAGCATCTGCAGGACGCGTGGATGCGAGGTATCGCCTCAAGGACGGATGAGGTGAGGAGGAAACAAGCCGAGTTGCTGCGCCAGCAGGCTGCTGAGAACAAGCGCATCAGTCTGCCGAAGCCGGTCGAGGAGGGTGAGTTCGCAGACGAGTCGTTTGGCCTGGCTATGAAGGAGTTCAAGGGCATCTTCACTGGCAAAGGCAAGGCACCGAAGGGTTCCGTTATCATTCTTACACGGAACAAGAAGGGCACATTGAGCGCTATGTATCAGACCGTCGTGCAGGCGAACGGCAAGGAGAAGATGGGCAAGCCGGCTTTCTTGGGTGAGGTGCTTGACCCGAGAGTCAGTAGACTGGTCTGGCTACTGTACCTCGGCGGACAGAACGTCAGCTGCGAGGAGGCGCGGAAGAACATCGTCAATGGATGCATCGCTATTACTGAGCGACCAGTTGGCACTGTCGAGGGCATGGTCCAGTAAAGATTTGGAACGAGTATTGTAGTATCCGTGTATAGGCATCATTTGGCCAAAAGCGCCACTCCGAACGCACCAAACAAACTGGCACGTTGCGGCATGGTGCTGTCTAACTCTATTCAAAAGGTATTCATGAGTTTCGAATGTTTCTGCCTTGCCAAAGCGTCCTACTTCATGGATACGAGCGACTGGAAGTTTGCAGTGGAAGGCGACATGATCTGTTGGCCCCGCAACAAAAGTCACAATGCATGACTTTGTGGACTCTGCTCGTAGCTCTCTATACTTTGCTTGCTGACAACAAATCATCAAGACTCGGCTACATGCTCCGTTTGCCTCTCTGCTTCCTACTTGAATTCTTGTCGCCGGAACAGCATGCTGTGTGCCGCCCGTCGGTGAATACAATTGTACATGTTTGATCACACGTGCTGCAGATGCACTGGGTCAGTATGAATACCTGCTTCTGCTTCTCTCCTTCCTTCGTTCCATCAGTCCCTCCAGGGGGAGATGTTACAGAAATGCTGGGAGTACTTCTTCATGTCTGCCTTCTCTCACTTATCAAGTCGGGGAAACATTTCAAAAGTCCCAGATGTACCAGAAGATGTCTCTTTGTTTTTTTTTTCCAACAATTCGATAATGCTTCATGCATGTTCTTAGCCGCTGTTAATGGCTGAAACATTTGTTCGACAACGAAGATACTCCCAAGTGGTAGTTGAGGAGTTCGCATGCTTTTCTTCTCAGACTCTGCGCATTTTGCAGCTGCGGCTAGGGCGTATAGGAGTCTTCCCACTCTTCATCAGCACCCTCATTCGATTATATATCAGAGTTGAACTAGCATCGCACTGTGCTCGCCGCTCCTTCTCTTTCATTCAAGAACGATGGGCTGCCCAGCTCGAAAGACCGAACCTTTCTCAAATTGCCTCCTCCTTCGTTTTCTCAACTCCCGCTCAAGAACGATCGTGCACCAAAGAATCCAGACATTATAATGCCATGCAACATGTACGGACCACCCCCTTCTTGGTACACCAGCCCTCAAAGCCACACAAAGACCCACTGACGAAGCTACCTGGATGCGGTGAAGGAGTATGTAATGGGGAGGTGCGGGCGGTCTACCTGTGCGGGTCTGGCACTATGACGAGTTATATGACGTTACCATTCATCCGTGGGATCCGTCAGAGGCTGTCCGGGTCTGGTTCAGGGTCTGTGAAGGTATGGCTCAGGGTCCTGGGCACGTCAGAGAGCATGTATATAGGGGTCGGGTCTCCCCCACATGTCACACGGGTACCTCTGGCCACCTTGGACGATGTTCTTGCCATTACAGAAGCCCTATAAAGTACGAACACGAGGCAACAGTCAGGCACGCCTCTCCGAGCCTGTCCTACCAAATCACAAAGTTCACCGCAAATGGCTTCCTTTCGACCTCTTTGAGATTACATTTCGACAATGACGATGGAACGAAAGATGATGAAGATTCGAACCGTGTTGCTCCTACTCGCCAACCAATTGCAACTCCGCCAATGCCTCAGGCAGACTACCAAACCCTCGGTGCATTATGCGCATGGAAGGAACTGAAACATCGCGGATATCCTCACATGGTTTGTTCCCCGCTTTCTCTGCTAAAATCGAAGCTCACCTGCAGAATGAGGTCTCAGCCTGTGTTTTCTTCGAACGCTCGTATCACCCGCTCCTTCTAAAAATATTGAAAATGCTCTCAATCGAAGGCTGTGCCCTATTTCTGGCTCTTATCTAAGCTCATGATGGAAAGCCGATGGCAATCGTTACTGCTTTTGCCTCCTCAAGTCCTGTCTGCCGGCGACATGTCGAATGGTCTCTCCAAAGGCTCTGCACTGGTAGAAGTATAGATTTCGACTGAAGGTCGCCTTCCTTCCTCATCATCGCACAACAACTTCCCCAAACTCATTGTAAACTTGACGGAAGGACTTCCATGTCTGCCAACCCCGCCCGTCTCAAAACGCGTGGCTAGAATGCGGTGGCTTTCCGACGCTCTCGAACCTAGAATTGTTGAAGGCGGCTCTCAATGCCTTTCTTGAGCCCCTTCATGGGACATCATGTTCTTCTATTCTCTGCATGTCCCAAAATCCCACCGCCTCTTTGCATGACTTTGGGATTGTTTCGTCCTCAATGGCTGTTGCACAGACTGGTGAAATGTCTGCGCCGACTGCTCTTTCTAAAACCGAATTCTCAACTCTCGGTATCTCGCTGCTCTCGTTAAAGATCTACGCTATTGCGTAAAGTTGTTGTGGCGGCGTAGCCGCTGTAGTACACTGATAGCTACCGTAGACGGTAACGTAGGACTATCGGGTCGATGGAATACTGCGCTGAGTTGCTCTCTAGCTAGGAGAAGACGATATATACTGGCCCTGGAACGTGCTAGTCCAGAACGGTCTAAGCAAGGGTAATCGGGTCTCATACGGACCAGCTGATACCGCAACAGTTGTTCCCATTTTTATGGCACCCTATTCTCGAAACGATGGCATATCTTGATAGCGACCTGTGGGGTACAAATCCGAACCCTCTTAAGTTGTTCCTTCCTCGCTGTACCAGTCTGCACCGAAGTCAAACTCCAAACAAAAAGCACCGCCCGCATGTCTGACTTTGTTTTGTTTGTTTTGAAAGCCTTCAGCCCAGAGGAGTGTTTCTCTGCTGTCTCTGTGGCTCGAAGACCTCGTGCTTGCACTCTATGTCTGCCTATGCTTCTTCTCTCAAAATTCAAGGAAGATTGCTGTACAGAGAACATTCAGCAAATCTTCTGGTGTTAATCGCGATGCACTGGGTGAGTGCAAAAGAAAAAAGACAAAAACATACAACAGCAGGTATTCGCTAGTGGTCACCGACCTGACTACTAATCTGCCGGTACGTTGCTTAAATAGGGCTGAGCAAATGGGAAGCCTTGTTTTCAACATCATATGGTCGCATGTGAAAGAAGTACTGTCTATTACAAAATATATTGTCCAAATAATACAACTGCAGCCAGTAGGGAGAGGCAATGAACTCTGCATATTCCATTGGGTATCGTCAAGGAACGTGGATAGTATGCATGTGGGAAGGACTGAAGGATTGAACTGGTTGTTCTACATGCTACAGAGAGGAGCTAACGTACCTCACGGGTGAGTCAGTGTTACAATCTGTGAGGTCACTGTAGGCAGGCAATTGGACACAGGATGGATTGGGGTCGTCTGGGGCCAAATGGGATGAGATTAGACAAATCCTTGATGGCTGAGCCTCAAGGTTCGTAAGGAATATATACAGGTAGCCTGTGAGCCTCTGGTCCAGCCCCGGAGTACATCCGAGGGCTGGCCAATACATGTAAGGGGAAATACCCATGACACAATCCTACATCCCACAATAGGATGGCAGAAGCAATAAGTAACCACCAACCAAACACAGAAGCCTGGGGGAAGATGCAGCATGACAAGGCCACCTGGCCAGCACCTAATGGGTTCAGGCAGACTCACATAACAAGCTCTTCAACAAGCAAGGTCACGTGAGCGCTCATCAACAAGCATGATGCAATGCTCATCAACAAGGTGCATTCCATCCAGATAGGCCAGGACCAAATCTGCTTGTCAACAAGCAGGATCTGGTGGACTGTATATAAGCAAGTAGGAACACAACCTGGCCAATCTGGATAGATTGCGCCTTGTTGACGAGTATTGTATGATGCTTGTTGACGAGCATTGAGTCATGCTCATCGACAAGCACTCACGTGACTGCTCGGCCGAGAGCATCCTTCAGGCATTGGCTGGGTAGCCTTGCCGTGCTGCGCCTTCCCCCAGGCTTCTGTGTTTGGTTGGCGGTTACTTATTACCCGTTGTCCTATCGCAGGACATAGGATCGTAACACATGATACCTTTTGGCTTGCTTGGCTCAGTGGGCCAGACCTGAGTGTTGACATTGTGTCTTAAGCAAAGCTTGTAGGCACTAGTTGGGTTGGTTCTCAGGGATAAGTGTAGCATGAAGGAACAAGGGGTTGATTGCTTAAGCAAAGCTTGGAGTGATCAGGGGTAGATGTCTAGTCAAAGACCGTGATGGTTGGGTGCAATGAGTAGTACAGAGTAGACTGTCTGGCCCAAGAGCAGGTGAGATTCCAATAACAAAGTTGATTGACAAGGTTGAACACGATGCCATAAGGGTAGTGTGTCTACTTGCTTATATACTTGACAGGAGGATTGATTGTACTGCTCATATCAAGTATCATCAGTGACTTGATACTCGGTCCAATTGAGCATTGTCGACGTGACCTCAATACTTGGTCCTCGGTGTCCTATTGATCATTGTTGACGTGGGTCCTCTGCAAGTGGGTTGGTATATGGGTCCATGATGATCGTTTGTGTATGAGATCCACGTTGTATCCACTGCAGTCCTTTTTGTACAATCTTGGTTTGTATAACAGATAATGCGAGTGTTGATTATACTGGGTATCACTGACGTGGCTTCACAGCTTGGTCAATCAATACTGCAGTTCCTTGGCTGCTCTTGTCTCATTGCATAGTCCTGTTTGTTCAGTGTTGTTTTGCGAGTTGTTCATGGATCGTAACACTGTCAACCCCTACGGCTTTCTGTACCTCTGTGTCATGCTGACATGGCTTGCAGCCAATAACAGTCCACCTAGCCACTCCTCATGGAACCTCATGGAACCTCATGGAACATCATGGAATCCCATGGAACATCATGGAATCCCATGGAACAACACAGAATCTTCTGGTTGCTGACAAATGAGTACAAATGATTACAAATGCCAATGTATCTAGAACATTCCAGAAGCCAGTAGTCTGTCTATAAAGGCAGCCTGCCCTCTTGCTCAGATAACTCATGCTTGCAATTCAAAACTCAATCCACTCCTTCAATTCACCTCAACAACTCCTTCCTCAACTCACTCCTCACTGATCCTTTGTGGTATCCCCACACTTGATCCCTTCTTTATCACTTATCCTTTTTATCACTTGTGGTATCCCCACACTTGGTCTCCTCTACACCCTTATCTCCAACAAGCCTGAACCATCCTTCCACCAACTCTTCTATCTCAGAGAGCAGTTGGTATCCCCAGCTGGCTGTCATCCTGACATGGCTTGCAGCCAACAACAACCCTACCAGTCTTTATACTTGTGTTAGCTCCCATCTGTCAGCTCCCATTTGTCAACTCCCATTTGTCAGCACTCATTTGTCAGCTCCCATTTGTCAGCTTGCCACCCATCTAGGTATATGAACCCCATTCTTCCCACCTCTAGATAGTTCTCACTCATGCTTGCAACTCAATTCAATACTTCAACCTTCACTCCTCAACTCACTCCTTACTGATCCTATGTGGTATCCCCACACTTGATCCCTTCTTTATCACTTATCCTTTTTACCACTTGTGGCATCCCCACACTTGGTCTCCTCTACACCCTTATCTCCAACAAGCCTGAACCATCCTTCCACCAATCCTTTCATCTCAGAGAGCAGTTGGTATCCCCAGCTGGCCCCCTCTCACACTGGCCCCCTCTCACACTCTGCTCATCCCCAAGAACCAATTGACTAGTGTCTACAAGCTTTGCTTAAGGCACAAATTGTAACAGCAGCATAAGATAAAGTGTATACAGAAGGAGTTTTAACAAAGAGAGCTGGAGAGGATATAATTGCTCAATGTGAGGCTGATCAGCAGATTGCTTGTGAAGAGCATCAAGGTGGAGAGAAACCAGGCCTTAGCTGCCATGCTCTGGTGCGCTGCACAAAGTGCAGAGAGCCTGGGCACAACTCATGTATGTGTAAAAAGAATACTGTAGATACTGCTTAATCTATTGTTGTAACAATGCAGGTAGGTAAGAAAGGACTCCAAAGTAAGTGTGAGTTTGTTACAAGGCATATGGGAGTGCTGGGACATTGAGAACACTAGGATTGAATCCCCTACACCTATAGGTCTTGTACAAAAGGATACAGAAAAACTACTTTATCTAAACTACAGTATCAGAGTCATTAAGTATCCCTTTTGGAGGGAAATCAGAAGTACCCTTGTCCAGGTGACAAGGAGGTAATTTGCAACAGACAAGGAGCAGTGTGCTGAGACCTGTAGGAACAACATCGGTATCAGGATGGATACAGTCGTAGGTGTTACAGTTGTATTGATATCCATATACTGCTGTATATTGTGGTTGAGTTATACGCTTGAAGAGGTGGGCAAAGTTGATGGGTGCGTGACTCGCTTGTTGTATACGCGGCTCGCTTGTAATCTACGTTATGATACGCGACTGGAAGCTTCAACTTATGCGCAAGTCACGATTAACGGGATTGCTTGGACATCATCTTCAGTAAATCCCAAAAGGTATTTGCCTTTTGGATACAGCATCAAGAAACTCACAATACTTCGCAAACCCCTTGAAGACATCCGTACTTCAGCTGCCGGGTCTTGCGGCTTCGTCATAGGCTTCACGTCGCATACCAATGATCTATGCATAGCTTATCGACGTCCTTTCCACAATCCACATGCAAAACTCCGATCGTGGCAACAGATACAAAATCCATGCAGCGGATCGCTCAACTGTTCGTTCTCGGCTGACCCTAGAAACACCACAGGTGTACATGGCTATGTACTCTTCACACTTATGGACGATGTACAGATTCTGATATGTTTGGGTTTGAGCCCCGACTTTCAGCCCTTGTGTATCGTGTGTTACCGTTTTGCAAACAAATCCTTGATCAAGGGCTTCATTGCGCGGAAATTCTGCATGAATATAAGATCATATTGCAAAATCAAGAGTCCGGTTTTGAGATCTTCGATACAGAGATACACATAATTGACCTATGTGGAGATGACCAAACACTGGAAAGTAATACCGACATAGGGCTGTTTCTGGACATCTCAAATGTGTCAAGCAGTGCCGGCAAGCTCGAGGCTAAGATACAATTTGACGTCAAGAGATTTGTTTAGTTCTATGTACCCACTACCAACCTCTTGCGCTATAGCTCTATAGGCTACATATCACAAGATGTCTTTGGAATGTTGCTGGATGCTGGGCACAGAATCGATTCAAAGCGGCACAAAAGAAATTTTGTTTTATATTCCGTTGGGAAGGTAGTACAACAAATGGAAGAGAACCAGGGAATTAAAGATTTACTTTGAAAATGTGATCACTTCAGGCACCAGTCTACATGTACAAAAGACAGTGCCGTGCCTATCTTAAGTGCAGTAAGCACAAGTATAGAAAGCTGTGTACCTGGCAATTTGCTACCGTCATCAGCCTGGCCACTGGTACTCAAGTCAACAGCTAGCGCTCGGGGAAAGCGGGACATGGTCATGAGAAATGATCAAGGATTTAAACCAGCAGCATTAATTTGGGTAAGGTTTAGAGCTGACATATGAGAATAGTCAAAGCATGAAAACAACTTGCTACCCTATGCCACCGGATCTGCTCCGTACACGTTGATTTGTTAACATGCAATTGCGACCACACTAATTCCACCACACCTAGAGTTATGCCAACGACATTATATGAAAGAGCTTCTGTGCAGTATTGCTCTCAAGCCTCAATTCAATCCATCCGACCGCCTCCGTCCCGCCAAGCTATCCGTCCAATCAAGCATTATGTCCTTGAGTCGAACGCCCTGTAATGGATGAGCGCCCTGCCCTTGATATCAATACTACGTGACATCACCAAGGTATACCAAAAGGTAAGCACAAGAATACTTAAGCAAGTATTCTTTGTGTAGTATAATATATATAGTGCCAGCCAGCTAGCTTTGCCTCTAGCTGCTGTAAGCTAGTCTGCCCCACAGCCTTGCTGTGTGCAGAGTCGTTACACGCCCCTCCTCTCCACCTCTCGTAGGCCCGCGTCCGATCTTGCTGACCGTCAACGTCTGAGTCGAGCCCAATTCAAGAGATATTGAGAAGCACCTGATCACAAAGATAATCCGGTCAATCCTGATACTAAGAGGTATTAGCATGGACCGGTTGGCTGAAACCAGACTGCCGAAGGAACCGACTCTAGACGAGAAAATGGCCCTTAAGCGCATGAGATACTACTAATAAGCCGAAGCAGCAGCAGTCACTTCAACAAAGTTCAGAGCTGAGCTCTAGATTCATTTTACATACAGATGTCCAACAGCTTTTCCTTAGTCTATCCGTTTCCTTATCTCGTTCGAAGATGGCTTCTCTCCCTTAGGTCTCAATTGCGTGTAAGATGAAGGGCTAGTCTGACGTGGAGTCGACTTAGTCTCTTGTTCCGTGTCGACACTTTGACCTGGGCGAACGGCAGGATTGGACTTGGGAGCAAAGGCTCCAAAGCGACTTTCGTAACGTTTCTCCGCCAAGAACCGGAGGTCCTCCCCTGACATGGAGCCGACCAGTTGTGCTGAATGATCCTTAGATATGGCTTTCTTGACATCAAACAGATCAGCCAAAGTATTCGCCACCACTTGATCGCTGTCACCGTCAGCTACAACCTCCCCCACCCTGTAGATCTTTTGAGACGAAGCTTCGCTTGCCACCTTACATACTTCCAAGCACTGCTTAGAAACATTGATGTCTTCGAGCAGGCGCTTTCTCTCCTTGTCATTCTTCGGATTGTCGTTGAGGATCAAAGCTTGTAGGCGGTCCTGGAGATGACCGATGATGCTTACAAAGTTGTCTCGATTCCTGCCTAGAGCTTGGCTCGTAAGCAGCTGTGCCTCGAAGCTGTGCTGCTCATCGGTCCCTGTAGCGTCTTTCCCGTCCTGTAAAACAGTCGATTGTTGATTTAGGGATTCGAGGAATAGCTTCGCATCTTCGCAAATACGGAGACACATCTGAGTAACCTCTTTTTCGTCGTCAAGGTTGATGTCTGGAGCGGAGATGTTCGAGTTCGAATAGCCTTCCAATTTCTCATCGACACGCTTTAAACGAACATTGAGGTCATACACTGTGTCCTGTATCATCTCGTTATACTCCTCGAGCGCCTGCTGGGAAACCTTAGCCTCTCGTCTGAAAAGTCGTCAGCGAAGCCTAGGAGTAACTACACTAACATACATAGTGATTGTGCCCAAACCAACTGCGATAGTGGATTTGTACCCAGATATCGTGTCAATGAACTCGTTTATGTCGCCCCTCATGAATTCCAGCTTTGCCCAGTCGCGAAAGCTAGCTTTAGTCTTCTGACCGAAAGACTCCATTGACTGTTTAAATTCTTGGCATACTTCGCTGCATCGATCGATAGGCCCTTGGAGAAGTTTAGATATAGACGCTTCTGTGTGAGCCACTTCTTTCAGAGATAACAGGACGGTGATGATTCCCTGGAGCTCATCCTGAAGCCTCTGTAAAGTCTTGTCCCGACCTTTGAAGCGTGCGACGGTGTCATGGAGCGACTTGACTGACTGGACCGTAACTGTAACAAGAGCTACTACCGACGCAGTAGCACTTAAAGGGTCTGCCATCAGAGACAAGAGCGCGGTCCCATGTGAGAGGTAGTGGCGTGGCGCTGATGCCAAAAATGAAGAGTTGACGAGCGTTGATGAGGAAGAGAGATGGGGTTGCTGACTGCATCAAATACCCGCATGATTGATGGCTATGGCGATCTGCAATAGCTGATTGGTCAGATTAGCGCCGTGGCTTTTAACACTGCCTACAGATCTTGGACTTGCGGTGCATATCATTTGTCTATTGTTACGTAGTTCTAGGTAAATGTGGGGTTAGGATTTGGACATGTTGCAGGCGCTTGAGGATGTAGACCTGGGAAGATGGGTAGTAGCTGCTGCCATTGTCTGTTTTCAGCAATTTCCACACTTCAGTTTTGCCCGGCCGCACGGGGCATGCGCTAAACCACATTTATGCAACCGTTGTATTTATGCATATCTATCCATGCAATTGGGACCGAAGCGCGCGCCTAGCATGTTCATTGTGCAATACAAGGGGCAGAATCAAGAAAGGTGTCTGTCACGTGCCTGTCCATGTGGGAACATCACGAAAAATCAAGAGAATTGTCAACATCAAGAAATAGTTGTAAATGAGGCTGCAATTTGACCCTGAGTCACGCTGTGAAGTTGTTTGAGCCATGCGCGTTAAGACACTTTTGTGCCAGCTCCTTGAAGTAATCAGGGTGTAGATGAGCTGCCATATATTGTCGCATTTCCTCATCTTCTTGCCAAAGGACTCTCACAAAGTCTTCTGCCTCCTTCTTTGCATCTGCAGATGAGCTGTTGTAAAAATAGGGTGGCAACCTCAGGATAGAACCAATGCAATCCTCTAAGGAGGCAAGGATTTGGACACAACAGCAATATTATGAGGGGAGTGCGCTTGCTAAGCGAGCGCAAGGCCTGATGGCCCAAGCTGAAACCTGCCGAGGCCATCCAAGGCCTGACAGGGCCTCTCAAGGCCCGGCTCATGAATGGCAGTCGTGACACAAAGCTTGTAGACACTAGTCAATTGGTTCTTGGGGATGAGCAGAGTGTGAGAGGGGGCCAGCTGGGGATACCAACTGCTCTCTGAGATGGAAGAATTGGTGGAAGGATGGTTCAGGCTTGTTGGAGATAAGGGTGTAGAGGAGACCAAGTGTGGGGATACCACAAGTGTGTCACGGTATCCTCTCCAGATCCCCTGACAATATCCAGATCCGCTCCGTACTGTCCCTGACCGTATGCACCAAATCCCCAGCATCCTTACACGCCTCCAAAGCGGACGTACAACCTCCGGTCACCTCCGGAGCAGGCCTGCAACCTCTGAAGCAGGAGTATTAGAATTCTGCAAGCCCCGCTCTGGGACTTGCAACCCCAATACCTATCCAACTCAGTTCCGATTATTAACCGGTAACC